CATCAATAGAATACAATACATGATAAACTTTATGCTCAAGGTTTTGCACTTTTTTCATTATTATATTGAATAAAAAAAATTAATTACCTATAATTATATTTTCTTTAAATTGGAATTTATTTCGTAATATTCAATAATTCATATATTTTTCAAAGAATTGTCTAATTAAAACTCAGTAAGTTTTAAAGACAGTAAAAGTGAAACAATGAATTAACGTGACTTTGAAATATTTGAAACGACAACAACAGAGAAAAAAAAAGTGTTATAGAAAGAACCTGTTCATGGATGGAAGCGGAAAGTTCAAATAAATATCCTATTGCGCAAACGTTATGCTGCTTAGGTGGGTGACTGGAGCATCAAGTTTCATGATTCATCAAACACTAGCATTATATAGTGAAGGGGATGTGATATTATTCTTGTTGCAATTCAGAAAAGTATATAAACATTCTCATATAATAAATTCTTTACAATTGCTTTATGATAATCGGTAAGAAAAAATATATACTTGAATCTAAATTTTATTCAGTAAAATCCTATACTATTTTGAAAAGAAATATGTGCTTTTTACAATTTTACCAAACTTTACTGATTGTAATTACTGTAATCACCATTATCACAACACTGCAAACTTTGCCGTAATTTAAAGCAAAAAATAATATTATGATTAAAAATTCGAGAAAACAAGCTCATTTGCCGTAGACAAACAAAGGTAATTTAAAAACTCGGGAAACGTTAAAATCATTTAACTACATAATATTGAGCTTTTTTGGACGAAAAAACCTGCCGTGACGATAAGCATTAAAAAATTTACTTTCACCATCAATCGGTTTTAGAAACTGCCAATTACTCTATCATTGCTTTAGCAAGAATTACCGTTATCTACGATTTGCATAAAATAACAGTAATGAACAAAATGTCGAAATTGGATTAAGGATCAAGAGAGCAATAACATAATTTTTCCACTAATTAATTAAAACTGAAAAAAAATTATAGTTGACAAATTGAATTATTAATAAAAATTTATGATTATTCCCGCAATAAGTGTATTTTTATTTATAATAACTAAACTACTAGATCATGTGCAATGAAACAGAACACTTTGAATATTTCCGATTTTGTTCAAATCCATTTCTGTTGAATAAAATATTTATTTTATAACAGAAAAACTATTTCTAACTGAAGATAATTTAAAAAATAATTTTCTCAATAAAAAAAGAGGCCTCGGATCGACTTAAAGGCACAAACAAAGTCGTTTTAATCGATTTATATTCCAAAAAAAGTCGAAAAAGTCGATTTTTTTTATTTTAACAAAAATATTTTATAGATTTTTAAATAAAATTTTTTTTTTAAATAATAATACTTTTGGAAGGGTTGAAGTTGAAATTTTTAGAAATAATTGAATTTCAAAAGATTTTGTTAATTTTCAGACAAATTAAATTTTACAGAACTAAAAATAATTTATCAAATAATTTGAGATAACATTTTTTAAAGGTAATTGAATTTTCAAAGATTTACAATTGAGATTTTTAAAATTAATTGAACTTCAAGTGATTTTTGATTAAAATTTTTTGATGATTTCACTAAAAAATTTATTAGAAATTGCGGACAAAAATACAATAATTTGAAAACCATTTTTCAATGAAAAATAGTTTCAGATAGTTGAATTTTCAAAGAATATTATAAAAATAGTTAAAAATAATTTAATTTCCTTAGAGTTATAATTGAAATTGTTAAATTTCAAAAAATTTTCGATGGAAAATTTTACAAATAATTAAATTTTAGAAACTTTTAAATTCAAATTTTTGAAAATAATTGAATTATAATTGAAATTTTGGATAATAATTCAATTTTAGCTGATTTTTGATTGAAAATTTTGATAATAATTAAGTTTGGATTGAAATTTTGGATAATTATTGAATTTTAAAAGATTTTGAATTGAAAATTTTGAAAATAATTGAATTTTCTTTGTTATGAATTGAAATTTTGGGTAATAATTTAAATTTAATTGAATTTGAATTGAAAATTTTGAAAATAATTGAATTTTAAAAGATTTTGAATTGAAATTTTGGGTAATAATTTAATTATTATTTATTTAATTTCATAAAAATTTTAATTGAAAAATAATTTGAAATAATTGAATTTGTGACGAATTTCATTTAAAATTATTAAAAATAATTAATTTATAGTGAAGAATTTTAGTTTAAAATTTTTTTAAATAATGGAAATAATGAAGATATGAAGAAGATTTGCATTTTATACTAAAAAAAAATATTTTATTTAAAATTTTTTTTAAAAATGTAAAAAAAAGTCGAAATAGTCGCATTTTATTAAAATAAGTCGAGAAAAGTCGTATTTTTGAAAAAAAGTCGGAAATAGTCGAAAAAGTTGTATAATCCGAGGCCTGAAAAAATTATAAACTGTTAAGTTATGGCTTTTATACCTAATAATTGTTCGTAATAGTTTCATCAAAATATTGTGTAAAGTGAAATTTAATCGAGAAATACATACATAGTTATCACAAGAAAGCGTAACCAAGCAATGGCGACATAATAAAAAAAGTAAATAATTTTAAATCGGGTCAATTATTGAATGTCGTCATTTAACAACAATTGTTTCAACTTCCAGACAAAATCATTAACAATAAATTTATTGTTAAACCAATAACATATTAGCAACCTTTATACTCGAATCACATTTTTTTCAGTGTACTACTACAATTAATGTAACCTTTTTCTTTTCCTTATTTTTATCGAAACCTATATATTCAAAGCCAAGCATCAATATCTTAAATTATTAAGTGTACAAGAAATATATTTTTAGAAGGCAAAAGATGAAATAATAAAGCAACTAAAAATGGTAAAATAAAAAATTATTCTTAACCGTATGTCTATGGTATTCATATACTTATAGTTTTTATGCTCTACTAGATTACGATCTTGTTCTTTTTTTCCCTCTTTTTGACATGGTTGTCACATTATAAATTACTGGTTGTTGAAGTGAATGGCATCTAACCTCATCGCCGAAGAAGATATTATGTAATATTGTTGGCAATACTTGTTGGTAAATATAAGTATATTGCAAAAAAGAAAAAACACAATGTATAGGATAACGTCATTGCAACGCGATCACACACCAAGTTTCATAAAAATTATATGGAAACTTTCTGAGAAAAAAATAGAATTCAATTCTTTAGTAATATAAAGCCACATTATAAGTATATAGAAATTTTAATGATAATTGAAAAAATTAAACAAAAAAATTAACAAAATAAAAATTACAATTAGGGTAAATATTCTAATTACGGCGCGATTCGAGTAAAAACATCTTTGAAATAGAAAATTCGAAATTTCTATTGTATAAAATCAATTTAAGACTCATTAAACTAAAAGCCTATGTTAGATATTAAAACAAAAATTTTAACTTTATAAAAATCGATTATTTAAACAAATATAAGAAATTAAAACTAATACTGTAATTTTCTATTATTGTGGTATCAATTACGGTGACCAAAATTACGTGTATTTTGAAGATAATTTGCCCGCCGTAATTGAAACCAATGGAAATTTTAAAAATGTTTCAATTATGGCGTGGAAAAAAATTTCATCTTAAATAATTAAATTAATAATTATTTTAACTTTATTAGTAATTGTAGAAAAAAAAGATTTAAATAATTTGTTTAAATCATTTTACAACAGTTATATTAAATATAATAGTAATAATAGCTATTTTTTATGAACACGCCGTAATTGGTACACTTACCCTATGCTATATTACAATAACACGACCGACTAAAATTGAAACACATTTACGAATGCAAATGTATATTTTAACATTTTAAAAAAATTTTAAGAAAATATATTAAAATCTATGCTAATTATATTAATTAGCTAAAACCACTATGCCCATAATTGAATTTACTTTATCAATTTAAAATCGTTAATTACCAGATTTAAAACTACCCATCTCATAGATGTAACAATGAAAGGTTAGAATGAATAATCAGAATGATGATCACAACAGTTCACTATTTATATGCCCTGTTGCATCTTTTTTTTCGTTAAGATATTTATATAGATCTCTATTGTTCTTTTTTCTTTTACTAATTAACATATTTTAATGAATCTAATCTCTCCATTTAACTTATAAACTTAAAATTATATACCTAATGTTAACTATGAAATCTTTAGACGAAATAGTGAATTAAAAAAAAAATTAGAAATTTTAGATGGTAAAAAACGAGTTTTTTCTTAAATATATAAATATATACCCCTTTTTCCAAAACTGATAATTTACTTTCAATTTTCGAGAAATTAGAATGTTTTCGGTATTGTCAAATTAAAAAAAAATAATTCTTATATTATTATTATTAACTCGATATGTATTTATCTTCACTTTGCAGTCACGTGATTGACTTCGAAACACGTGTAGAGCTGTTGACAGCACAAAAATTATAATCTGTTAAAAGTAAATTTTGTTTTGCATGAAAATTTAACTAATTACACTAACAATACATAGAAATAAATTAATTAAGTCATAATTTTTTAACCTAATAGCAAAACAATCTCATGTAATGTCTATAAAGGCAGTTTTCCCCTTTTTTTAAACAATGACGTTCACTGCACTGTTTTAGAAAATGTAAACAAACATGCACGTGTCAAATAATCATTTATCTTTTCTATAAAAATCGATATTGTTTTGACATTGTTACATATATTGTTATAACGTGCAATTGTTTTGGAGCAAATGTTTGTTTTCACTCTCAATAAAGGGGAACTATGATTCATATCTTATTATACAGTTAAATGAACTGAATCAAGGCAATTGAAAAAAAGCAAGTGTCAAGAGAAAGAGAGAAAAAATATATTAAAGGGATAAAAGAGGGTAAATTGGTGCCGGCGTGTCTGACACAAAAACTAGAAACAGTTAAATAGACAAGATAGGTTAGAATTGCTTTTGAATCTTTTGGATTTGTTTTAGAAAAATTGTAAAAAAAGACTCACCTCATGAACTTTAGGATGTCGATGATTACAATGTCTATGTTCAAACATACAACACACCATGTTCACAAAGCACACTATCACGAGAAAAACGAAGGGCAATGCTGTGCCGCATTTCATCTTCAAGCGGACTCGAGCCGCCATATCACATTCACGTTCTCCTACCACAGCATATTCACTAAAACTGAACTGATTTTCTTGATAAACCTAGTTTTGTAGGGATTGGCGGATTGGCCACGGTCGTATTAATGCACTCCTCGACCGCTAGGGAGAGCGCAAAACACGCGGTTTAATTTAAATAATTATTCAATATAATTATTTTATATTAATTGCTAAATATATATTATATAATATTGGCACAGTAATATGGACAAAACGACTCATAAAGAAAAAATATTTTCTCACGCTAAATATTCAAAGCTAAAGAAAGAAATGGCAACGTGTAGGAGTAAGGGCGCACTCACACCTCTGGCTGCCTGCACAGGCAGCCAGTGAGAGCCAATCAAAGAGTCAGTAGATTTAAATTTGAATTTTCTGCCTCTCTTACTCTTGTACGTTTTCTGCGTGGTGGGAGGCTGCCTGTGCAGGCAGCCAGAGGTGTGAGTGCGCCCTAATAGATAGTAAATTCAAATTTGAATTTTCTCTCTCTCTCTCTTACTTCTGCACGTTGCCATGACAACTCCTGCAGGCAGGCAGCCAAGAAGGTGTAAATGCGCCCTTAGCTTATGGGTAACACACAGTTAGCCAATAAAATAATATGCACCCCGGGCTTAGATAAATTTTTTTAAAAATTAGTTTTTTTGTTTGAAATTTATAAATATTTAAATAAAAATTACTTTTTACTTAATTGATAGAAAAAATACACAATATGGTTATAAAAAACAAAATACTAGATAAAATGAATGAAATGGAAAATATTAAAATAAAAAAAATATATAAATATTTAAAAAAGTAAATATTAAGAAAAGTAAAATAAAAATTACCATTATAAAATAATTAATAATATAATTTACACTTGCAGATGAATTTTTAATTCATTTTCCATATCAAAATCAAAAAAGAAACGATTATACTCTAAATTATATAATTAATTCGAAAAAAAACTTGAAATGTTTTTAAAAACATAATCTCAAGTTAATAAATAAAAATTTAATTAAAAAATAAATTTTATATATCAAATTAATATCATTAAAATATTTTTTTTTTGTTTTTTTTTTAATTATACTTAATATTCCTAAATTCTTGTGATTTTACATTTATGAATAAATTAAAATTAATGTAAATTTAAATATTATAAATATTTATACAACGTATTAACAAATTTTTAAATTAAAATTTCCTCTCGAATTCAAGATATTATAATTAAAGGAAACTGAAAATGTAAAATTTCCATTGTTTCGGAAATTTACTCTTTAAATATGAATATACTAATATTAGAGAATAATACAGGAATATATTTTTAGACAATGCTTTCGACTTCGTAAAGAAGTACAGTATATAAAGATGTTCAACTCAAGGAGATCGACAAATGAAAAATCTAAAATTAGAATTCATCAGATCTCATTTGGAGACAGTCGTTTGTACGAGAAAATAAGCAAAAGATCAATTATCAAAAAAATGTCTCCTTTGAGGTGAGAATAATTAATTATATATTTATATATTTCCACTAAAATACTAATCAAAAGCCAAATTAATTATTCCCATAATTTTGCGCAGCTTTAAATAAAAAATAAAATCAAACATGCCTTCAAAAAAAAAAAAAAAAAAAAAAAACTGTCATAATTAATATTAAAATAAAAATGTTTAAATTCTCTAAAAATTTATGAGACAAAAATTTTTTTTCAGGGATAAACTTTCAGAATTTTTCAAATCTGTCAATAATGCTGCATCAAATGAATCATTTGGAAATGAATTTTGCAAATTATCCTTCAAAGGAAACAGACGACGAATGATCGAAATGCTAATTGAATTACCTGAAATAAAAAATATTCTAATTGAAAAATTTTATCATAACAAAGATGATAATTTAGCGTGTAATCTTTATAAACAAATATTAAATCTAAATGATCAATTAGAGGAAGAAGACAAAATAAATCTTTTAATTAATGCACTTTTTAAATCATCTTATAAAAGTAGGACATTTTTTAATATTTTAATGCACCTATCACAAAAATTATATAAATTAGGAAACATTATAAAATGTTTGGAATATTGTAAATATTTCAAAAATTTAGATAATTATCCCAATGAAACTAATTTTATTGATGAATTTCGAATTGAATTTCTTTTAATCGAATCAGAATGTTATAAAAAATTGGGATTTCATGAAAATTCAAAAATATGTCTAAACGATGCAATGAGAAAGGTAAATGAATTTATAACCGAAAAATATGGTAGCGAATGTGAAAAATTTAAAGATGAAAAACTCTCTTTTTTAAAACCAATATTCGAGCGTATGAATTCAATGAAATTGTGTCGAATATCGAAAAATGTGGATGATTTTTCAAAAATGAAGGTATTTTTCTTTTCTTATGACAAATGGGTTCTTGTTCCTTTTTTGACTAATAATGTTATACACATTTTTAGGATAAAAAAATTCCTCAAATTGAAGGAAAATCAAATGAAAAATTAAAATCCTGCTCGGATGCAATTTCCCTTGGTTGTAATGAAACTAAAGGAAGATTTCTATTTGCAACAAGAAGAATAAAATGTGGAACTATTTTAATTGTCGATCAACCATTTGCTTTTAGCACCGATGAGAATGCTTTGGAAAGAAATTGTCTCAATTGTCATACATCATTGAAATTAAATGAAAATATTCGAATACCCTGCAAAAATTGTCAAACGGTTAAAAAAAAATTTATTATTTCTTTTTTTTCGAAATCAATCAATAATAATAAACAAAATTTCTTTTTTTTACAGGTATCCTATTGTTCGGAATTCTGTCGTGAAGAATCATGGCACAAATATCACAAATATGAGTGTGAAATATTTAATTATTTTTTCAATATTCAAGAAAAAGAACTAGAAAAATCGTCTCGACTTCTTTTAGCATATAGAACGACAATATCAAATGTTTTAACCGCCTCTGGTTCATTAAATAGAGAATTTTTCGATTATCATTCACAAAATAATGAAGAAAAATTAAATACAGAAATTTATGATCCTATGGATTATAAAACAATTTATTCGTTAGAGACAAATTGTTCTAAATTTGATCCAAAGGAAAATTTTCAACTTGCTTTACGTTCAATTTTTCTCGCCAAATTATTTGAATTTGTAATAAGAGAAAATAATCCAAAAATTTCATTGACACAGGAAGAAATAATTCTTCTGTCTATTGGAAATTTTCGCCATTTACAGGCAATTAGTTGTAATGCCTATGAAATTGTCGAAAATATTAGAAATAATATTTCAAAAGTAATTGAACCGCAAAATATCGGCGGAGCAATTTATTCCACTGTTAGTCTAACAAATCACAGTTGTTATCCAAATATTATTCGACATTCCTATCCCTGTGGTAAGCTATAATTAATTTTATTAAATTCTTTCAATTACGATTCAAATTGAATATATTTAAATCAATAATTAAAATTTTAATAATTATTATAATAGGCACCGTTGTTGTCACTGCATTAAGAACAATCGAGAAGGGTGCAGAAATTTTGGACTGTTATGGACCGCATTTTTTAAAAGACACAAGAACCATACGAAAGGATCAATTACAAAAGAAATTTCATTTCGATTGTAATTGCGAGGCTTGTACTTTGGATTGGAAAATACCATTATCCGACAAAATTGATTTAAAATGTTGTTCCAATTCCAAAATAAATATGGAAAAATGCTCGAAATGTAAGAGAGACATGAGAAAAATTCGTCGACAATTTGAGGAAAGTAAAAAGAAGAAACTAACAGCAATAACGAAAATGTACAATGGCAATTACATTGAGGCTTTACCAATTCTTTTAGAACATTCAAATTTTATTGAGAATATTTTCAACGTGCCTAATTTAGAAATCATTAAAACACAACAATCAATAATTCAATGTTTAAATAGTATGTCCTGCACTTCTGTTGAATAAAATGTATAAAAATTATTTTAGAAAATAAAAAGAAAGAAAAAATAAATAAAAGAATTAAATTAAATCTAAAAATCATTTTTTTTTTTATAAAGGAAACTCTTACGTAAATTTCATTTCTGCTTTAATCGATTTATACACTGACATACGATCGCCAAAAAACAAGCAGCAATCATTTAAAACAAGTCATGTCGTGACAAGTGCATTTGATGAAATTGATTTTCGGCTTGCGTGAAAAGTAAGAATAATTATGTACACTGATCCAATATACATAGGTATAGATGTCGAATAACTTATCTAACGAAGAGTTGGTAAAGCCTAATTAAAACTAGCCTGACCGTATTTTTTTTCTTTCTTTTACTTTTTGAGCGGTGAACTGTGCTAAAGTTCCTCGCTTATCACCACATGTGTGTTTCGCGAATTTCACTGATAATATGACCGGCCTGCGTCAGCGCCTAAAAAATAAAATATTTTATTATAGACAAATATTTTCATTCTAAATTTCATAACTTTTTTAAAAGGTTAAAAGAATTAAAAATTAATTCTTTAAATTTCTTTACTCTCATTCTTAAAAATTAAAATTAATTTTTTTTCTACTTCAAATCAATCTTTTAAAAATAAAATGCATTAGAAATCGAATACGAAGCAAAAAAATTAAATTATCTAAAATAATTTATTATTTTGTTTGAATATTTGTATTTTGAATTTTTTACCTTAAGCATATTTGCAGTTTCCTTGCGCCTAACGGCGATGTGCTCACTTTCATTGAGAAGCGCTTCAGCTTGATCTGATTTATATAAATGCGTTACAAGTTCACTTTGAAGATTATCTTTCACATAATTTACTAAGAAATGCATCACAGCTTTTGGAACGCTGTCTTGTATCGATTTGCGCACAATGTAGAAATAGGACTTGATTAATCTCTCTGAAAATCAAAATTTTAATTAAACTTTTTAAGTCTCTTAAAAAATTTTTTTTATATCCTTTTAGCTTCTTCAATTTAACAAAAGAAGTAATTTTAAAAAAATTCAGGCAATCAAGTTTTACAGATTTTTAAATAAAATTTTTTTTTAAATAATAATAATTAATAATTAATCATTTTAATTGAAAAATAGTTTTAAGATAATTAAATTTGTGAAGAATTTTATTAAAATTATTAAAAATAATTAATTTAGTGAAGAATTTTAGTTAAAAACTTGTTAAATAATTGAAATAAAGAAGATCTGAAGAAGATTTACATTGTATACTAAAAAAATGTATTTTGTTTAAAAATTTTGTAAAAAAAATCGTATTTTTGAAAAAAAGTCGAAAAAGTATAATTCGAGGCCTACATTTTATGTAGCTAATTAAATTAAATAGTAAGTATTACAAAATTAATACATTATTTACTTTTCTAAAAAAATCGAAAAGTTAGAAAAAAATCATTTCTTTTGCATTTAATTACTTTTTTTAAATGAATACTATATTGTAAATTACCTGTCAATTCATTTAGTCGATAAAATATAATAATAATAATAAAAATATTACCAATAACGTCGCAGTCTCGTTGTTCTCTTTCGTTAAGTTTGAAAGAAATATGTGTAGGCACCTCTGGCAGTAAGTTTACAGGTTTTTGTTGAGGCGTCATTTTTTGTCCATCTGGTAATGAATTCATCAGTGAATTTGGCGACGATATATTTCTAACTGGTGATCCATCAGTTGAATTTGACGTCGATTCAGATTTTCCTTGTGGCAAAAGATTACTCAAAAGCCAATGATTCTGTTGTGGTTGCTCCATAGATACACTATCGCGATTATTCACAACTTTTGTGTTCTAATCGGTGAGAAAAAAATCTTATTAATAAGTTAGTTGAAAATTAATCAAGAAAATTTTTTTCAAATTACTATAAATAACATGTACTTTTTATTTCAATTGTATTTTAATTTTTTTAATTCACAATTTTTTTTATGATTAAAATTATATATATTAGTTTTTTTTATTAACTAAAACTAAACTTTTAATCTAATATTAATGTTCAAAATTTGTTAAAAATTCTATTTTCTGAAAACTATTAAGACAAAAATTTTGAATTACAGGAATTTTTTTTAAATTATTGGAATTGAATAAAAAAATGTTAGAAATTAACTCCTTTGAAAGGCGTAATTACCTTCTTAATTGACAAAACTCCTAAAATGAAGCACCAAGAGAATTTTCAGTCTTGAAAATAATAATAAATTAACGAGGAGTTCGCAAAATTTGAAAAATGAATTGAATAATTTAGAAGTATTAAATTGTTTCCCCCTCGTAAAAATAATATTCGTTAAAATTCAAACTCACTTTATCGAAGGGAACAATGGCATTAGAATTTGATGATAAATGCCTTCTCTTGTGCTCCATATCAACTTCCTTCAACATAACTGATGCAAAGGCAGCATCTTTATTAAAATCCGGATGTTTTGTATTGATGTAAGCCAATTCAATAGCAACTAGATTTTCAATCTGTAAAATAGAAAATAAATTAATTAAATTAAATTCCAATGAAATATTAAATAGAAAAAAAAAATGATTTCCACTCGACCATTTGATTAGTGGTTGGTAAACGTGTTCGTAACAATTGCGTAACAACGTCAACAATTCGCTCGTGTAATTTTGGAAAACGCAACATCTCCTGTTGAACTTCAATGCCACAATGTTGTATAATACTTTGCATTTCCTCATGTACAAGTTCCACGCAACGTAACGATGGATCCTTGAGTCTTCGTATTTGTCGTTTCACTAATAATTCAAATGACACCTCAGGCACAAAAAGTGCTGGCCTTGGACCAGTGGCATTTCGAATTGCCGTTAAAATATCCCTTTTTGTCAATCCATCAAGTGGATGTATTGAATCAAGTGTTTTTGCAAAACTCTCCTGAAATATATAACAAATACGTGCACCGCCATACAATGCCGTTGTCTCAATATTTCTCGCAGTACCCTCAATTGTCGAACAATAACTGCTGGCAAATTTTGTTATAATTTGCAATAATGTTTGACTTTTATCACCCACATCCTCGCCATAGGAATTCAATAGCGCTTGATATTGTGACACTTGTACATTCACTCGTGACTGTAAATAAAAGTAAAATTTAGATCATTAAAAAAAAATAATAACTAATTTTTAATTTTAAAGAAAAGAACCTTCAAATCTGGCAAACAATCACGAATATGTTGCATTAAAAGTCGATTGAGTGTTTTAGCTAAATATGGCGTTCCATTTCGATGCGCAAGTGTTGGATATTTACGTTGAAGAAACGTTGCCTCATCTTTTAGCGCATCTTGTATTGTTTTTTTATTATTTATATCTTGTTGCGAGCGATTCACCACGCCAATTATACCCAATTTTACAGGAATTACTCGGCCACAAAGAATGTCAATTGCATCAGTTCCTTTAAATAAAAACAAATTTAGTAAAAATGAAGAATTATTCTACAAAACTAATAATTACCAGCGTCCATAAGATCCATTTTTGTAACAACGGCCAATGTTCGTCTACCATCAGGATCGACATCCTTACTGAGTTTTAAACTCTCACTTGTTGCCATATCTGTATTCGCAGTGACAACAGCAAGTATTATCGAATTTGGATTACAAATATACTTGAGGACAAGTTGACGAATTTGTAATTCAATATCCTCAGGTTGATCACCAACGGGAACTTTTGTTATTCCTGGTAAATCGATTAATGTTAAATTCACTACCGACGATGAATATATCTTTAAATTAATCGGTTCAGGACATATTCCTTTATTCGCTCCCGCCATTCGATCAGTTTCTGTGTCAATTTCCTGTCGTATTTCATCGAAATTTTTGAAAATTTGATTTTTCTTGTGCAAAAATGTGCCCCATTCATTGAGATCCAATGTACCATCCTCTGCACTTCTATATTCACGATCATCTTTCGGTGTGTAAACCAATTGAAGAACTAAAGGACGACGTGTCACGATACCAACTCCTCGCGGTAGAAATGAACGTCCAACTAAACTTTCTATCACCGAGGATTTTCCTGAACTCTAAAAAGAAAAAATCATTTATTTTCTATAAAAAAAAACAATTTAATTACCAATAAAATTTTGTTTTTTTACATGCGATAAAAAAAATTCCACATAAGAATGTGTCATCAAGTCAATGTGACTAACAAAGGAAATTGATAAAGTTCAATTACTTCTCATTTGGAATCGAAAAAAAAATTCGCATAACTAGTGTCCCAAATATAAATAATACAAGGACAAATAAAAGGAGGTTAGGAAAATCGAAGATGTTCTTTGGTAACAAATAAAATGTTTCAAATTTCCCTTTTCAACAAAAAAAAAAAAGAAAATTAATTTAAAAAACTAACCTGTGTCCCCAGGACAACGATTTGTGGTAACTGAATAGCATCCGCACCAACGGTGTTAAATACATCTTGCAGTTTGTTGATTACTGGAATTAGAGCTTCCATCGTATAAAATACGAATCAGCAAATCGATTCTTTATTATTTTTTTTTTTTTACGAAATAAATGCCGGCAGTAGAAAATATAAAAGCGTAACAATTTTTAAGACTCTTTAATGATTCTCATGTATTTCAACAATCACGATTTTATTATAAATTCAGCTTGCTTTTGTTTTTCAATGAACAACCCCCGCGTTATAATTTCTGGCACTCTCAACCCTTCGTTTTGTTTAGCAAGACCAGTATATAGGGGTAGATTTTGATCACCCCCCCCTATATGTATATATATATAACTTGATGATAAATGCGCAAACGTAAAACCGCGCTGATTGAACTAGATTTTATTCTTGCAAATAACCACACAGTTTAAATTAATTACAATAAAAACATAAGTCGCGGCATTTCAAGAATACTATTAATAATTTTGAGGTTATATGTCAATGTTTCTCAAAAAAAAAAAACCGTTATAAAAGCAAATTTAAAAATATAAAATTTTTTAAATTATTATTCACTGTATTTCTATTTTCTCTTTTATTAAAAGAAAAATTAATTACAAACAAATAATATAGATATAATAAATAATTTGTATTTTAAAACTGTTTTTAGTTAATTTTTGACGTTTAATTTCGCTGAACTAAATTGTCCAAAATTGTCTAACCAATCAAAATCAAGGAAATGAAAAAGGCTTTAAGGAATAATGAATTCTGATTGGTGGAAAATTTCAGGAAAAGTTGTTTTTTATTTTCTGTTTTTTTTTATCAATAAAATAGATCATTTGGAAAATTCGCATCGTCTACCTGCAGCATTCGAGAAGAATCGAGTTTTGAAAAGATTCGTGCACCAGGTTTGCACGCCATTTCCTAAAAATTTTTTTACAGGTATAACCGTATTTTCGGTGAATATTCGCGTCAAACTAAAACGCTGAGAAATGCCTAAGTAAATTTTACTTGTGAAAAGAAAGGTATTCAAAGAGTGCTAGGTTATAAAACCAATTCATTTTTATCTTGGGGGAAAATAAATTTCCAGCTATTTTTTTTTTTGAAATATTTTGGGAATTATGGAAACGAATAAAGTTGACGAGGAGGGCCTACGAGGTGTTAATGATGGTGATTGGATTTGTATCGATGCACAGTAAGTAATTAATAAATTTATTTGTAAATTTACAATATTTACGATTATTCTTTATTTTTGAAATTTTGATTATTCGCATGTTTTTTTTTCACAGGTGTGCAAATGTCAACTTTGCAAGAAGAAGTTCTTGTAACAGATGTGGGAAAGGTTAGTTACTCTCAGGTATAATTTAAAAAAAAAAAAAGTGGAAAATATTTTTTATTTCAATTCTTTATTAGCTAATGAAATATAAACATTAGAATAACAATCGTGTAATTTTAGATAGAGGCGAGTGTGCAAAGAAAAAAAAGTTAGGACAAGAAATTGGAAAAGCAGCCGCTGAGAAAAGTAGGGGTTTATTCAGGTATTTTATTTAAATTCCAGAATATTCGATAAATAGAACATCTTTTATTAAATTGCAACTGTTAAATTTAAAAAAGAGAATTTATATTACAGTGCAGACGACTGGCAATGCAGTAAATGTGGAAATGTAAATTGGGCACGAAGACAACAATGTAATATGTGTAATGCTCCAAAATTCGGCGAAGTAGAGGAAAGAACAGGATATGGTGGCGGTTATAATGATCGAGGAGTCGTTGAATATAAAGAGCGAAGGGAAGACGATGACGATGAATATGATGAATTTGGTCGACGGAGAAAGAAAAGAAAAATCGAAAATCGTTCGGATGATGATTCCAAGGATTCCCGATATAATAGTCCACCTCGTGATAAATCGAAGAATGAAGAAGAAATCGAAGATACAAAAAAAGAAGAACAAGAAGAAGAAGAAGAGGAAGAAGATAAAGAAAAAGAACCAAATGTAATTTGTTTTCACAATATGATTTCTTAATCTTAAAAGAGTATTTAGAAATTGAATGAATTTAAATTATGTAATCAAAAATTTTAAACTGATGGACAATTTAATTAAATTCTAAACTTAGCATTTAATTAAATAATCAAACTTTTTGAATAGTAAATAAAATTCTTATTTCAGGAGGAAGAGGAAGATGAAGACGAGGATGATGAGGATGATGGTGATTTATCAAAGTACGATCTCAGTGAATGGGACGATTTAGTACCAGCGAAGAAAAGGTTTGTGTGTGTGTTTTGTTTTAAATTGTAACTTTGCATGTTTCCTATGAATTATATTATTTTTCCTTTCAGTTTAAATGGTTCTACAACATCCGTGGAAGGAAAACGAACAAGGTAAGAGAGTTAACCACAGAATCAGAGAGACATTTTCGATTACAAACGATCTTTTTTCTATTCTCAAAAAATTTCATTGGGCAATTAATTCAAAGTGTCTCTCTCTCTCTCTCTCTTTCTTTTCCTATTTTTTTCCGATAAGTCTATAGAGTCGGAAAATTTGCACAATTAAATAAAATTTCCAGAAACGGAGATGATTGAGTGCGATATTGAGACGTTCAACTATTGAATTCAAAGCTACAGTACAGGTTTGACTTGGGTTCTGGGTATAAAGTTGATGAGAAATATTTTTTACTATAAAGAAATAAAATTTTCGAATATTGCATTTATTTTTTCTCAAGAGAATTTTTATTCCCTCGAGAGCAATAAAAAAAAAAAGTGATATTCGTGATAGATTTCAAAGAAACAAGATAAAATTTTCTCTTTATTTTTTCTTCTTTTTTTCAGATGAGCCGAATAAAAAATACACATCTTGACAGGACAGCACTGCTGCTACCGCATTGTTTAGCCAGCACATTTCGATTTTCCATCATTAAATGACGCATATATACTCGAAGAAAATCCTGCTCTATACATATATATATTTATTAAATAGTCTTTATAATTGTGCGAGAAAAAAAAAGCATTGTATAGAACTTGTAAACTTCATAAGGACCCCAGAAGGAATGTTTTCTTTCTTCAAAGATAATAATTCTCTGAAGACTCTTTGTCCTTAATCTCTCATTATATCATTGTTAGCTGGAAATACGATTAATAGCTACTTTGATTTTTCATAATTACCACATATTTATATAGGAGAAAAAAGAAGGCCGATACGATTTTATTCGCCGATAGAATTTTTTTTTTTTTTTAATAAAATTTTACTAAACTTTTGTTTAGTATTTTCTAGAAAGTATTTGTAAATCATTTTTTTGTTTTTTTTTTACTAGAAACTTTGATACCTGTAATTGATAATTAGTATTAGTTTGACACTGTCGACTGCTAAAATATTGCATTCTAGTAAATTTTTTAATTTCTTTAAATAAAAGTAAATGAAATGAAAAATATAATATAAAACGATTATCAGTAATTTATACTAAAAATGCAATTTTTACAGCTGATACTTACCTAATTGATTTTCTACAAATTTTCTTTTTTCTAAACAGTTCCGCTTTTAATAGTGTAACAATGTTTACATTTAAAGATATGTAAATATATATTATATTATCTAAAAAATAAAATTAAAATTGTTATTAGTTTCAAAATCTTATAGAGAAAAACAAAGAAAGAAGAAAAATTGAAATCAATTTTAAAAAGAAAATATGATAGGTTGTGAATAGTTTCGAATACAGACAAAAGATATTCTGGATTTAAATATTATTCTTTATTTTTTTTCTTTTTTATAAACAAAAGTTGATTTTTCTTTAATTTATAATTATTTTTTTTTCTTTTTATACAATATTAATAGAAGGGAAATATTTTTTCGTTCTAAAGGAAATACAGGTTTTATTTTATTTTTTTTTTATAACGCTGTATTAAAATTGATGTTCATTTTCTTTTTTTTTTTAATATAAAACTTTATACATAAATGAAGAGACTAAAAAATTAATTCCAGAACATCCTTAAGGAAGCGTATTTTTTTTCGTCTAAGAAAAAAAAATAAACACAATATTGAGAGAAAGAGAGAGAGAGAAAGAGAGAAAATGGTATTATATATAGAAATCGGCAAAATTAATTTCAAAAACAATTTTTGTTATTAATACCCTCTATCGATTGGTTCTCACACGGAATTCTTGTAAATATCTTTATTTTATTTTTCATTTATAATAAAAATCATTCGTCAACAACGTAATTGTTCTTATTTAATTATATCTTCTTATAGACTATTACACTCTACTTTTTAAGGGTCATGATTATGCACAGAGTTGGTCACGAAAAATTCGATGAGGGGGCGATATTGTAAAGGATTTATGTTGCATTGGGTACATATGTATATATGTATAATATATTTATATATTTATATATAGTATGTATATCGCATATATATTTACAATTGTGAGTTTGAGCTTGCTCGACTGAGTTCTTTTTTTACTTTTTTTTTTTTTTCTTTATAAGTAAACTAGCAATAAAGGAAGGATCATAAATCTGCCAATCACGACTTTAAAACAAAATTAAAATAAAATAAAAATCTCCATGTTTTGTAAATAATTAGTAAATTATTATTCTTGAGTCGCAAATCTCGACGTCACCACGATTACGAAAGTTCAGATTTTACAATTAATATATACACGTACTGTCATTCGTAATATTTAGAATTTACAATGTGTCTTAAAATCCAATCTGTCCTCAATCGTTTTTATCCAATTTCAAAAAAAAGAAAAAAATTATTAAAAATTCTTTATAAAATTGGATATTTAACAGTAACATTTTTTTTTTGTTCAACACTTATAAAACATATGAAAATAATTATAAAAGTTATTTTTCTGTACAGAAAATTGTATTAAAATCATAGTCGTATTTTGTCGTTTTAATTCATCATCTTCGTAATTTTTCTTATTTATCATTGTTATTAAATTAAATTATTATTAAAAGCATATTTTAGTATTTAATTATTATTTACTAATAACTTTTTCCTTTGATAACAAATTCGTTTTTTTACGATTATCAAAAAAAAATTCCTTTTTTTTCAATATTTACCCCAAAAATTGTATCAAAAAACAATAATTAAAATAATTCGACTATAAATTTTTTTTATATCCACAAAATTGGCACTATTAATATACTATATAAATTATAAATCTTAATATCTAATTATTAAATAGTAAAATAATAAAAAGTCTCACAATCAGTCCAGTTTAAAATAGGATTAAAAGAAGAAAAAAAATTTTCAAATTCCAATTTTCCTAACAGAAAAATATCAATATCAAAAATCTTAAAATTTGTAAATATACACAAATTTTTACCTATATAATATATATATTTATATATAAAAATTCCCATCTCACACAAAACGAAAGTAAACAGACCGATTTGATTTAAAGACATTGACACGATTGACAATTAGCAAACGTTTTCAGCGTTGGGACGGCGAAATTTTTCATTAAAGAGAACAAAAAAAAAAAAAGAAAAAAAAATAAATCTTTTTCGACGCCGGTGGTAAAAAGGCGACTCAAGAATAGAAAAAATAGAGTCGTGAGGGGCAGTGGTTTTTTTTTTTTGTAAAGAAGACCAAAAATTGGAGAATATTGCCCAAAGAAAAATAATAATCATTTATTTGGGCATGAAGAACTGTTGATGTGAATGTGAATTGGGCTGTGGATGCATATTAGGATGCGGAGGAGGTCCACTAGCCCTCGTGCCAGTAGCGTATAATTGTTGTTGAAAATTATGAAATTGCTGAGCATAAGTGGGATCAGACATACTGGGACCACCGCCAACGAATGGACTATTTTTAAAATTACTTGAACCACCGCCCATACTCGGTGGTAATGGTTGTGTTGCTTCTGGTGGTGGTCCTAGGCCCATCGGTCCTTTATTTGATGAACCATACATTCCTGGATTATTATTTTGCCCTGGCATTTGTCCACCTGGCACCATATCGGGTGGAAAGACTTTATCTTGATCCATGGGACTACCAGGAAAAACACCACCACCAACCATATGTTGCATTCTCATTATTGGCTGTTGTCTCACCATACCACCAACTGGCCTCATTGAATGCATTGCAACTTGTGGATTCATTGGTGGTTGTGCGTCCATACGCGGTGATCCCATACCTGGTGGAAGTCCTTGTGGTCCACCCGCGTGTGGCACCATATTACCGGGCATACCTTGATGATGTCCCATATTATTGGGCACACAGCCATTTGGAAAATAATGTATATTCGCGGAAGGCGATGACATTTTGTTGTCGAGGCCAGGAAGAGGATTTGTGAAGCGTTGGAGAAAATCGAGACTCGGTGGTCCACGTGGAGCGTGGCTCACATTTGGCCTCGCCGGTAAGTACTGTATTGTATTCGGTGCACTTGGTTTCACCTATGATGCAGAACAAATTACCAAATTAGTAGTTTTCCTTTCCTTTCTCTTTTTTTTCAAATTATTGTAAACATTATTTTCCAATATTTAAAAAAAATAGTAAAAATATTTTCATTATATTACAAGTTTATATGTGTGTATCGGAAATCCGCAAAAAAAAAAAAATTCGTTCATTTGAACCTTCAAAACTTTTGGCACATCAGATATTGAATTAAATAATAAAAAATACCTTCCAATTATTGAAATTTTAATTCATTACTCAATCAAATAATTTTGATATTCAAATATATAGACAAATAACTGAAATTATTTTTAGTTATTTAAATAAATAATTTAAATGATTTTCGAGTAATTGAAATTATCTATAAAATTTACTTTAAAGTACTTTAAAATAAAATAATTACAATAAATAAATAATAATAGTATTAATAACAAATAAAAATAATTTAATTATTTAATTATTTAATTTAAATTATATTTACAGGTTTGCCACAAATATTTTATTTTGTTTTTCCCTGATTTCCAGTCAGAATTTAAATTTTTTTCCCTGACCCTAATAAAAATATATTAAGAGCTTTTCAATTATAAAAAATGAATTAATTACTTCTTAAATTTTGAAAAATTCATATCTCGTAAACGACTTAGGTAATGAAAAAATTTGAAAAAAAATCTCCTGGTATAAAATTTGAGTCCCGGCTTTTTCACAGGTTTTCTTCCGGTTGGGTAGCTACTCTGTTAAAATTACCTTAAAATATTACTCTAAATCAAAAAATTGTTATCATTTTTAAATAATTAAAAATAAAAATTTGTATAAAAGATTTATAAAAATTCATATTACAGGCCTCGGATCGATTTTAAGGCACAAAAAAGTCGTTTTAGTAGATTTATATTACAAAAAAATACTAAAAAAAAAAAAGTATTTTGTAAAAAATGTAAAAAAAAGTCGCATTTTATTAAAATAAGTCGAAAAAAGTCGTATAATCCGAGACCTGAATAATAAAAATTTGCCAATTACCTGAATATTAGCTCCATTATAGGGACTCGGACCAGTGACGTGAACATGTGAATGTCCATGTGGATGTGGTGCATGAGGATGTGGATGATTATGACCGCCGGGCATAAGTCTAGGTGGTGGTCCATGTGGATTATCTCCAACTCCACCGCCTCCACCACCAGGATAAGGACTTCCTTGTGGACCAACATTAGGATTTGGATGTGGTCCACCTGGATTGCCACCTCCTCCACCACCACCCATCATTGCATGTCCCATCATTGAATGATGATGTTGCATTTTATTAGGAACACCAGGACTGCCCGTGTGTGGCGTTGGACTGTAACTCGTTGGTGGTCCACCAAGACCCATACACATTCCCGTAACATCGCCCGGTTCATTACCAGTGGGTCCACCCGGCATATGGCATCCTCCATTTAATTCACCACCTCCGCCTTGCATTTGCATCATGTGCATATTATGTGGATTTCCAAATGGCATCATTCCTGGATTGGCCGAATGCATTGGACCACCTTCATTGCCAAGTGCATTACTCGCCGCGGTATTTGTCAATTGTTGACTCATTTGTGCTAACGATGTAATTGGATCAAAATGATTTGTATTCATTGAACCCAAACCACCGAGACGTACGCCCATATTGTTTGGATTTAGAGGAACATTGTCGGATGTTTGACTAACTGAAGGTCTACTACAGGGGAATGATCCACCTGGTCCAACCATTGATGGTACGAGGCCTGAATTATTAGGATTGACAGGATTTTGCTGTTGTTGTTGCTGTTGTTGCTGCTGCTGTTGTTGAATTTGTTGCTGTTGTTGTTGTTGCAAGTCCTTTGCAGAGGGAGGAGAGGTTTCGGATTTTGTATTCGGTGATGCTGGAACTCGTGGCGGTCCCATTGCATCCTGAAGACTTGAATTATGCGGTGCTGGACTACTTTGAGCACTTGCTGTTGTTTTATTACTCGGTTTATTAGAATCAACTGGTGTATGCGGTGTGACACTTCCTGGTGTATGGGGAGTGTGAGGCGTATGTGGACTATGAAGAGATCCAGTGAATCCTCTACTCGTACTCTCCATCGATGGGCTCGGTGCTTCAGATCTTGAAAATTGATTACTGTTCTCCATATTTCCGGTGAGCATTCGATTCGGCATTTCTGTACTGCTACTTGTTGTACTTCTGTAAGTAAACCATTTTTTTACACTCTTTTTTTCACCTAATCATCAAATTTTATGTTATCAGGGTAGCGATAATTTTTATAATTATAAATTCCCGAAAAATTTTGTAACGAATTAAGTTTTTGATGAATTTCAATTAAAATTATTGAAGAGCGATTAATTGCAATTTTTTTTTGAAGTAATTGAATTTCTAAAAATTTCAATTTTTATTATTTAAAATAATTGAATTATTTAGAAATGTTTAATAATTATTGAAAAAAATAATTTATTTAAGTTATTATAATTTAATTTAATGAAAGTTTTTCAAATAATTGAATTAGGAGAATTTGTCTAAACTGTGAATAGTTTTATCTTATATTATCAATTAAGATACTAATTCCTACAATTTTTATTTACATTTATCTAGAAAAAGTAGAATTTAGCAGCTTCTGGTAAAAATTAGTATTAAAAAAGTAGCCCTGCCCTAAAAAAAAGTAAAAAAGTGTGGTACTTCGAAGTCTTGCATAACCTATAATTCGTTTGCTTCTTAGGTACCTTTTTTCGGAGTGCACCACAATTATAAAAGTAAACAGAAAAAAAAACTTACGCGGGTAAGCTACCATCTTTAAGACTCGTGTTAGGCTGCTTTTGTATTGTAAGTTCTTGGCCTTCGAATGTATTCAAATATTGTATTTGTTGTGGACTTGGAACTGGCATGAGATTCGCTTCCTTAACACCGGCTGCATTCACCGTTCCTCCAAGTTGTTTTTGTTGTGCTAAAGATTGCAGCGTTCGACCAAACATACCATCCACTAAAAAACAAAAAATTTACTCTCAATTTCTAAATAAAAATTTAATTTTCAATCTGAAAATTAAAATGAGGGTGTCTACTAATTTCGTTCAACAAAATTCCCGATTAGAAAATATCTTGCTCACCGTAAGACACTTTTTTTTTAAAAATTAAAAAACTTGATTTAAATGTAAGAAAAATCCCGACTAATTCTCGGTTAGTAGACACCCTGTAAAATTAAATGTAAAATTTATTAAAAAACAATACCGTTTGGCGGTTGATTGGTGGGAAAATCGAGTGAAGAATCCTTTTGCGGTGTCGCACCACTGGGACTTAATGCGGCAAGATGAGCATGTGAAACTGGTGTACCTGGATTACTGTGATTTAATTTCGTTGATGACGCAGTATTCACTGAACCAACAGTGGGAGTTGGTGAATCCTGACTTGTCGGACTTTGTCCTGGCAAATGGCTCGATCTTTGATTACCAAGTTGAAATTGTCTATTACAATCGGCTGGTGAATTTAATGCTGAACTTGCACGTGGCGATGGCAATGATAAATTGCTAGTGGGATTATTCGGTGATGATGGATTTGGACTTTGAATGGCAATCGGTACACTTGCAGATCTTGTTGTTTGATGATAAGGTGGAGGTGGACCTTGACTGCGTGGCATTCCTCCAACAATTCCCGATCCTCGAAGAGATCCGCCGGGACTTCCAACGCCAACCTATTTTATAAATAAAAAAGAAAAAAATTAATAAAAGCTAATCGAAGAAAATGTTTTCTCAAACATACCTTTCCCTTTCCATCCAGAAATGGATGCTGAAGTTTGTGCCAATCCATTGTGGGTGGACACTGATTCGGCAAAGATACTGGCGGAACATTAGGTGGGCAAGAGGATGTAGAAGTTGCTCCTGGCAGAGCATCCAAAGAACCAGTTGGATCTTCTTTTTGCTGTGGAAAGAGTATCATCTGCATCTTCCTTATAGTCGCCAATTGGACCTCTCTATGTTGCCTTTGTTGCGGAGTGAGATTCTCATCGGGAACCTTAACACCCTGCAAAGAAGGTTGTAATCCACCGGGACCTGGACTTGTTGTACTTCCCAATAAATTTGGACTATGACCCATAGCCGCATTTGTTGGCGCTTGAGTGTTTGCTATTCAAAACCAAAAAAAATAAAAGTCAAGAAAATTCTAAATTTTAATTTAATTCTATCATACCTGCATTGCTGGGAGAGGTTGGCACAAGGCAAGGCACATCCATATTTGGCTCGTCCAATGACGTTTCCGGGTTACCCAGGGAATTATTGCCATTTAAATTTCTGATGTTTGGTTGCTCATTCCAAAATGATGGTGCATTTGGATCGAGTGCTGGCAATTCTGGTGGTTGTTCTGTTGGGAAACCACTGTTTGCACCTCCCTGATGACCCTTTTGCTTTAAATTTGCAAGATTATTCAACCAATTCGCTGGATTTTGACGAAATTGATTTATTTTGTTTGGATGTTTCTGTAAAAGAAATAAGAAAATAATTATTTATTATTAAATATTAATTTTATTTTATAAAAATTTTATCAAAATTTACCTCTAAATATTTTTTAGTGCCTGGTTGTGCACAATGATAGGCAATAATCGAGGGATATTGACCAGCCATAATTGCTTCCGCCCCCTTGTTTGCCAAAGCCGTCGAAAACACGAAAATTTGACTCTGCTGTTGCATATATTGAGCTTCTCCACTACTCGCACCGCTGCCCATTTGTTTTGCAAGAACATTACTCACTAGTGGTTGAACACCTTCAGGTGGAATTCCAACGTTTGTGGGACAATCCACTTTTGAAAACAATAAAAAAAAACCTTTTATTTTTTGCTTACTTTAAAATTGTTTTTATTTTATATAATTGTTAATGAAAAAAAAAAAAATTAGTAATTTTATCATTTAAAGAAAATAATTACCTCCTGGAAGTTCGTCCGTTGGATTATTATCCTCTTGTTTAACGGAATTAAGTATCGGTTGGCTGTTATTGCCGTTTTGGTTGTCTGATGACATTGTGTTTTCTCCATTTGCTGAATCTAGTGAAGGATCTCTAGGACATTCAGTTGTGTCCTCAGTGGTTGAATCTTCGTTATTACCAGAGCTTGATTCTTCTTTGATTTTAACACGATCCGCATCGGGCTCCTCCTTCACCACTGTTGTGGGTACACAACTAGGTTCACTTGTTTTCTTTTCCGTCTTCATATTTGCAGGCTCAAATAGGAGCTTCTCTCTCATTTAGATTTTCAAGCAGCTTAAATTGACAATAATCATTGTCAGATTTTATCTATTGAAAAAATCAAAACAAATATAATCGTCAACACAATTAACTCTCAAGATAATAGTCAATTAAATATAATATTTACATATATAAACATATTTATATTTATCTTTTCAATTTATATTATTTACCCATGTAGTTAAAACAAGTTTAACATTTTAATTACTAAGAAAGTTTTTTTTTTCTATCTGTCAGGTTAATTACATTTCAGTTATGTTTGGTGTTTAAAAAAATAATTTATTATTAATAGTGTAACGAGAAATTGCAGGGTAATACAACTTTACTGATTATATTACAATATTGTTAAGGTGATAAATTTGTTTTTCAATATTATTTATTAGTTAAGTTATAGATGTTTCGGTAAATTCTATTGCCTTAAACATAATCATATATCTGCAGTTTACTGATAAAAATATGCTTACTGATAAAAAGAATTGTATTTCAACGTCAAAGAATATTTGTATTGAGTGTATATAGCAATACGCTGAAATTTCAGATAGTAGGTAAGAGGTAAACAAATTAAACTCAGCTAGCTTCGAAAAAAATTGTATATGCAAATGTTTAAAGTCAAAGAAATAGTTTATAAAAACATCGTTTTCATATATTATCATTGAAAAAAAAAATGTAATATCTTAACAAGTTACATGTGTATAAATATGTAAAGTGTTATAACTTATTTTTATTGTTTGAAAAAAACTAATTCAAGGAAATATATAATTCATTATAGAACCATTTCTATTAATACAGACTAAAAATCAGGCCAATATTTTTTTTTCTTTATTTTGGTAAATTATTTCAAAAAAATTGTTTTAATACTAAAATTTCTTTCTTTTTTTTTTTAAATTAAAAAAATCGTTGATGAGTGTTTTCTTGTTTATTAGAAACATTTTAACATTATTAATAAAACATTGGACCAAAAAGGAAAATTTAACAAATACTTTCACTCATAGTTTTTGCTGTTTTTGTTTACCCTGAGAAAATCTATTCATAACTGAAAATATCTGACAATTCCAAAAGATCTAGTTGTTCTAAAAACAGATTCAAATAGCTACGTTATCATTAACCTAAAAATTAATACAATATATATCTGAATTTCGTCCCACACGAAAAAAAACTAATTTCTCACAACGTTCATCTCCCTTATCATCCAGTTTGTTGAAATTATCGTTTTAATATTATTAACTAAATGCATAAAAACAGAAACGAAATTCTTTTATCATTCCTTTTTTACTGACACTTGATCACATACAAAACGCATATACGCTTATGAACGTTTCAGCTTACCCTTTAGACAACAAAGTGAGCTAATAACTTGCTGGACCCCAAAATACAGGTTAATCCAGAACAACTTCTTTTAACACCAAGTTTTAAATATGCGTTTGTTTTATAAAGAAACGCGGGAGCATTCTTATGGAAGTTTTGCACTATGTTATAGAGGACTGTGATTTCCAGTGTGTGTGCACTAGGAGTCAAGAGTGACCCCGGTTTAATTAGCCAAGATTTTTAGTTTAATCTCACATCGAATTCATAAACTTCGTGAATATCACTAAATTACACGATCGGAGAACGCCTCCGAAATCGGCAAGGAAGACTGCAAAAAGTGCGTTCGAAGATCTCGGGAGAGTTGGAAAACTGGCGAAATAGCAAAGTGTCACCCCCGGGTCCACGATAAGTAGGCAGCGCGCATCTCGAAGTAGCTTGTTTCCTGGGTGCAACTGAACTCGTTTCACTAACACTTAAGCACCCAAAACAATCGGAACTGGGGCCAACGCACGCCGCACTTAAATCTTTCGACCTCTCGCGATCATTGTTCTTCAACTTTATTTGTCACTTCATGGTCGCTTTGATTATTTATTTCTTTTACACACTGCTACCAACCGCTAGTCGAAAGTTGAACACTGTTTTAATGCGCCGCGTGAAATAAAGATGGCGATATTGAATGTTTAGCTTGTGCAACAAAGATGCGAGACAGGAGCGCGAGAGAGGCGCCGTATCTTGCATCTCTGTTCCCCTATGATGCTTGATCATACTATTTTGGTAGTTCTTTTCTCAAATTTATACACTCCCCCGACTCCCCTCATTTGTTAATCACCATTTCATACATGGCATTTTTCTATTCATTGGCCTTGAAATTTGAAATCAAACTTTCCAATTATAGTTCATTATTAAGATTAAAATTGTGTTTCGTGGACATTTTGCTCTGAAAATGAACAGTTTTGATTTGTTCGCTAAACATGTCATAAAACGAAAGTCTATAGGGAAATAGGGTGGAATTTGTTTATAAAGTTACTAGAATTGACGCCATTTTAAATGCAGAAATCATGAAACGGCGGGAAATTCAATATTTGTAACTTTATCAAGAAATTCTTTTTTCCCATTTGTTCACATAATAATGTTTACAATTTTTTGTAATTTAAATTCTATTTAATATCAATAATTAATTTTCTATTGGCAAAGAGATTGAGATGGTTATCAGATTAATTGAGAAAAAAATATAGAAATTCTTTATCAACAGAGTTGATTCTCATGTCGACAAAATAGACTTTTATTTTATCTAACTTTTAACCGGCATTTAGCTAATTGAGAAGATAGACGATACATATAGAAAAAGATAGAATATTTTGGAAAGATTCATCAGCTGATTTGAAGACCTGTCTATATAGAAAAGCAGAAAATTTATAAAACAAGTTGCTGAATATTTGAATCTTGTAATTCTGCTAATTCAATTGTTGTTTTTTTTATTCTTGCATATAATTATACACAAGTAAGTTCATTGTTGCTATTTATATAATTAAATTGATGAAATTTGACCTTATTTTTAATGCGAAATTAATATTTTTTGGTTTTGAATCGTATAATTAATTTGTATTATTTTATTATTTTTTCTTTCCATTCTATAGATTTTTCAAGCATGGCTCAATTGGAATTAGATCCGCATTTCATACAGGGTTTACGATTATTACATTCGATAAATAAGGATTCTGCTGATCAATTAAGAACCCTTTTAGATGAAGCAATTAGACAAAAACATGGACCTGTCAAAATGTTGTGCAATATTTTGCACAAAAAGGTATTAATGAATAATTTAAATAAATATTTTATAAAAAAACATTATTTTCAAATGCTATTGTAAAATTTTTTAATTGAAAACGTATTTTAGAATATCTATTTAATATTATTAAGGCCTGAAATAATAATTATTATTAATAAAATGAAATAAAGCAATTAATATTACCTTCTCTTTAATTTTCAGTATACAATGGAGGAGCCAGTTTTAAGTGATCACAGCAGCGGAAGTAGTAAAAAAAGTAAAAGTTCATCGTCTAAACATTCAAGTAAATCAAGTAAAAATAGTTCTCCAGTAAATGTTCCAGCTCGTGATACACCACCTGATGTAATGCAATCTGATGATAATTTGGCTCTTGAAATATTGGAAGACGATTTAACATGTGTTGTATGCAAAGGAATGGATGTTGGCGCAAGAAATAGACTTGTCGAATGTGCCGAATGTCATTTTTTATATCATCAAGAATGTCATGTGTCACCAATTCAAGATTCACAAATCGATGCACCAGGTGTTGCGTGGCATTGTTTTTTGTGCACTAGTAGTCAACAGGTAGTCAATTTGACACCCATTTATTTTCTCTATCAAAATAATAATAATAATAATAATCAACAGATTATAATTATTTGTCCAAATCAGAACAATAATTAAAAAGAAAGAATTATTTGTGTATAAAAGAAAACAAAAATAAATATTTTTCTAAAAATTTAATAAATATATATAATTTTGATTTAGACCTCAAAGGAGGGAACATCGCCAAAGGCTGTGACAGAAACAAAATCAAAGAAAGAGAAAAGCAAATCTTCATCGAGTGAGTAAATAAAATAAAGATTCAAAATTAATTTAAAAAGGGTAAAATCTTATTGAAAATATTGTTAGAATGTAATTTTGAATCTTTTGAGTTTCTTTTTTTTTTAAATAAAAAATACACACACCAAAAGAAGTTAGACCTTCTAAAAACTAATTGTAATTAGAAAATTTTATGGCTTTGTTTTTGAGTATGTTCCAGGCATGCTTTATCCTCTTAATCTCAGGAGAGAAAGTCAATCATGATATTTTTCCGATGGTTATCCTATTATTCAACTGCATGTGATGCTTCTTTTGATGTGTGTAAAGTGCAAGTATCTAGTTTGAAAAATTAATCAAAATTATTTTTATTACATTTAAATTCATTTTCACTACAATCTTTTTTTGTTTTGCTATTTTTCGTTTTTTTTATAATTAATTAATCAGTTTTTAATTCTCATTTTATCAAATTATAAATTTTCTATTAAAATTTAATTGAATTTTCTTTCAATTTAATAAATTGAAAATGCAATTAAATTAGTTAATGCTATCCTTAATTAAATATGTAAATTAAAATTCCAACGAATGTTGACATTGAAACAAATTTGACAAAATCATATTTCGTGCAAAAAAAAAAAATTCAACCAGGTACTTACATTTAAGAATAATAAATTAGGAATAGAAGAAATTTATTCTATTTTCTAAATTTCAGGTTCAAAGCACGATAAATATAAATCTTCAAGTGGCCTTAATCAATCATCAATGAATGGCAGTAGCAGTGGTGGTAGTTCATCAAATACAAGTAGTTCATCATCAAAAAATGTAACAATGCCAAATATTCAAATAATTAGCGGCGATAAACGACTACGTGACATGATGAAAAAAGCAAAACAGGACAAACGAAGTTCATCTAGCAGTAGCAGTAGCAGTAGTAGTAAACATTCTTCGAGTTCTTCCTCAAAATCTTCTCACGAGAAATCACTTCTCTATAAAATGAAATCAGGTTCTGAATGAAATTAAATTTCATTCTTATTAGAACTCTTATAATATTTACAATCAATTATTTAATTAATTTTTTTCTATAAAAAGTACTTGTATAGGAGGTACTTACTTAGATCATAAATAATTTTTTTTACCAATGTTAGCAAGAATCAGATAAATGAAAATTAGTTCAACTATATTTTCGTATATTTAAATAAAAAATACAATTTACATTTAAATTATTCACTAAAAGTGTGAAAAATTTAATTTTCCATATTTTGAATCATTAAAAGTTACATAATAATAATTTTTTAATTTTACATCTAAAGTATTAAAAATTTATCCACACTTTTTTTGAAAAATTTTTTTAAAATGAAAATTGGTTATTTTAATTTAAAAATACGAAAACGAGGAATTTTCAGATAGTTCAACTCCATCATTTGGAAATTGAATAACACATTTTTTACTTTTTATCAATGGTTTTAGGAAATTAAAAAACAGAAAAAAATTTAAATTGTTTTAAGGGGAGGGACCGCTAAAATTTCAACTTTTCGAAATTAAGGCTGTTTAAGGTTATCAATTTTTTTTTTCTGTTAATATTGATTTCTGGTTCTAAAAAAAATTGTTAAAAAATCAATTAATTTATCAATTATTCTTTAAAAATTCAACTTCTTTTACAATTTTTATTATTTTTCATCAGTAATTTTTTATAGGCTTTTTAAAAATTAAATTTCTAAAATGGTAAAAAAAAATATATTTTTTTTAATTTTGATAATTCACAATAATTTGAGATTCCAAATAATGTTAGAAAAAAAATTAACACACCTTAACAACATTAATTTCGATGAGTTGAAATTTCACCAGTCTTTCCCCTTAAATCTATTTTAAAGTTTTATTTTTTAGATGTTTAATAAAAAAAATTATAATTTTTCTTAGAAACAAAACCATTAATAAAATATAAAATATGTTGCAGTGTCTATTTTTTAAAAAATAGTACTTTCATAAAATTATTAAATTTAAAGAACAATTTTTATATTGAACATTTACAATTATGGATCAAATTTTTTTTTATGATTTTATTATTTGCTATTTGTATTAACTCTTTATTTTATGAGACTTGTATATTGGGTACTTTTGTACATATATAATTATAATGAAACTGCCACGATCAATATTATTTGAAGATTATAAATTTACACTTATAAAACAAAAGTTGCTTTTCATTTTAAAAAAATAGCCCAAAAAATTTTTTTAGTCAAAAATTATAGAAAATTAAACTTCTATATTATAATTTAAATATTTTAATTATTAAAATGAAATTCATTTAATTTTTAATAAATTAAAATAACATTTAGTTAATAAGAGGAAAAATTTTCAACGAGGAATAAAGAGGTGAATGAGGAAATGTTACGGTTCATTTATAATACCAATATATTTTTGCGATTTTTAATTTCAAGTTTAATCCCTACGTCCCATTGAAAATTTGGCAAGAGTCATTTCGTTTCTCGAGTGTGTAACTTATTAGCTAAGTTGTTTTTTTTTCTTTTTTTCGGGTGAAGGGTACGAGGGTGGGAATATATTTACAAACGGGTCATGTGGATTACATTAGCATTCGCGCACATACACTCATACATTTTTCTTCACTCTACATATCTATATATGTATGTTAAACACATTCGCGTGTATTAATAAATACACACATATATACATAGTGTATATATATATATAAATCTCGTACACTTGTAAACCATACATACGCGTTCACTTTTACATATATACGCCACTGTGTTTATTTATAATGTAGTAGAGTACATTCACCTCCATTCGGCCAATAGAACAACTATTTCACTCTTTAAAGTGCAAAAAGTTTTCTCCGCTCGATTCCATAAATTGAAGAAAAAAAAAAAAGAAAATCTTTAGTCAATCTAAAACAATTTCCTTGGGAGGGGCGGTTACCGCCTTAAAACTTTTCTATTTCAATTTTAATTGCAATTAAAACTTGTATGCATATTTTAAATGTTAATTCAAAATATATTTAAATTCATTCTAACTGAAAATTCAATTTCTCGAGGAATTTAAAAGACAAATTTTCTGAAATGTAAATTAAATTGCAAAAAAAAGATTTTCCTTTTTATGTTAATTAATTAAATTTCAGAAAATAATAATCCAAAGAAACTATTGTTTAGATTGATTAAAGTTTGTATAAAATTATCGAAAAAATCGTTTTTAACGAAAAAGAAATTCTTATAATCGTTTTAAAACGATAAAATCGATAAACGAAAAAAAAACACTTAATAATTAGCGTCGATTTAGTCTGTTTCAACTCTCCCTTAATCTAGAGAAATATAATGCTACTTAATCACGGTCCTGCGAGCGGCCGTTCTTACACTTCGAATTGCATTTACGTTACACGCACAATTGACAAAGCTTCATTTTTCTTCAAACTTGGATGGAATAAAAAACGGTCAATGGGCTTATTAATTACATCGAAGTATAATCCGGACGTTTTCGGGGCGTTTCGATGCGAACTTTTCGCCAAAAATTCACTTTTTCTATATCGTCATTCATTTTTTTTTCTATCTTCCCTTCTTTAATATTTCTTTTATATCCATTTTTTTTAATTACAGCTATATAGCGTGAGAAAAGTCAATCTGTGCGTTGCAACCGAAAAGGAAAAAAAAAATCAAAAATTACAAACGAGTCTTTACAACCTTTTACATTTATGGAAAAAAATTCAGTTTCATGTATAAAAAAAAATAATCGTCCATTGCTTCTGAGGGTTACAAATTCATTGGATTTAAAATTGAATGTATAAATTCTATTCTTTTTTTATATTCTATATAATATCAAGTGTGTAAAAAAGAGTATAATATGTATATGTTTTTTTTTTTAAATAAATAATAAAGATCACTGAAATATCACTTCGCGGAGAAAAATTGATAAATGACAATTAATATTGAGTTTTTTTTTTTTGATGATTCATCGATTACAATAGTGTGTGTATAAAAATCTACAATGTTCATTGATCGGGATATTGAATTATTACTATTTCTAAAGAGTAGAAAATGTTAATCTGACAACAATTCCTTGAGAGTTCTGTACAGTCAGCGCACACGTTTATCACCGTCAGAAGCTGGAACCGGATTGCACATAATTTTTTTATTTTTTAATTCAAAACGCAATCTACGTTTTTCATTTAATGTATCACTCAATTGTGATTTCAATCAAAATTGTTACAATATAAAAAAAAAACAAAATTATGAAATGATATTTATGTTTCTAGAATACAAAATTTTGTTAAAATTTCCATTATTTCTCATTTTCAAATATGAATTTAAAATAGAGAAAGTTCTATACAAATTTATATTTGATAAATAGTTTAAAATTTTTTTTGACAAAACGCTTGTATTGTATAAACATATTCTTGTAATGACATAATTTAAAAAAAAAATGTTTTTAACGAATTTCTTAAAATTTTGATTGAAATAATAATCGAATGATCCTTTCGTTACTTTCTTTATCTCTCTCTCTCTCACTTTTTTATAACGAGACTCGAGATGCCTTCTCCATCGAGTTTAATAAATCGCGGGGGAAGGCAATTTCGAGCCCGGAAGACCGTATTAAAAATTACAATCAACGCAGATTGACGTGCGAACCGCGACATTTAGAGAGCGATCGCCGTACAAGACGTGGGTTTTTTTTTTATAAAGCTAGTTTGTTCGTAGTATACCTAAATAAATACAGTACATATAGAGAGATACATAGGGTCATTGATTCCCGGTAACCAGAAACTTGATGATTAATGAGTATTTAAGTACAAGAGAGAATTGAGAGATTTTCCTTTTTTTTTTTTGACAAATATTTTTTTTTTGTCAAATTTCTGATTTCCGGGGATCTTAAACTTCACGTCCGTTCATCGCTCGGATCTTGGCAGATATAACATAGTATCAACTTACACATTACAATAATAATAATAATAATTTTAATAATAATATAATAATAATTATTATGATAATTATCAATAAAAATAATTAATCATAAACATTTGTTCATTGCGCAAAGAGAGCCATGGCAGTGCGCGCGCTGAGTCTTATAAATAACGCATTATCTGCCCGAGATTGCAAAAACTTATTTAAAAAAAAAAACAGTCAAGTGTAAATGCACTGGAAGGAGTATTCTTGATTTGTCATTGTCATCGATCCATTTCATGAATGACAAAAAACACCCAACTTTTGTTTCTCATCATCTAAATGATTAATTTTTTTTTTATTCCACTTTTAGTGTATCTCTAATTTTTTTTAAATGAATTAAAATCCATTAGTTTTTTTTTATCAACAAATTTCATTATTTAAATGAAAATAATTATTGAAAACTGAAAATATTTTCGTGAATATTAATATTGTAATGATATATATAAAAAAATAAATAAATTTAAATAAAAAAAACCAATACAATATAGAGATGAGAAACAAACGAAAATGTGTTTTTTTCTCCCGTGAAATTCATATAAGAAAAAAATAGCGGAATGATCGCGCACTCGCACCATATTAAAAAGTCGTGATTTAACATTAAATCTTGTCACATTATTAAACCTATATATTATGGATACCGAATGGCCTCGAGCACTGGTATAAAAAGTGTTTTTATTTTATTTTCTTTTTAAGACCTACGCTTACAACAATTTACAATAATAATTCAAAAGTTTTGGGAATGACAGTGATGATGACAATATGAGAGATGATGGCTTTTATGACAATGATGTTTTTTTTTTCTTTCTTTTAAAGAGAAACATGATAGCAGTATACGTTCCATTGGGATTAAAAAAAATGTTCCTCTAAATGCAATTGATTAGTAGACATATTAATAACAGAAGTAAATCTTTTTACATAAAAAAAAAATGAAAAGAAAAAATCGTCAAATAACGACGAATGTTTTCGATTATTATTGTCGAAAACAGAATAATATTATTATATTTTTTTACTTAAACGTAATTTCAAAAATTAGTAATTATAAATTACCATTGTCTAATAATAGTATTGATAAATAATCAATTACACTATGGGAATTATCAGATCGATTTTCTTTTTCTTATAATAGAAAAAAATATTTACTTTCTATGAAAAATTTCGTTAATTAATAAATTTTTGTTATTTTAGCAGCTTTTAAATAGGAAAAAATTTTTGTTATAAGAATGATGTGATAATTCCAACAGTGCACTATTGTATAACAATAGTGTATTGAAAAAGAATCAATTACCATTACTGCAAAAATAGCATTTTATCAATGCTTATAATTGCTAATAATTGATTATTTAAATCAATAAAGTTAAAAAAAAAATTAAAAACAAAGCGAATAAGAGATTTACGTACTTGGAATACGTAGCTAGGCCTAGAGTAGACTGAGCTGCTCTCTCGTGATTTCATCCCCCCCGACCCTAATTCTTTTGTTTTTTTTCCCTTTAACCTTAGTTACCATATAGAAATTTAATATCTTTTTTTTTTAATTTTCTTTCGTGCTCTTCCTCTTCATCCCTTTATTTTACACATATATAGTCCCTCTCTAGCTAGCTCACTACAATCCGCGTCTGTTGAGTGATTTCTTGCTTCTCATATATATATATATATATTTATATATATTTATGTTATATATATATAATTCTTATGTATTTTTTTAATTATATATAACATATCAATAATAATAATAATAATGAAGATAGTAGGCATAGCCACTCGTGTGCTCGGATCACAGACTACTCGCTGCTGTATAAATTGTTATACAAACAGTCTGGTGGACACTATGGCTTTCTCACTTGCATTTTGTGTTATCATTTTAATGTCTATTTTCTTTTTTTTTGTTTTACGTAACCTTGCACGAACTTTAACAGAAGTGGGTCGATGTTTTTTTTTTCGTCATTTAATGGACGGTAGGGGATCTTATCCTCAATTATAATTTTTTTTTTTTCTGTGAGAGTTCGTGCGAGGATGTTATTGAAAAGAAAATTGGAGTGCCGAGGGGCAAAAACGGGGAAATCGCGGATCGTCGAGTTAATTTTTGTCGGTGATGTTTTTTAAAGTGTTTTAACCCGATGAACACTGCGTGGAATTTTCTCGTTCAAGTCGCGTGCGGCTGCGGGTAAATTTGTACATTTATGTAACGAGGTGTGTACCTGATGCTTTCAAGTGGAGGCACTAATCAGTGTTTCTGGAGAAATCGACGGGTTCCACAATAATAGCTGAAAGGTTGTGTCAGCAGGCACTAGTCTCTTCTCCCTCGAGTGTGCACGCCACATTTTCCAATCTATGTGCTAGATGTAACTTGCGACAGCCAGCATCTGTCTCCAAGGCCTCGAGAATCTAAATTAAATTACATCATTAAATGAAGAAAAAATCGTCAAAGAATATATATATATATATATATATAAAAATAATTCTACGAAAAAATCTAATTTCAAATTCACATCGCTATATTATTAATTGTACAATAGAAAATTTCATTAGTGCTTTTGCACTTAAGCCTTATTTTCAAGCAGACGATGCAAATGAATAATAAATAAGAGGATATGTGAGAGTAAAGTGGCTAAAATGTTGCACTCCAAAGACCCTTTTCTCTCTAAATTGTTTCGTGAAATTTATATACGTTCTTACTTTGCATCACACAGAATTTCCGAGAGGAGTAATTTCGATTTTATTAGATTCTAGAATACGTAAATTATTTTTAATTAAGAAAAAAAAATGTTTCCCAATTAGAAAAAAAAGAAAAAAAATTGTTTTTACAATTAGAGTAAAAGGTACATTGACCAACACTCTGACAGTGAACGACACCTGCTATTAAAAATGATAATTATAAAAATAATAATATTGAATTAAATATCACTAGTAAATTAATTAATATACAATATTAAAATAAAAAATGAAGAAAAATGAATGATGAGAATGTAAAAATGAGTACTCACTTGTTCGTAGTATTTACTGACATAGATATACAACTCCTTAAGTGCTGCGATCACATCGAACTCATTAGCATGGGATGCACTGAGCTGTTGCATGGCACTCGACATTTCTTGATCGGTGATTTGCGGTAATCTCTGTACATCCAAATAAAAGCGTCCCACCTTTTCCCTATAGTGAGGTATATCCTTAGCGAATAATAATTTATTCGATGGCGAATCCTTTCCAAGTCGATGTTCAGTCGTTGAACACGCGTCCATAAATGTTTGTGCAATCACTGATAAACTTGAATCGACAGTTGTTGTTTTATTAATATCAAACATAAAATCAGGATTTTTGATAAAATTCACCCAGAACCTCAATGGTAAACTATTTGATTTCCATGCATGTGGTACTTCAGGATCAACAATTCCATGTCTTTTGGCAGCTTCGTCAAGCAGATCAAATAACCATTTAACAGCACTTGGTAGAGCATCATTTGCCGTTAATATTGTATTCAAGAAATCGTCAACAAATTTCTGTACCGTTCCCTTAGTGGAAAGTAATCTCGTTAAAAATATTTCAGGAATTGCTTTATGCGTTCGTTCGGGATTATGATGATGATGATGATGTTGTTTACTACTCGCGTAACCCATACCAGTACCATAATGCACCTCATCCAATGGCCTGACAAGATGATAAAGTCTCTGATTACCACCGTGACCACTTTCAATATCGCCATTGGCTGTTATCATTGGCGGTGAGTGTTGTGGATCAAAATAAATACCACCACCTGGAGGATGTGAATACAATGTTGGACTAATTAATCCATGATTTGGTGTTGTTGGTAAATGTAATGTCGAACAATGATTAATATGGCGATTATAGTGCTGCTGATGAAGATGTTGTTGTGGTAAAAGATGTTGATGTGAGGGTTTACAATTGTGACATGGTTGTTTACAAGCAACGGAGAAACCATCATTTTGTCGTGGAATAAGAGACATGACAGCCGATTCTTTCACACCATAATGAGCAAGAGTATTGATCTTCTTCCAATCACCATTACACTTGGTGGTTAAATCTTCATCCTGTAGAGTAAGATGACCACCACGACCGTGTCGCCATTCAAGATCAACCTCATGGACGGAGGGTCTCAATGAGAAGGGTGTATTTTTATAGAGAGCGTCAAGAATTTTCGATTTCACTTGACTTATTGTATCGCAATCAAGAACTTTACATTGAATTTTTTCATCAAGATCATCCTGAACAACGTGAAGAGTGACAACCGAATGATCAATTTGTTCCCTCAGAAGACGTTCTTCCGATAGTGAATACCTTGCATCGTGTGTAATAACATCGACGGGTCCTTTTTCAATTTGATGTTTAATTGCCTTGAACAAAAGGAACAATGATGAACCAGCGTAATCTTTTAAATAATTATACATACACAATGCCATCCAATTTGTTAGCATTTTCTCTACAACCGATTCAGTTCTCCTCAACATTAATTGTGGATGTTTCGTATCGACTGATTTATCAATTAAACGTAACAAAAGATTCATCAGAATATCAGTTGCATATTCCATTTTACTCATAAGAACGATCATCAAAAGAGAGGCAACATTCACTTTGTCTCTGATATTAAAATCCTTTTGTGCTTCCAATGTCTCAATAAAAGTGAGAATAAAACACTTGTTATTGACAAGTTGATCAAATTGTACCATAGCCGCATCATAATTAGTTCTCGTTAATGTTGATTTACTTCGTGGATCATTTAATATTGGATGATCTATAACACCGGGAAAGAAAACTTTCATTATATAATTCTTGTGATCCAATGTTGGTATTCCAGAGGATTCTAAATCAGCCGTTAGATCTGTCATATCAGTTTGTAATTCAGCGAATGCTTGTTTACATTCCATTCGAACATTACTTTCCAATGTATCCATTTGAATTTGTATTCTTTTATATTCACGTTCTGCCTGCGTACTCTTTCGTCTATAAATTACCAACACCAACACAAAGAGAAATACTAAACCAAATGTTCCAGCGGCAATTCCAGCTATTGCTTCCGGTGGTATTGGATACGATTTAATCACATCGTAATGTAAATAACCAATTGGAAAACGAAGACTTCGACCAATACGAACGACAACTAAAGGTAAACCCCTGTCAGTTTTTGTTCCAAGTTCATCTGTATCGGCTGGTTGTTGATCAGGTGGAATGCAAACCAATTGGGTCAATGCAAGTGACGTTACATTACACGGTAAAGTACCAACAGTTACATTCACATCTGATTCATCACTGGCGTAAATTAAATTTTCCCCCTCAATTACAAGTGTATCACCTTTATAGAGTTTCACATCCTTTGGAAATGGAAAGAATTTTGGATCTTCAACGTAAAGAAGACGATTTCTCATATTTTGAAAATGTTTCTCAAGATCACGAACCGTTTCCACGTTGTCCATAATGAAACCAATTTTTAACGCCAACTGTGTCTCTTTTCTTCCAGCTGTTCTCTTGTTTCGTTTTCTGATCATACTCAACTGTAAAAAAAAGAACATCTTTGTTTAGAAATATTCCAAATTAATTAATTTTTATATTATCAAGATAATTTATTTCGAATATTTTAAAATCGAAATAAGATAAATTTTCAAAATTTTAATTAAGTAGGACAAATTTTTTTAAAAAATTCTTAATTCGATTTTTTTAGTTTTTTGAAGTCTGATTAAAGCAATTTATTCAAATCAACAAATTTTTGCATAGTTTTTAGTTTTAATATGGTCAAATAAAAAATCGGACAATAATTAAGTTTTACAGATTTTTAAATTAATTTTTTTTTTAATAAATGAATTGCAGATTTTAAATTTGAAATAAATTTTCTGCCAATTTAAACTATTGTAGTTTTTTTTTTAATTTCTGAGAATAATTCAGTTTTAGAGTTTTTATTTGAAACTTTTTTAAATAATTGAATTTAAAAAAAAAAATTATTAAAAATAATTGAATTTCTGAAGCGTTACAGTAGAAGTTATTAATAATAATTGAATTTTTAAAGAATTACAGTTGAAATTTTCAAAAATAATTGAATTTAAAAAGATTTTCTTCAATTTCAGACAATAATTAAATTTTACAAAATTGAAAATAAATTATTACTAGATTATTATTAAATTATTATTAGACAGCATTTTTAAAAAATAATTGAATTTTAAAAGATTTACTATTCAGTTTTTTAGATTAATTAAATTTTGAGTCATTTTTAATTGAAGTTTTTGGTGTTTTATGTTGCTTTAGAATTTATTAAAAAATAACAGGAAAAAAAATTGAATTATAAAAGTTCTTAATTGAAAAATTTTTTCAGATAATTGAATTTTCGAAAAATATTATAAAAATTATTAAAAATAATTGAATTTGGGAAGAATTTCATTAAAATTAATAAAAAAAACATATTTTGTTTAAAAATTTTGTAAAAAAAAGTCGAAAAAATTGCATCTTAGTAAAATAAGTCGAAAAAAGTCGTATTTTTGAAAAAAGTCCGAAAAAGTCCTAAATTTGGTTTGCTTCTTAATTATTCTTCAAAGCACGACACATTTATTACAGAGATAAAAATTCAAATATACTCACAGCTCGAAATCTTCCAGCGACACTTGGACTCGGACATTCCATTTGTGTTGGATTTAAAACAATACAAACAGTTCTATTGACAGCTTTCGATTCATTTTCCACGTAAACTTCCATTTCTGGCTTTTGAATTGTATCTAAATTTGTACCATGAACAGTAATCATACGACCGCCGGATGCAAAACTTCTTAGAGGTTTTATTTCCATGATTGTTGGATCGTGAGTGTAATTATAAGGATTCCCCTCGAGTGTTCTATTTGCACCATCGATACTCAATGTAAGACGTCGAATTCTTCTCACGTGACTCGCTCTACTTGTGATGCAAGTTAGTCGTGTACTACTCGCTTGTGTTGCATTAACATGACAAGGCAATTCATCCAAATAGGCAGAAATTTTACTTCCAATATTCAAATCCGATCCAGTTATTGCAAGTCTAGTTCCACCGCTTTGAGGACCAACGGACGGGAAAACTCCCGTGAGTCTTATATCCTTGTAATTAAATAGAACCGCACTTTCCGTATAACCAGCATCGTTACCAACGACAACAGTAGCTGTATCAGTTGCCTCATGACGTCCCGTTCGACAGACAATTCTCACCGAAACTTCATAATCAACCAATTGACAAGGTGTATTTCCAATATGAATTTTTCCCTCCACATCACTTTCCTTCAATCCAAGATTACTACCCTCGATTGTAACCAAAGTTCCACCCTCAATTGGACCGCTCAACGGTTTAATCATGTCAATTCGTGGTTTAGGACATTCGGAAAATGGTGAATGAAGACACGAATGTCGATAGACACAACTATTTCCACACCATGTGCATTCATATCGTTTATCTCTTGTGACACACAGTGAACAATCCGCATGTTCACGATGTGATCCAAGTACTTCACATTTATAAAGTACAATCGTTGTCTGATCAACATGATGATTTGTATTCCAAACAACAGTCACTGCCGCTTCATATTCACCCGAAAGTGCCTCATATGAATAAATTGTTTTATCACAAACAATAAATCGACTACTATCAACACGCGCCTGTACACGTAAATTTGCCCCTTCAATCGTCACAATACATTGAAATCCCGTGTGTCCAACTTGTGGATGTGGTAAATTCTCAACTTCAAGTGCAATCTCCTTCGGCACATTATTCGGCAACATTAGACGTGAATCACGTTGAACAAAACGAGGACAATATTGCACACCATGAGCAGCAAGATTTGCTTGATTCTAAAGTAAAAGAAAAAATTAATATTTCAAATTTCAAAAATAATAATAAAACAAACTTACATTCTCGCCGGAAATGATGTTTCCTTGACATCCACTCGTATTGTGTGTACATTTATTATCATAGACACACCAGCTGCAAGTCCATTGTGATTTAACACAATCTGAACAAACAGTGTGCCTCGAGCAATCGAAATAGGCAAAGTTACGTGATACAAAGTCCTTGTTTGTTTCACTGGAACGCACTGAAAGTGGAACTAAAATATGATCAGTGCCTTCGGGAATATTTGGTCTCGATGATGTAATTGGCGTTGGACAGGAGAGTCCAAATCCAGTCATAGACGCATCAATTGGCTCAGCATTTCCAAACACACATTTATATGTTGTGCCAGTTGGCAATTCAGGTAGAGTTCTAATTGTCAATTGTACAGTTGTCATTTGATTAATGGGGATACGATCAGGAAGCACTTGTTCAAAATCAATACACTGTTGTCCTGTTCCTAATGACAACCATCTTGGACTGCTGCGACTTGCTTTTTGACAAGCTCTTCGCACAGTACATCTGAAATTAATTTTTATATTAAATTCTATCATTTTAAAAAAAATAACGTAAAAAATAAACTTTGTTTTTAATTTACCTTTTTTCGAGTGAACACCAACCACAATAAGGATCTCTGGCTTCCAAACAACTCGTACAATTCGTATAACTACCGCAATGTTCAACTTTGACTTTGGAAATTTTCGACAATGACAAAACATATAGATGTTCACCACTCGGTGCAATAGCTGTGTCAGCCAATATTTTTTGTCCTTTATCAACGACAATTGTTTCATAAACCGATGCATCAATTCCCGATAATAAAACTTTTTTCAATGTTCCCTCGCTGGTACCTAAGAACGCAACTGTATGACTTTCGGTATTTGCAACACTTATTGATGTCACATAAGTGTCGGGAAAATTAAGAATATTTTGTCCAACGATTGGCGATACTCCGGATATTTTTAATCCAACTTCACAGAAATTTAAAATATTCCCAGTGGTCTGTAAATAACACGTATAAAATCAATTTAAATTTAATTTAATCAAAGTGTAAAAAAAAAATGTGAATTTTAGAAATTGACAAAATGAAACGAGTATTGGTCAGGAAAATCGAGAATTTTGTAATACTAAATAAATTCTAGAATTTTAAACGGAGAATATGGAGAAAAAATGTTTTAAAAAATGAAAGCAAATTAAAAATTTAATAAAATAAAAAACAAAAAACTCGAAAGAAAAATAGATAATTTTAGGAATTCCAATTAAGAAAATTTAAAGAATAATTTAAAAAAGAACAAAAAATAGAATTTTATAAAAAATGAAAGAGAAATTAAATTCTCCACCATTTTGTAAAAATAAATAAATTTTACGAATTGCAAAAAAAAATTGAGGGTAAAATTGCTTTAAAAACGAAAATTGTTAATAAAAAAAAAATTTAAGGAGATAAAAACTATTAGAAAAAACGATGCTAAAGTACGCAACGTTTATGATCAACGTTAGAAATCAATTTTTTTTTAACACACGGAAAATTATAAAATTGTTTACCTAAAAATATTTTTTCATGATTTGTTGATTAATAAAAACTACAATAAATATTTTTTAGGCAAAAAATAATCGAATTTTTTTCATTTTAAAAAATTATTCTTTTAAAAATCGTTTATCATAAACTTCAGCTTCGTTTGAAAAAAGAAAATGAGCCGAAAGTTCTGAACGTTCATATAAACGAAATATTTTTCTCAATCTGTAAATTATTAAAAATTGTAATAATAAAACAGTAAATTAAACAATTATTAAATTAATAACGTCTTTTTAGATATTTTAAACAATATTTTGTAATAAAATTCGTACTTAAAGAAGTAGCAAAACAAATTTCGTTCATATGAACGTTCAAAACTTTTGGCTCATAAAAGAAATTGAAAATCAAAAAAACTTTACAGTCCTGAAAAAATGATAATTCATGATAAAAAAATCGAGATCTTTATTTCGTCTGTGAAAAAAAAAGTATGGGAATTTTCGAAAAAAAAAATTTTTTAATGAAGAAATTCAAGATTTTGTCATAAAATTAAAGAAATTTCTAGATTAAAAAAAATTCAATGATTTTTGAAGGATTTCAAGGTCCCCTGAACAATCTTTCCTAAAAGAAGAATTAAAAAAAAATACTCACGCCAGCAGCAGGACATTTACCATCTTGAATCGGTCCACTAACATAACCCATATTTCTATATTTGATACTTCCATTAAAACACATATGAATGTTTTCGTTGAATTTTGTTTCGATGTCCTGAAGACTATAAACGCATAATGCAGATTTTGGCAGTGCATCATTTGTTATTCCTTTACTTGGCGAGAAGACAGCAACAAAAATTGGATCACCAATTGATATTCCCAATTGCATTGCCAAATCGCTTCCAGCTGATGCGACTTTTGCGTCTTGTACTAAATTATAAACATCAGCGCGTCCATCAACGCTACATTGTAATGTCACTTCTGTATAACTATCATAATTTGCATCGCTTATACAACTGCGTGCCAATCTCGAAACATAACCCAATTCCTCTTGTTCAGGTAGATAAGATTGTTTTTGTACAAGAACAAAATATGCATAATCACTGGCATTAAAACCATAAACATATTTCACCAAAAAATGATCACGATATTTTACGTCAATATGTAAAATTGATTGTTTGTTAAATGTATATTCGGCAAATTCAAGTGAATAAAGATTTCTACTTGATATTGCTGGTACATCGTGACGATATTCGCCATTATTTGTGAATGTTGTGCCAACATAGAGGATATTTGTACGACCCCAGGGATTATAACGTTCAGGTCCAATGAATGCGTAAGTTGATGAATTTTCATCATTTGCTGCAACACTATGGGGAATGAACTCGGGTTTTAGGGATATGTTCGACATTTTGTACTTTTCACAGGCGCCTTGAAGCAGAGAGCCACAAACAATTAGGGTCTTTGATTCGAGGTCAGCCACGAGTAGTTTATTGATGTTATTCATCAGGGACGTGGTCATGTCTCTTGATGTGCAACCTGTCGCATGGCACTGTGGATTATCTAGTCTAGGTCCTGAAAACAAAAAATGACAAAACATTAGATTTTCTCTATTCTAAATTTTTAACAATTTTCAATTTTTATTAAACTTACCAGTTGCGACAAATTCTTCTAGCCTTAGACTTGAGTCAAGTTGAAATAATCGATTGACTGCGCCTGCATAGAGACGTCCACTATTGGGATCAAATGTAAAATGATTAAAAATGAGAGAATTTTCTCTTGATGCATTGAGATGTGTGGGAATGAGACCCTGACGTTGATCGCCCTCTGAGGGAAATTGTACTACGACGTGAGGCGATTGTGATGTCTCATGATTGGGCAGGAGTGAACTGCTTGCGGGTGTATCGATGGCCACTGTTGTTGCCAATATCAACAAGAACCAAATGGCAATGCATGTAAAGGACGACGACGACGACGGGGGATCCAATAATGGGCATGATGATGACAATCGGGGTGGTGGCGGCACGAGAGGACGAATGGGAAAGGACGATAGTCCTGAGATTCTCATGATGTGGTGGACAATAGCAAGGCTGAGAGACGCACTCGCGAACGGGCGAGCGCACTAAGGAGCGGACAGGAAAATTGAAAGGTTTGACTGGAGGAACACGTGCCCCGCTGGTAGTTGGCCAGCTTCAAGTTGGCACTACCAGCAACATGTACGTCCAGGTATTTGCATCACGTTCCTTTTTTCATCCACACCTCTAAAACAGAGACAAAAAATTACATCATTAATTATACATAACCTCAAAATAAATTTTTGTATTTTAACGTCGGTGATGTTTATAATCAACGATTGAAAAAATACAACTCAAATAGTAACTAATTTTTTGCCTACATTTTTCCAAAAAATTATTCATCAAAAAACTGCAAAAAAATTTTTAGATTAAAAATAATAATAATTTTGCATAGAAAAATAGTTTTTCTTATCAATCGTTGATGAAATTCACCGACGTAAATTTTATTCAACTTTACATTCTCAATTTTTTAAAATTAATATTTGTTTTCTTAAAGTTAAAATTAAATCAACAAAATAATTGTAAAATTCAACTTAAATCATCCAGAAAAAATAATTTATTCCGATAAGTCGAGGGTCAATGAAATGTTTATGTAATTTTCATCATTTATCAAAACAATTATTACTCATTTATTGAATTTTTAATTGACTTTCTTATCAATAATACAGATATAATATTTCCCAGAAATTATATTTAGGCGAATATTTGTGTTTAATAAGAATTCCAAAATATAAAAAGAAACTTTCTAAATTATTTTTTTAATTAAAAAAAAAAAATTATTAATTTTTTCAAGAAAAATAGTTTTTCAAATTACTATAAACCTAAAATCTTTTGATTAACAGTATAAAAATAAAATTATAAAAATAACTACAAATAAAAAAAAAACATTTTTAAATTTCAAATTAAAAAATACTTTGTTATACTTAAGAGTAATTCTCGACATGCACGATCAGGTACATAACTTACTGAATAAAATTAGAAACAATCAAGTATGTCACATTATTATTTTAAGAGGATGTTGACCTCTAATAGTAACCTGACCCGTGCACAAACAGCTCGACTACAAGACAACAAATCCTTTCTGTATGATTAAATTAATCATCCTTATAACAGATGTTATTCTTGTGGAATGTCAAACTACATGCAACTTGAAACGATTAAATCATAATTATGAAAAGAAACACGTTTTACAAACACATCTCAATATTTTTTTTTTTTTTTTTTTTAAATAAGATTAGAATTGCGAAAATATTAAAAATTATTTTGTTCTATTTATTGTATTTAGAAATTTCTTTTGAAATTAACAAAAATTTTCCTAAACAAAAATTATTGTTTTATAATAAAAGAATGAAAATTTACTAAAAACATTTCAAATTATTATTATTATAAGTGCAAAAGCTAATTTAAATAAAAATAAAATTTTTTACATATTACATTTTCGATTTTATCCATTTTATCATTATACCATTTTTTTCCCCCATTCTCATTCAAAGCTCACACAAAAAAGGTCATTTATTTTAAACAATAACACGAGTAAAAAAAAAAACTTTCAATTTTTTTTCTAAAATAATGAAAAAGTCGAGACGCTATTGTTACCGAGTATTGTTAATAATCCGCGTTTGATGAAAAAAACTATCGAGTTGATGCGCGCTGGAACAAGTTTTGACAGCTCGGGTCCTCTTCACACAGCACAAAGGCTGGTGGGACATTCTGATAGGATGTATTTTAATCCATCTGTCACAATATTTCCATATTTTTCAACGAAAAAAATATTCATGCAAGCGAACTTTATAGATTGGGATAGTAAAATGAAAAAAATGGATCCCTAGCTTGAGCGTAAATACAACTAAAAACGACAAGAGGGTCGACGTACTGAGGGGAGGAAGTATGTATAGCCAAGAGATGAGAGGACCACTTTGGAATGTCTCTTCTGCCAAGATCATGGTGGTCAATGGAACTATGATTTCTTTGTTTTCAGAATTTGTATTAAAACATATATATAATTAAAAAACACAATTATTTACCTTTATAAACGAAGGTGTAGAGCCAAAGAGGGCAAAAATGAATACACGGGTGAAAACGGGTGAGTCCCTACGACCCATCGCTGGAATACCCTACCATGACCCTTTTTTGTTAAGGAAAAATGAGCTCACAAAAAGAAAAAGACAATGGACAGATGATGTTCCACTATTATTGCACTATAATCCATAAAGATATCACTCAAAAACGTACATGGGGCACCACACTTCAGTCAAATTTTACAATAACACTACGCGGGGAGTTAGGATCGGCCGCCATTAAAATTCGACAATTCGACTGACGACTTGTGCACGAGAGGTAGGGGGAACAGAGGGGAATTCGTAGTTATGGCGTGCACCTTTCTCTCTTTCACCTATTCCCATGAGTCACTCCTCCTCACTCTTTCGATCCTCCCCACTTTTTGGACACTACCGTTTTCTTGCGCAGGCGCAAAAGAGAATCCCTACTCGTGGCGCGAACGCCATCTTGAATTCCTCAAATTTGAATTTATAAAACAGATTCATAATTAATTTAATTAAATAAAATAGTGCTAATAATAATTTAATTTCGATTGTTTAACCTTTTTGGATTTCTTAAGTATTGCATTAAACTTTATGAAAGATATATTTCTAAGTAATTCTCAAAAAAAAAATTAATATGCAAATTGGAAACGATTATTAAAAATCAGTCTACTTTGGAAATTTCCTTTATTTTTCCACAAGACACAGAATGTTTATCTATGTACAATCGTCACATTGTGTTCACACACTTCACTTCTGTGTAGTATTGAATATTTTCATTTTTTTTTTTTGTTTTCAGTAACACGATTTCAACGTCAAAATAATGACATTAATTTAATCAAAAATACAGTCAACAATACTTGAGCAAAACAAAAGAAAATTCAAACAAAAATATCTACTTTTTTTTATTTTTCTTGAAAATATAAGATTTAAAGACAAGAGTACGACGTGAAAAGTCATTAAATGATTATTTTTCCTTACTTTCACAGTCAACAATAATTGTTTTTTTTTAAGTTTAAGATCTTTAAGTAAACTAATAATGTCTTAAGTAGCAATGTAAAAAAGAAAGATGAAGATGAAGTTTAAAAAAAAAAGTTTCCTAGTAGTAAATGCATAGTTGTGCGTATGTACGTGAAAATTAATTTAAAAAATTATACGTAGAATCGTGAACGAGGATTTCGTTCTTCAAAAACTGCACGCTAAAATGGCTTTTTTAAAAAATTTTAATTAGCGCTTTTTTTTAACTTTGGGGTCTCTACAGTACGGCCTTCCGAATGAACGAGAACGAGATATTCTTTTATTCCTTTCACCATCCACCCTTCTACTTTTTTTTGTATTATAGATCCATTTTTTTAATTTCTTTAATTTGTATCTTCATTATGCATTCTATTGAAAAAAAAATTTAATTTTGCAAACTCTTATAATTTTAAAATAAATGTCTTATAGATAAATATTATCTTGGCAAGAACCGAAAAAAAATATATTGTCGGTTTTCTGCGTGTCTTTCATTTATTGAGGGAACGTTTATATAAAATAATGATCGTTTACATCGTTTTTAGCTGCTAATTCGTATCATCTGGCTTCATATTGATTCAAAGTAGAAAAGGTAGGAGCTCTAAATTTAATTTCTGTTAACTTGTGTCTCAGGTACAAGTTCATTCAAGCAAGATTTTTTTTTTATATAATTAATACGAGTTGTACACATACACACACACATACATTCATGTTTTTTTTCTTTCTTTCTTTCGTGAATCACAAAATTCTACACAAGAAATAATATTAAAAATCATTATTATTATTATTATTCTTGCCTCCTGACGGACGTTCGATTAAAAGTCAACTCGAATTAGCTAGTCTTGTCACAATTTATTACTGTAAATATGTTATTTACACATATACCTAAGTTTCAAATATCGTAACATCATCCTTTTTGATGAAGGCGTGAAATTTTTGGTGGTTTCTTTATACGTTTTTTTTCTTTTTTTTTTACTTTAAAGAATAACAATCATAGTAAATAACTAAGAAAGTAGCCCATAATCAAGAATATGACCATCGATGCACAATGTACATGTTTTAATTGTTGGATTTGTCTTTCTCACTCTCTCTTTCTTTCTCTCTCTCTCTCTTTCTCTCTTCCTTTCTCCCTCTGTTTCTCATTGGATTAATTTTTAAAGAATCTGTAAAAATGTAAAACTAAGTCAGTGTTTTATTTTCGCGCACAATACACAGATGTCTTGATTGTGAAATTTCACACGGTTTAAATCTCGAGAGGAAAAAAAAGTACCTAACAAAAATGTATTTCTATAAATACAAAGCCGAAAAAACTTAGCGTATCTAACGTATACGATTAAGAATTTCCAAGGATTTCATTTCTTTCTTTCTTCTTTTTTTTTTTTTTTTTTTTAATAATAATATATATTTATATATATTTGTAAAAACTCACGCGAGCAAATATTAATAGTTTATTTTACGAAAATCGTATTTTTTTTCCTTTTTTTAAAAAAGAAAAAGTATGAAAAAAATTTTTCTAAAACAAAAAAAAAATCGTGTACAACACGTTTTTTTCAAGCTTCTTTAATCATGCGCTTCAGAATTCTTCATGAAAAAAAATGTCGAATTCAGATAAAAAGAATTTCTAAAAAAAATTCTTGGACAATTCCTTGATTTAAAAAAAAAAAAAAATTAAATCTGAATTTGAGGAGAATTCGTGAAAATTAATTGAGACTTCTATGATGATGGAAGCAAAAATCTGGTAAAATTGATTCCTAGGTGACATTACTCTTGTTTTGATATACACGGTTCGCGTGTAAATTAAAAAAGAAGACTTTAAGGCCTCTCCTAGGCCTTTTTTTCGACAATAGGATTGAAATTAAACTCAGAGTTTCCGTTTCCCGTTTATAAAAAAAAATGGCTGCTCATTTGTTTCGATACATAAAAAAAAAAAAAAAAATTAATAGGCAAATTTCCGAGAAAAAACAACAAACACCAACTGCTCCATAAAGCTGTAATAAAAAAAGCAGAGAAAAAAAATTTTTAGCAATACGGGACAGAGTGTGCTTTTATTTCGTTGTTTTCAATCTCGGAAGAATGACAAGACGAAGACGTAATTTACTCGCAAGATACAGTTGCACAAAATCGGTTTTTGTTTTTCTTTTTGACTCGAAGTACAAGAGATCAAAGATGGCGATTTGAGCAGATGTCGAATGTTGAATTAATGACGTACAGCAATTCTCTATACATATATATATATCAATTGGTAAGAAACTCGAATAATGTGTCATCAATTCTCTCGAGTTGAAGACGACAAAAGGGGTCGCTCGCGCGCGGGGTGTAAACGAGGCCAATGTTCGCGTTAATTACGTATCTCATTCTGCGAAAAGTGTACTGTATTATGCATTAATAACGATGTTATGAATGTGAAACCGTCGATAGTAGCAGTGGGAGGAATAGTAGAGCTGTAGCAATAATAGTAGTTTCAAGATCTTGCAATGTTTTTTTTTTTTTTTTTTTGTTGATGATGACATAGCTGCTCATGGACTGAGAAGACCTCTGCCTTAGCCCAATGATGGGAAATCATTCTCATCGTCCACCTTCGGAGCATTTTGACGACCACGAGGAGATCGTTGTTCTGCCTGTGGAGCCTGCAAAAAAGTTTAATTAAACATTTCCCTCAAAATTGATAATTTTTTCACAACAAAAACATAACGATAAAGACAAAAAAAAAAAAAAATTGATAAACACAAACAAACGATAAAAACGAAAAGAAAAAAAATGTTTGAATACCTCGACACTTACAACTGGAGCTCGAGGTTCAGTATCTCTCGGAGCTCCGCCGCGATTACCAAAACCACGTCCGCCATTGGCGCGATCGCTGCGTCCTCCGCGACCTCCGCGACCACCACGTCCACTTCCACCACGTCGATTATCACTGAATTGGATATCAATATCAAAAACTCGTTTCTGCCTTCCAACTCGTTGCGGATATTCAGTAGCATCATATTCTTCGTCATCCTCATCTTCCTCCTCGCCTTCCTTCTTTTTCTCAAGAGCATACATTTTCTTCCAACGTGACAAATCCTCGCCTTCGCCAGCTTTACGCAAATTGTATTGTGGCTTGGCACGTGTGCCTTGTTTTGCTTTCCATTCGTCCAATGTAATTTCACGCGATTCCTCCTCAATCGGTTTTTCCTCTGTCGAGGTATTAGCAACTTCACCTTCCTTAGCGGCTTCAGTTGTCGCCGGTGTGGACAAATCAATTTCCGGTTTCTCGGCATCCCAATCTTGAGATTCCTGGTTCAAACTTTCTCTACAAAAATTAAAAAAAAAGATTATTAGAATTTTAAATTAAAATTTTAATTCCTTTTTATACTCAATATCACTTACTCAATTTCATCATTATGAGTTCCCCAGTTATGGCTGCCAGCGCCATCCTTCTTGTCAACTGGTTTCACTCCACTGTAACCATACCTACTTTCATTAGTTACTAGTAAAAGTAAATTATTTAATCTTAGTTAAGTACTACCCAAAGTCAAAATTTTCCACTGACGGAACTTGTACAGATAATAAATACAATAATACAAAAATACAAAATTTAACAAACTTTTTTTTAAATCTAATTTAAATAATTATTAGAAAATATAAAAATTGAGAAAGTTCGTTTTTCAAAGCAATGGAGAAATGTACAATAAAAAGCGAGTGTTACATGACAAAATCCTTACCTCGGCAGCCTGTTTTATGGGCATAAGCAAAAAACAAAATTGAATAGTTAGTTTCAAGTTGCTCTTAAGATAATTGTGCAAAATTATTAAGTTTCCCTACCAACTACATATATAATCATTGTGTAACATTGTCATTAATACAAAAAAAAAATGCCCTTTTAATAAAATCACGATTCATAAATTAAGCCCTTTTCAACTTGCCACAGAGAAAGGTAATTCGTAACACAAAATGTTTTATTTAATTTTTAACTATGAATTATACATACGTTTTGTCTGAACCAGATTGCCGATCGAATTCTCGTTTCCCGCGATTATCGAAGCCACCACGTCCTCCACGTGATCCACCACGACCGCGATTCATTCCACCGCCACGAGAACCGCCTCGTCCTCCGCGACGTTCACCGAAATCAGGGCGAGAGTTGTCACCAGGACCACGAAAATCGCGAGGCTCACGAGGCTCACGTGGTTCACGGAACTCGCGTGGTTCACGAAACTCACGTGATTCACGCTGCTCACGATGTTCGCTAAAGAAAAAATAAATATACATAAATATTTATGAATTATTTAAAAAAAAAATAAATTTCAATTTTTTTAAAAAACTTAATATTTTTACGAATAAAAAGAAATTTTCCTCTTAAATAAAAAAAAAACTCACCCAGGAGGTCCACGTCTATTATCCATTTGATTACGCGGTTGTCTTTCACCATCTTCACGATTACGCTTGTTGTTGCGTTCTTCTCTCGATTCACCAGAGAACTTCAAGTTACGATCGCCTCCGGTTCTCGGTTGAGAAGGCTTTTTCTCAACTACAAATTATAGATTGTATTTCATTAATTGTTTATTTATTAATAATACTAAAAATTATTATATTTACCAACAAAAATTTCATATTTTTTTTTTAAATAATAAAACCAAAAAAATTTTGCGATTAAGAAATTAATACTTATGAAAAATAAAAAAAAAATTGTACAATAATTTTTCCACAAAAGGTATATTAATTTTATATACTTTTTTTAAAGTCTAAGTCGTAAAAAAGCAATTTAATTTCCCGTCTTCTCTAATTACTTGCAATGGATAAGATAACAACACTATTGTGAAGTAAAACTTGAAAAAAAAAATCTATATCAAAATGAATTATAGATTTATAATTAATAAAAAAGAAAAAATCATCAACAAATAGAGAAAAAAAAACTCCTAATTATTATTTAAAAAAATGGAAAAATTCCGTCATTATTCTTAAACGATAAAAACAATTCCGTTTCAAGTATAAAAAAAGTATTCAAATAAATTTGGTTTTGACTATTACCATGCTTGGCCATGGGATGTTATTTTTATCATGCTTTCCAGCAGACATATTGGGTTAGCACATGACATCGATTTATCATTGTTCATTATTTTAGGAAAAAAAAAATATATATACAAAATATGCAATTACAATCAAACATCTGATAACATAATGATGAATAACACGAGGAAAGCCTCGCTAAAATCGATACGTGTCAATAATTTATTAGATATAAAAGACGCTACTTTGATAATGTACTAAAATTTTCATTATTTTCTTTTAAATAACATTTCATTTTGTTAAACAATCAAAATATATTTCATATTTTATTTCAAATTCACCTCGTTTAATTAAAAAAAATACAGTTAAAATAAAATTCGCAAATTGGACCGCGTGGAAACGTGCTTTTTCAACAATGCACACTCACGATATTCAAATTTAACAAAAAAAACAATATAAATTATCAACTATAATACGATAATCATAAAATTTCATCTATAAAAACATGAGAAACAATGAAAAAACATTTGAAAATTAAAGAAAAATGCAAAAAAAAAAGAATTGAAATCAGAAAGCGGAAATGAAGCACGAGGTCGAGTTGGTCGGCCATAATAAAGCGCACGAGTCTATGCGAAAAGAATAATTCACAAAAAAAACTAACCTTGGTCCTTTTTGGATTCCTGGATTTTTGGAGTGTGCTGCTGGGCATCTTTAATAACGCGACTTTTTTGAGTTTTGGTGCCGGCACTCTTCTGGGTCTCAGGTTGCTTGGACTTGTTCTCCTTTTCGGAGAGCTTTTCCTTTTTCTTCGCCTCCTTTTCAGCCTCGCGAATTTTTAACACTTCTAGGGGATCTTCATCCTCGTCCAGGGCCAAGCTGTACTTATTGTGAACAGTGATACTATACGTGGCCTCCATTGCGTCCTGTATCCTCTTTTCGTCGAGGATTATGCGAAAATTTCACGGCTACTTTTGAGCCCTTGTGTAACAGAGACATCCAATAATCCAATATGGCTGAGTCGATGATACTTCGTCCACCACGAGGTCGGCGCTCAGGGAGGTACCGCGTAATCGTCTTGCACCCAGCGATCCTTCCCCACTTTTAATTTTTCAATTTTCCACCATTATCAATGTTAATCACAATAATATGTCAATATTAATGAAAAAAATTGAATATTATTTTTAGTTAGGTTAATTTTTTAAAATAATAAACAATTTCAATAGAATTATACTATTATTCTAAAGTTAGCTAGGAAGACGCACATCCGGAAGGCTTTTTGTAAGCAATTCTTTGTTTGTCATATGCACGATTTCTAAAGCAGTATCAAATTTAATTAATTTTATAAAGTTTCAGAGATCATATTAACATACCGTAATTAAAGAAAATTAAGAATTAAAGACAATCAAAACATAAATAAAGAGAAATAATTGAATATAAAGCGGCTTTTTCCTTAGAACAATAGCGACATCTGGACATAAAGTGACAACCAATTAGCGTCGAGATGGAAAGCGGGAAAATAAGAATGAACTTCCGGTATATTTAATTTTCTAAAAAGAAATTTATAATTTTCTTATAAAGATATATACATATAATAGAAAAATGTCAAAATTAAATAATGATAATTATTAAAAAATTGCAATATTTTTCAAAAATTAAAATTATTTTCCAAAAAAAAAATTAATATTTTTATTCGACTCCGATTACCAAGTACATAAAAAATACAATAATCAATTAAGAATGCTAATTATAAAAAACCAAATAAATAAAATATCCGTATTTGAAGAAATAGAATAGAAATAAAATTGTGATAAAATTAAATTGACTTTCAATCGACAAAAGATAAGATAGCTTTCTTATTTATCTCACAGACCTGAATACACACAGCCACACAGCTGATTCTGTTTACCAAACAAAGAAACCAGTCAGTATTTAGACGAGCCAGTGTTCGTTCATTGTAAAACGTTTTCGACGTGTACACTTGAAAAATGATTGTCAACAGTAGCATTTAACTATGTATTCAGATTATTCATTGTATATTTTCTAATGACATGTTTCTGAATAATATTATAATAAGATATTTTGATAAATGTCAATGCGCAAAGAGAATAACATTTTACTTTCATTTATCCATCTGCTAGTTTATTTCTCTACTAGAGTGCGTATTTTTAACGAATGATTTTGTAACAAGAATTTGCTAGTGCAAAAAGGAATCGTTTATAAAAATCTCAAATTGCAGTAAGTAATTAATTTTTACATATTAAATATCATTATAATAAACATATAGACAATCAATGTCATATAAACGCGAATAAAATTCAAGTATATATATATAAATCGACAGGTACGCGCACATAAGTGTTTACACATTTTTCTTTTTTTGCAGAATAAAAGTATAAAGTCATTGCTCTCGTTTATTACGTACCTTGAAATCCTCAGGTGTTTTTTTTTGCATACTATACGAAATAATGTTTAATCGATCACATTGTGTATATTCTTTTGTTTTAAAATACCTTTTCTTTATTGTTGTGTATATAGCTATATTACATAATTTTAAATTAAACCTGTCATGTGCACAAAGAAAGTTACTATAAATATTTCACGTAATAGATTAGATATCAAATAACTAATTTCAACATAATTGTAAAAAAAATGCTTGCAAAAGATGTAATAAAACTTTCATAATTATAATTTGTGGAATGTCGTCAGATGAAATTTGACATTTAAAGATTTTTGAAGGATACGAAATTAATTTTTTTTTTGAAAAGGATTTTTTGTCAATATAATTTAAATGTCATTATTTAATTTTTGAGATTTCTATAATTACAGTGTATGTAATTCATTTTTTATCTTTTTAAAATAATAATTATTAAATATTATTATTAAATTATTTATTAATAGTAGTAGTATCATTATTATTAGTTAAATCAAATAAAATTAATAATCAAAAATTAAAAATTTATTATTAAATTCATATCTTTTATGTACTTTTTTTGTCTAAAATTCTATTTATAATTTCTTTACAGAAAGGTATAATTAAACAATGATTTAAATTTTATATTTACTTCCCTTTTTTTAATTATAGTGTAAAAATATTCGAACTTGAGCAACAAGTTGTGTAAATATATTTTTGACCCATTTTTCAGAAATAAATTATAGATGTTTTGCTTTTGAAGAATTATGTTTTTAAAAAAATAAAATCAAACATTAAAGTGTCAATAGATTTTTTTTTCATAAGTATAAAATTGTGCGCAAAAGAAATTAAATTTTTTAAATGCTTATAATTTGTTAGTAACGTCCTTCTAAATAATAAAACCGGTTTTCCTCACAAGTGATAATTATTGACAATGGAAAATGCAATAGACTTAATTTCATCGTAAATTGTAAAAGTAATGCTGTAACCCCCATCAGGTCATGAGCTATGGCCTTGAGAGGTGGACCTTTTCTCTATAGAATGTCTTGTTGACCGTATATACTTTCAAGTGCAACCATAGTTACAATTGAATTACATTTTACCATTGAAAAACTATTGATTATTTTTCATTTTATTGCAATTCAATTAATTAGTTTTTTAAAATTATAATTCAATTGTATTTAATTATTTTCAATCATAATTAAATTATTATTCAATTATTTATTTTTTTATAATTAAATTGTAATTTAATTATTTATATATATTTAAAAATATAATTAAACATTTTTATTTTATTTCAGAATTTTGTTAACTAATTTTATAATTTGCAAATTTTTATATTTTCAATATTTTTGTTTACATTTTTTTTTTCATTTCTAGTTTTGTTTATAAGTTTAACATAAAAATAGTAGTATAGTTTCACATAAGATTCAAAATTGGTCTACCTTGAGACGTCACACGACCCCATTCTTTATTTAGATTTATAGGAAATCGGCCCCGCGCTTTTCCTCATCCGTATGCCATTTTTATATCTTAAGATTGACAGGAAGAGTATTGCAAAATTTTACCTTAAAAAAATTTTAGCCAATAACAATTAAATTTGAATAAATTTATTTTTTTCAATCTTGTTTTTTACGTCGTGTTTTCTTATTAAATAAATTCTTTTACAAAAATTACGATTTTTTTTTAAATCAAATTAATTTAATTTTTAAAGAAGATTTTAATTAATTTATGATTAAATAATTTTATTTTTTCAGAATGTCCTGAACATGCCGTCTTTACTAGAGGCACTAGAATTGAAATATGGTAGTTCAACGACAGATTGCTCGTTAACTGATGAAGAAGCTGAGTCTGGTTCGCCGAAAACTGCATTATCAGTTAGTATTTTCATTCCAAAAAAATCACCACGTCATACGGTGCCTGCTCTATTAGTATTACAAGATTGTGATATTGAATCAGCCGGCAATGATGATGAAAAGCTACGCAACAAATGTAAAAATGTCGAAGAACTTGACCTCGCTCAAAATAAATTCTCCCAATGGAATGAAGTTTTTGGAATATTACAACATATGCCGAAAATAAAATTCGTCAATTTGAGTTTTAATTATTTATCAAAAGAATTGGAAATAAAAGATGGTAATTATGATCAATTGAAAAATCTTGTTCTTAATGGAACACGAGTATCATGGACATCAGTTCAGGGCCTTATTAATCTTCTTAAAAATTTGGAAGAACTTCATTTATCATTAAATGAATATAAAAATGTTGATATTGATCATGAAAATCAAGAGAATCAAAATTCATTAGTGAAAAAATTACATTTCACTGGCAATCCAATTGAACATTGGTTGGAAATTTTAAAACTTGGCTATGTTTTTCCACATTTAGAGAGTCTTGTTCTTGCCGAATGTCCAATTGCATCTTTAAATCTTTCACACGAATGTTGTAATTTAATTGACAAAGATAGTCAAAAACAACAACAACAACAAAAAGAAGTGCTCGATGTCAGTGAAGATGAAACAAATATGAATCAATCATCATTGGACCAATCAACAAAATCAGATTATAATCAACAATATTTATTGGAAAATACACCACCGTTTGTTCAAAATGAGACTTATAACAAAATGGAACACGAGAGAAATAGTTCTGAAAAAGCGTCTCATGATTCTTTTAAAATGTTGAAATTTCTTAATGTCAACAATACTTTACTCTCCACGTGGAATGACGTTGAGAAATTAGCCAAATTCCCTGCCCTTAAATCTCTCAGAATGCAAAATTGTCCTTTATTTGAGGTGAGAATTTTTCAATTTTTTTCTAGATAAATTAATTTCCATTGATTAATTATGTATTTAATTTAATTTTGTGTGTGTGTAATTAAGAATTATATTTCTCAGAGTCCTCAAGAGTATACAGAACACGAAAGAAGACAATTATTGATCGCAAGATTGCCAAATGTCGAAACATTAAATGGAGGAGGAGTGATTTCATCTCAGGAACGCGAAGATGCAGAAAGAGCATTCATTAGATATTATATGGAGAAACCAGAAGCTGATCGACCAGAGAGGTAAATTTTTATTTTTCAAAATTAAAAAATACAATTTTTTTTTTTAAAACTTGCATTTTTCAAGATTGAAAAATTTTATACTATTATTGCTATTGTATTTAAAACCAAAATTTTATTTTTTATTCTTAATCATAAATATTTAAAATTTGCAACTTTTTCCAAGATTAATGGAAAATAGGAAATAAATTGAAAAGAATTTAATTTTTTTTTTTAATTAATATTAATTTTCATAATATCAGGCCTCGGATTATATGACTTTTTCGACTTTTCCCGACTTTTCTTCAAAAATACGATTTTTTTTCGACTTATTTAATAAAATGCGACTTTTTCTACTTTTTTTTACACTTAAAAAAAAAAATTTTACAAAATACGTTTTTTTTTTAGTATACAATGCAGATCTTCTTCAGATTTTCTTTATTTCAATTATTTAACAAATTTTTAACTACTTTTCAATTAAAATTTTTATGTAATTTAATAATTGAATAAATGTTTATAATTTTAAAAAAATTAGCAAATAAAATTACTAAAAAAATTTAATTCAAAATCACTTGAAATTTAATTATTTGCAAAATTTTCAATTATTTTTAGTGATTTTTATAATATTCTTCGAAAATTAAATTATAATTATTGTCTGAAATTTAACAAAATCTTTTGAAATTCAATTATTTTAAAAAATTTCAATTTAAAAGCTTCTAAATTTTAATAAAAAAAATTGTCCATCTAAAAATTTTTGAAATTTAATAATTACAATTATAACTCTCCTGAAATTCAATTATTTTTAATGATTTTTATAATATTCTTCGAAAATTCAATTTTTCATTTAAAATGTTTTCAAAGTATTGTATTTTTGTCTGCAATTTCTAATAAATTTTTTAGTAACAGAAAAATTCATGAAAAATTTTAAATTAAAAATCACTTGAAGTTCAATTAATTTTAAAAATCTAAATTGTAAATCTTTGAAAATTTAATTACTTTTAAAAAATGTTACCTAAAATTATTTGATAAATTATTTTTAGTTCTGTAAAATTTAATTATTGTCTTAAAATTAACAAATAAAATGAATTTAATATATAATAACGTTAGTTATTTTAAGTAAAATATACATTAACCAATTAAATTTTGTTAAAATAAGAAAAATCTACTTTTATTGGAATATAAATCGAGTAAAACGAATTATTTTTTTTTTTGCCTTAAAGTCGATCCGAGGCCTGTAATATAAAAAATCAAAATTAGCATTGTAATTTAATTTTTTACGTTATTGATTATTTTTCTAGTTTTGCAGAGAATTTTTTCTTTTTGACATAAAAAGTATATAAATGCTAATTTAGAAAGCGAGGACGGCTTTTTTTCTGAATTCAAGACATGATGAATTGTTAGTAAAAGAAAAGGTAATAAATCCGATTTTTCACTCTCATGTAAGCAGAAAATGTTAATAAAAATTGAGAAGACCAGAGTTTGTCTACCGCAAAGAGGATCAAAAAATTTCGGTGGTAGGTTAAATCTTGGTAAATTTGGAATTTGCCGAAGGATCTGTCAAGACCTTTTTTTTGGTCTTTTGGACAAAATATTTATATGGGAATTGATAGAGCCGCCTTTTATTCAAGGTTTATTTTCGGCATATAGAACATTCTTTTTTATACGAGTGTCGCGGTTACTTTGGTTCAGTTTATAAACATTGACTGAATCGAATACACCTTTCACACGCAGATGAATTTGCATCATAGTATTAAAGTGACTCGGCGATTTTAACCAGGCGCATGATTGTGATGCAGAAATTAATGATTATATACAATGTAGATAAAAAGATTTTATCAAAAAGACAAGGCCAAAAGAAGAAAGAGCAGAGAATGTAAATTTTTTTAAACTAATTATTTCTATTCTTATTTTAATTATATTTAATTTAATTTTGTTATTTTACTATTTTTCTGAAAAATAATTACTTTTTTTTTTGGTCTTGTCTAGAAATTACTATAATAAAATTAATTGAACCGCTAATTTTTAATTTAGCTCTTTTCTGTGTGTTGTTTTCTCTCTCCGAATTTTAATTTTGTAATTTTTCATAAAAAATATTGCTTTTTTCAAAAGCATTAAAATAAAATTGTAAACAATTTGCAAAATTAAAATATATGGAACACTAGCGGTTCAATTACATTTCTCTATAGACAATTATTGATCATTTTTGTAGCAATTAGATGAAATATTTTGGATTTTTTAAAAAATAAAAAATTAATCAATTTTATTAATTTGATATTGTTTTCATATTTTTAGGTACGCTGAACTCATTGGCATTCATGGGAAGTTAGATCCACTGGTGCAAGTAGATTTAACACCGGAAAAAAGAGTGAAAGTTACTTTTATATACGGAGATCTTGTAGAGGTAAAACATTACATATCTTTAAAAATTCATATTTTAAGAAAATTAATTTTTTTTAAACTGAATTTTTTTATTTCAGGTTCGATCTGTGGATGTCTACAGAACTGTATTTGAATTGAAAACAAAACTCGAATCAATGGTGAAAATATCAGCGAACAAAATGAGACTTTTCTATGTTGATCAAGTAAAATTCTTAAATTAATTTTATATAGTTTCTTTTTTAAATTAATTTTTATATTTATATTTTTAAATTGAAAAAAATATAAAAAAATAGAGATTATTGTGAATTGTCCATTTTTTTAGGTGATGAAAGCTCAACATGGTCCAGAAGAGATGTTGTTTCCAAACAAGCAACTTTATCGATACAACATCAGAAATGGAGATGAAATTATTATTGACAGTAAATTAAATCGTTTTACATCGTCAACGTCGAGTACGTGTTCTAATCGTTCATAAAAGAAAAATGAAAAAATCTCTTATGCTCAGGTGTTTCAAGAGATTATAAATGAAGACCATGGAATTTTAAAAATTCAATGGCTAGTCTGACCTTTCAAAATGCACAATCATTTTTGATGGATCAAACTAAAATATAAATACAGATTTAGCAAAAATTTTAAAAACAATTTAACATTCATTTATTTGAAAAAAAATAATAAAAAAATATATTAATATACATATAATTAAATATATGTACGGCTTTGACAATTCGTCAAAACTCTGTAGATTATACGCCATAAATTTACTTACATATTATACTAACCCATCAAATTAAGAAGTATGCGAATTCAATTAAAATACAGTTTTTAATAAGTTTGTTTAATTTTTTTATCCTCTAATTACCATGATTTTTTTTTAAACTTAGTTTTTTAGGGGATATTTATTTTATAATTAATTTTTTTATTTTAATATATTTAGATATTACTATTAATTAAAGAAGATTAATATTCCAATATTATGACTTTATTTGCAGAGCAATTAATACATTAAACAAAAGTATTATAAATGAAAAAAAAAAAATTGAAAAGTAAACTTCAATATGTTTTATATCAATGGATCGAACATACTTAAACAATTTATATATTTTGAGTCCTACATTACAATCTATTTAAATGTGGCAAGTTAAACCTTCAAAAAGATTAAATCATTCGATTTGGTCAATTTTCTGGTTTTTTTGTTTGTTATCTTTTGAAACTTTTTAAATAATGAACATTTGTATAAATACGAAATGAAATGTGCAAAATTGTGATTAATAACTTGAAATTCGTAGAAAAAAGTTCTCTATTTATAAAGAATTCTTTCTGTACAGGATAAAAAAAATGTTTTTTTTTTTTTTATAGTTAAACGAACACGTGATGAAAAGATATTTTTCGTTCACGAAACAATTGCTCCAGGACGACTGAACTTTTTCAAATTTTCATGTAACGTATAATTTTTATTTTACCAAAAATCCAATGAGTGTAACCATTATTCATTTTTTATTTTTTCCAATTGTAATATTTTTTTTTTTTTGATTTAATGTGTTTTTTTTATTTATAACTTTTATTTTAATTATTCTACTTAAATTTAACTAAATTTCTGAATTTAAAATTAATTAAAAATAATTAATAGTTAATTATTTTAAATTAATTTGTTGTATAATTTATTTTTTAATTGTAGAATAATTGACATAATTAAATACAGTTAGGCCATAGTTGTCGGTACATTCTTATTTAAAACAACTTTTTATTTTAACTAAAGATCGATCAATTTTTCTATTTTATTATTATTATTAATTTTTTAATTCTCTGTCAAAAATTTATTAATTAAATGATTAATATTAAAAAAAGATGATACTATATCAAAATTTCCATAATTAAAAAATTAATTATAATGTTAATTTCAGAAATTTTTATAAACTAATAAATATTTTTAATATCTTATTTCTTCACCATACGGAATTTTATAAATTTATTAATAATCCTACTAAACTAATAAATACTCATAAATAAAATTAAAGTAAATAATTACAATTGGTAAAAAAGAAAAACGATTAAATTCTATCATAAGCTATTGGATATATGACATAATAATAATTATGGAAAATGAAAATTTGAAAAAATTGTCATTTACTTACCGTCGGTAATTAATTATTCTCAGTTCATTCCGTTTCTTATGAATGGAAAACAATTTTAAATGTGAAAAATATAAAAACAAATTTTTTTCCATTTTATATTTTTGAATGCAAAGTTTTTAATTAAAATATTAGTTTTATTTTTTACATTTAAAATTGTTTTCCTATCATGAGAAGAAAAAAAAATAGTCTAATAATTTTCGACGATAAATCTTGAATATGAACGAATTTGATAAGAATTTTTACCGCCCCCAATTTTTATTTCTTTATTTATATTAAAAGAAAAAAAGGCTATTTCAGGTAATTTGCTTATCAACATTCCATTCGGAAGTGATGGTTTTATCATTGTACTTGTCATTTTTATCATTCTCCTCATCTAATTGTTCTTCCTCAATAATCATTATTGCCTCTTGTGAATCAATATTATCGCTATTTGGAGCATTATCCTCATTATATTCAACAATTTCTGTTTCCTCCTCAACATATTGTATCTCATCTTCCATATGACTATCACTTTGTTCATTTATTATATTCGAATGACCTTCAATAACTTCCTCTTCTTCTAATTCTTCCAATTCTTCAACAACTTCCTCAACTATTTCCTCTTGACATGGAATCATTTCCATTGAATGATACGTAGTATAACTACGTTTTTCATGTTGCTCATCATTCTCCTGTATATAAACAATCATATCGCCATCTGTATTTTGTTCACGATTATCATCCTCCTGTTCATAATTATCGCCATCAATTAACATCAACATTTGTTGTCCCTGATAATCCTGTGAATTTGCATTTTCAACTTCAGGTACAATATATTCAGTGGCTTCAGTTCTCACAACCATTTGTGCTTGTTCCTGATCATTGACCCCCAATGATGTTGCAATACCACTGACAACAGTACTCAATGCCTCGGCTTCTGTTGATGGTTTTAATGGTAAATCAATTTGTGTATTAATATCGCGTAATTCTTTATGAGCACAATCAAGATGAACATGTAAATTTGTTAAACGAACAAATGTCTTGCCACAATGTGGACAACGATGTGTTTTTTCCTTATCATTATTTGTACCATGTCCAGTATTTATTTCATGACTCGCAAGTTCAGCGACATCTTTAAATGTTTGTGAACATTGCATACAATGAATTGCATCTGTTGTCGATGACGATTGATTCATATTTGATGGACGATGTTTGTGATTAATTTGATGTCTCACTAATAAAGTTTCAGAAAGTGCAACATAAGAACATGCATGACATTTGGGAAAGCACATATTTTTCGGTGGAGGCACATTATGTTTAGTATAAAGATGATACATTAAAATATTTCTTTTTGTCGCTTTATAACCACAATGTTCACATACGCGAGGATCAAATTTTTGTTCATGTACATCTTGCATATGTCTTCTGTACATGTAATAATTTGTATATTCCTCCTCGAGATCACATTTTCCACATTTCCATGGTCCAATTTCGGCGCCATCGGCATTCTCCGAACGTGATTCATCGGCTTTGCTCATTAAATTATCAGATTTTAAAACAACGTAAGATACTTTTGTCTTTGCCGAAACACTTGGTTTTGATGATTTCGATTCTTTTTGCATTATTTTCAAACGGATATTTTTATTATTTTTCACTAAATGTGGATATTTCTTTAAAACTTCCTTAATGATTTTTGCATGATTATCAATTGAATCGGCGGGATTTGCTGTGCCCGATATACACTGGGTTTTATCAATATTCTCCTTTTCCTCAAAATCAAAACGCACTTTTTTCGATGACGATGATGACGATTCATCCTCCTGTTGTTTCATTATTGACTTTGGTCCTGTCCATTCATCATCTGAAAAATCATTGGAATTCCTTTGTTTGTTTACAATTTCACTGACAATTGAATTTCTTCGATCTTCATCTAAATCGTTTGCATTCGAATTTGCGTTATTACTATTTTCGGGAGCTTGAACAATTGGTTTTGTATCGTATGTGATATCGTCAAATGATGAGAATACACCGAGAGCATAGTCCTCAACTTCAGGAAGATCGAATCGCGATGGACCGGATGTTGTTTCAACTTGATGACTCAATGATGATCCACGAAACGATCCCAAATCATAATTTGTTTGCATCACATCTGAACTTGTATCCAATTTTCTTTTCCAAATAGGAAGCCTGCAAGTTTCATTAATAATATATATTTTTTGCATTATACAATTGTGATTGAAAAATATTCAACTTACTTTCTTCCAGGTAAAACTTGCGTTGGTAATGAGGAACTATGATGATCAGACTTGAATTTTTTCGCACGTGAATTTTCTTTATAAGCTCCAATAACAGGACTGTTTTCATTTGATTGTACATTTATTTGTGGATTGCTCGAGCATGATTGTGCGTCAAGTAATTTCGTCAAAACGGTCATTTTCATTTTCTGTGCAGTACGATATAAAGCATTTTGTTCTGAAGTCCAATACTCCAATTGTCCAGTGTACATAAAACTAAAAGAAAATTTTTTCAATTAAAAAATTTATTGTAAGGACATTTTAAATCGTTATAAGAATAAAAGACAAAAATATTTACCTTATAATTGATTTGACGCATTCGTATGGCATATCTGGTGGCATTATAAGAATACCATCATACGAATGATTATTTTGAATTTGTTGCTGTTCAAGTTGTGTGAAATAATCTGTACATGTTGTGATTACAAGACGATGGGCCTGTGAATTATAATATATAATTTAAAATATTTGCAATATAAACAAACAAAAAAATATTTACCTGTACAGTAATATCACTGGTGGGAAATTTAATAGTAAGATCAAGTAATTGTTCTTCAAAATACAATTGTTGAAGTCTTTGAAGAAAAAACGTTCCCCAGTTATCTACTTTTACTTGCTTCAATCCTGGTTGAGGAATATCGTTAATGAGATTACTTTCGGATTGCATTTTTAACAACTTCATGTACGTTTCTTTTTTATCTTAAAAAAAAATTAAGCACTTTCAATTTTTCTCCACTAATTTTTCGTAAGACTAAAACATTATATACGAGGTATCATTTTCTGATTAACACGAATCCAAAATTTTCCCGTATCTGAAAAATGATTTTAAAAAAACAATTTTAAAAAATTTTAAATTAAAAATTTTAAAATTATAATTGTATTACATAAAAGTAATTAGTAATTAAAATCGTTAATTTTGAAACATATTAAATGTTGTTTATTTAAAAAATTGCATTTTTATCTAAAAATCTTGACTTTTATACTTTCTATGACTGGACGCCCCAATAAGCTAATAATTAGGAACATTTTCAAGTTGTAATATTTTTTTTTAAAAAAAATACAAGATTTTCTTTTAATTAAATTAGATGATAAATTACCAAAACTAGAATAATCCAATAAAAATTAATGAACTATTTTCACTTTTAAAAATTGTAGCAAAAATATTGAATTTCCATAAAAATATCGTTAAATAAATCTTAGGGTATTCAATTTTATACTTAAACCATACTTACTATTAATTTTATTTGTACACTGAGAAAACATATTGTTTCATTTTTCTAAAATTTCTTTTTCAAAAATATTCACTGATTTTTCACACATACAACTGATGAACACTAATAATTAAACTTTATTAATTAATTAAGACTGTCTTACATACACAATCCACTAACCTCACTGTAAATCACCATAAACTTGATAAAAAGCAAGATGTGATAACAATTGATATCAAAACCAGGGTTGAGACGTTAAAAAAGACAAATATTAAATTTAAATCATTGCGCAGAAAACTACTGCGCATTGTTATGTACATATGTATCAGGCTTAATAATAAATATCTAGAAATATACATTCCCAACTGTGTAATCAATTAATTTTTTTAGTTTTCTTCTATTGGCTAAACTTATGAAATATTGGCTACACTGAAAAACTAGTAAATAAAAATGGCTGGGAAGTTGAAAGTTTATTCCGTATCAAAGTGGTGAAATAATTAATAATATGAGTTGAAAATTGTAGAATTATGTTCTTACAAACGTAGATTTAAAAAGTAAGCAATTAGTTTCAACAGTTTGCAATTTAAAATATAGTTTAATGATAGAAATAAAATAATTTTCTATTGTAAAGACATCTGGAGGTAGCGCCAGTGGATAAGAAGCAGTCGAAAATAAGGATATTTTCGTTTCAAGTGTTCACAGTAAGACATGAATTCCTTCTATTTTTAGACTGGCTTCGTGAGTTGTTCGTCGAATCTTCTTCAGTTCCTGAACTGACAGCGTATTACATTACATTCCGTAATAGTCATTCAAATTTAAAGTTTTTAAAAGTTGATATGTTCATTTTATTTTACTGAATTATTAACTTCATTATTTGGAGTAATTGTAATTCATTTGTTTTTTTTTATTTGTTATTTAAAAAAAATATATATATATATATTATCGATAGAATTTTGTTTAAATGGAACAAAAGCGATTAAGTTTCTACTATTCCTTCTAAATATTAGGTTGCTATTTTTAGTTCTTAAGAAATCCTATATACCAATTTGGATAATTCTTTACAAACAAAAATCACTTTTGGAGTTTATAAAAATATTTACTTGTATAAAATATAAATCAAGTTTTTGATAATACCTTTTCACATATAGTTAATATAAGAAGAGAACATTTTTTGAAATCGAGAAAGAAACTTTTAATGAACTATTTATAAATTGATGATAAATGGTTTCAACATTTAATTCGAAAATAAAATTTTTAAGCGCTAACATTCAAATGTAAATATCTTTCGAAATATTTTTGACTATGACGAATCAAACTACGTACAAATGTTTAGATAAGTTTTAGAGCATCTGTTTACAATTTTAGAATATAAAATAAAATTATTTATTCTATTTTTGAAAAATCAAAATTCAAATTTGAAATGAAAATTAGGATATAGTATTGCAATTTGCATAATTTCATTTTGTGAAATTGAATACAAGACTTGTAAGGTTTCCAGTCGACATAAATTTTCTATTCATTCGTCAGGGACGAACCGATTAAAAGCCTCTTTATATTCAAGTGTCTACATGTGTATTACTCTTTGTCAGTCTGATATAATTTTGAGCCAAAAATTAAACCTTAATTTTTTTAATTAAAATTTATTTTCTCTTGAGAAATTAATTTTGATTTAAAAATTAATTCTTCTTTTTATCTTTAGATAAATCATCAAAAATGGTTGTGGGAGAGGCCAGTATACACAATATTATGGGGGGTATGGAAAGTACGGGAGGGGTACGACTTCATAATCATAAAAGAAAATTAAAACAAAGGTAATTTTTGCAAATATCGAAAAATCTATTAATACACTTTAATTTTACTATATGTACTTTTTTTTTCTTGTAGGTTTGATATAATTAAAAAATTAGGTCAAGGAACATATGGCAAGGTACAGTTAGGAATAAATAAAGAAACCGGCCAAGAAGTAGCAATTAAAACAATTAAAAAATGCAAAATAGAAACTGAAGCTGATCTAGTCAGAATTAGAAGAGAAATTCAAATTATGTCCAGTGTTCAACATCCAAATATTATTCACATTTATGAAGGTATGTTTAATTAATAAGTAATTTTTTTAGTGCGATCAATAATTTATATTTTTTCCAAATAGTTTTTGAAAATAGAGAGAAAATGGTGCTAGTCATGGAATATGCAGCTGGAGGTGAATTATATGATTATTTAAGTCAAAGAAAAGTTTTAACGGAAGAAGAAGCACGACGAATATTTCGTCAAATAGTGACAGCTGTTTTTTACTGTCACAAACATAATATTTGCCATAGAGATTTAAAACTCGAAAATATTTTATTGGATCAAATTGGAAATGCTAAAATAGCAGATTTTGGTTTATCGAATGTTTTCGATGGGAAAAGACTGTTGAATACATTTTGTGGAAGTCCACTTTATGCGAGTCCCGAAATTGTCAAAGGAACACCCTATCATGGACCTGAGGTCGATTGTTGGAGTTTGGGTGTTCTTTTATATACTCTTGTTTATGGTGCCATGCCATTTGATGGATCTAATTTCAAGAGACTAGTCAAACAAATATCGTCTTCCGATTATTTTGAACCAAAAGTGCCATCTCGTATGTAAAAATGATTTTTTCTATATATATAATATTTTTATCAATTTATTAAAAATATTTTCTTTATTTCAGCTGCGTCTACTTTAATTAAAGAAATGCTGACAGTATGTCCAGGAACAAGAGCTGATATACAAAAAATTTGTATCCACTGGTGGGTAAATGAAAGTTATGAAAAAAATTGTCTACATATTGCTGAAGAATTAGCTGCTCAAACACCAGTGCGTTTAGATTTATTACTATCACTTGTTCCACAATCGGCGAATGCTGATAAATTAGTTATAGATGAACATCAATCGGACGAATCAAATCTTACTGCCGATGTTACATCATCGGAAGTTATAATGCCAACAAGATCATATTCTGCTGATAATTTCATGGAATTTGATCGAAGCAATTCAAGTACAGTTTTACGTGAAATAGCCGATATGGAATCATCGAGACAAACAAATAATGGTGATGCAAAGAGAAAATTGGAAAGTACATCGTCGGTAGACGAAAACATGGCAGCCCTACAAAAACGAAAGGAAAGTTCAAAAACAGAAAAAGATGATAAACCAGAAACAGCAATGGATATTGATGTTTCCTCAATTTCTGTAAATCAAACAACGCCAACAGTTAAAAATTCCGAAAATATAAATGATACAACTGAAAAATTAACCGATCCCTTGGAAAATAAAAAAATACTTGAAAGTGATAATTCCAAAAAAGTAGCAAATAAAATTACTGTTGATCTAACTGGAAAACATGTGATGATTGATTCAAAAGATAATAATCGTGATTTAGATTCAGAGAATCAAATTTCCGAATCACCTGTTAAAAGTGTTAAGAAATTAAGGGATAAATCACATTCACTTGATTCATCATCAATAAGTGATGTGACAAAAGCCGTTAAGACTGTTGAACGACGACGTTCGAAAATTTTTGAAACTGCTGAAAAGTTTAATCAAATGTTATCAAATGTCGAAAGTGAAAAACCAAAGAAAATTTTCATTCCCGGTGTAAATGTGGGTGGTGCAAAACGTGCATTTGAAAGAAAAGCAAGTCTTAATTCTGGCACATTGCCAATTTCTTCAAAAGAAAAAACATCACCAAAAGTTATAAAAAATACAACTATTGATAAAAAATCAGAAAAACATCCAGATGAAGTGAAATTAAATACCGATGATGGTAAAATTGAGAAAAATATTTCAACACAAGAAAATATTTCCAATAAATCTGATCCAAATTCAAAACGAAATCTTATTATACAATTGGGACCTAATGATTTGAGATCCGCTACAGTTACTGTTTCAACTCCAGTCGAGACTAAATTATCACCACCTGAATTAAAACAAGATTTACAACCAAAAATGGTGAGTATTATTATTCAAAAAATTGTAAGTAGCAAATTTTTATAATTTACTAATTTCATACAGGTGAGCGATGTTGAACCAGTAAAAAGTAATTTATCTGAGAAGCCAAAAAAGAGCAGTAAAATGGAAATAACATTAAAAAGTACAACTAAAGTTGCGACACCGCCGCCAAAAACAAAAAAAACTGAAGTTCTATTAGGAGAATTGAAATCTCCAACATACAAAACGGAAATCGAAGCAAAAATCAATGAAACTGATCCACGAAAAATGCAAACACAACGTTCAGAAGTGGCTTTTCCAATTGCCGCGGTATCACCACAAATTAGTGCAAGTTCAAGTTATGAAAATAAAGAAAAATCTTCCATTGCATTCAGAAGAGAACACAGTGTTCCTATTCAGGTTAGTTCATTTTCAAAATTTTAGAATTATTATTAATTTTTTTCGAATTAAACATTTCTTGTTACAGATGGACCTTTCATATAATCCAACTGAACAGAAAAGAACACCATTGGATTCACCATCAACAGAATATTCAGAAACATTGGAACGTCAATCGACTATTGATTCTGATACTGATAATACTTCAAAATCTGTCATTGGACCCGAGCCAATTAGAAAAAGTCCTAGAGAATATATTATTCCTATTGCCGTTGAAGGTGCTAATTATATAACACCGCGAGCCGATAGCGCTGATATAGAGAGTAAAAACAGCGCCTCAAGTTTGTCCAGTTTGTCGAGATCTAGATTTGGAAAAACCAGAAGAATAAGCTCTCTACTATCTGACGCAAGTGAAGATGATGAATCACCATTCTTGTCACTTAGTAGGCAAGTAAAATTTTTCAAATGTCATTCAAATTTTTTTTTTTATCAAATCTAAATTTAAACACTAATTAATAAAATTTTCAGGGATAGCGATGATCTATTTCAACGTCACATGCATCGTTTAAGAAGTTCCCGACCCAGAAGACAACCATCTGATCTTGCCGATAGTTTATCATCAGGCGAAGATGATGACGATGATGGTTTTGAATTACTCACGGCTGAAAATTTATTCTCAACATTATTATCACGAGTACGAAGTCTCACTCAAAGATTAAATGTGGACGACAATAAAAATAGTCTCTTCCCTAATTCCAGATTGCTTGGACGTTTTGATTCTAATCCATCTCAATCTTTTTGGGGAACACGCGAACCTTTATCAAGGTATTTTTGAAAATTTTTTTTTATAAATTCTTTAAAATTTAGTTTATTGATTATTGTCGAGTAACAATAAAATTAAAAAAACACAATTTTAACCAAAATCTAGATTAAAAAAAATTTCTTCTTTTTAAGGCGAATCTCAGAATCACAATTCCCACGTTCATCGAATTGTGACATTGATCGACTGAGTCGTAAAAATTCATTTGGACTTTTGAGTCCGAAATTTCAAGATAGTCAGGGTTCACTCGGAGAATCATCGAAAGAAAGTCTTTCATCCTCTGGGAAAAGTAACACTTTGCCAAGGGGTAAGTTTTTTTTATAAATATTACACTTATGAATTATTAGCAAGTAGTAAAAAAATCAAGTAGTACTAAAATATTCGTAAATATATATAATGAATATCAAAAATAATTACAAAATAAAAATTAACAATGACCAAACGAAATAATTAAATTAAAAGAACAAACTTTCAAATTAAACTGATATCGACATCAGCTGTTTTGATGATGATAATGATAATAATAGAATGCAAATTTTTTAAAAATTATTTAAATCTTTCCAAAAAGAACTGTACAAAAACAGTGTGGAAATTTTCTCTAAATTCTTACAAACAAAAATAACTGAGTCTTATTTATTTCATTATATTTAGTTGATAATTGGTTTATGAATATAAATCAACAAAAATAGTTATGTAATATTTTGTTATATTAATTATTAAGAGTTATAATTTACTTATAAACAAAATTAATCTAAACACTATTTTCTAATAATTTCGATAAAAGAATTAAGAAAAAATTAATTTACACATTCGTAAATTCCTTGGCATCGGATCGATAATATCACAACAAAAAAGAACAATAGATAAAAATCAATATAATACAGTCACATTCCTTCTAATTTATAGAAATTAAAAATAACAAATGCAGATACCAAAACCTACATTAAAATCTATCGAATTTTTAAAGGAATATATGTTTTAATTTTCACTAAATGTAGCTAACAAATTCAAAAAATTTTTTCTTTTGCGAAGTAAATAAAAAAAATATACATGTCAAGTCTTAACCAATTTCCCGCACTGTTATTAAACAATATTGTGTCTGTAGACAACAAAACGACAATGACAAGAAAAAGAGACAAAAATACTTTTAAAAAAAATATATTTTTTTAAATACATTTTCAAAAAAGTGGATATTCATTGTAAAACAAAAAGTAGTAACTAGAAAATATAAAAAAGTAGTGCTAGAAGAATAGAGTAATTATATAATTTAAAAAGAAATCATTGGAAATAAATTAGTAATTAAAAATCATAAATAAAAAGTAAATAAAGTAGCTTAAAAAAACAAAATAAAAAAATTATAAAAGCTGATTTCTTTATCAAACCTTAATAAAATTATTATTTTTTTCTGTAAAAAAAAAATTAATTCGCTTATTGATTTAGTTGTATTTTTGTACTGTTATTTCTTAGAATTTTATAGAAATTTTCAATTCAACATTTTCAAAAAAAATATATATATTTGTATATATAACTGACGAATAAAAATACTGACGATTTTTTATCACGGTTGTTACAGCGACTGTTCGAGTGACTCTACATAGGCGAGGCGACGGTAATTCCCCGTACACAAATCAAGTTAGGTGCCACACTGAATCAACTTAGCAACTTCACTCATTATTGGCTACATTTTTATTATAACAGATCTAAATTGTAGACATCTTGTAATCTAAAATATTTGTTAATATTGACTTTAATATTGTAATATATAATAAACGTATGAAAATAAAAAAATCAAATAAGAGAAAGTTCAATGTTTAAATGTTGTCCTATACCTAATATGAATTCATTTCTTTTTACGAGTCAGATAATAATATATCTAAATTCAAAATTTAATTGATAAATTTAAACACAAAACGAAATGACAAAAATAATTTATCAATAAATTAATTTATTTGTATAAAACTAATAGTTCATTAATTTATTAAAGTAACGAAAATTATTATTTATCCATTGAATTAAAAAATTTATTAACATATTATCAACTGTATATAATTAAGTTAATCAGTTAATTTTTATATTAAAGATGACTATAAATAAGACAAATTTAAACATACAAAACACAACAAAATTTGAAATATTCATTTAAAAAATTCTGGAAAACTTAATTTTAAAGGTGTGAGAAAGAAATTGTTTAATAAAACTTTTAATTTTTAAATTGGTTATTTGAAAAATAATATTACCTTAATTCGATAAAAATTTGTTTTTGTTCCTTTTTTTAATGAGATATTATCGATTAGTGCCGAAAATATTCCATTTATAACGTGAATAGGTTTATATTTTTATTTTTAAAAAAATTGTAAAAATTTCTCCCTATTTTTTTTTAGATAATCATCATCATCATCATCTCGACAATTCAACAGGAGAAGAATCACAATTTCTTAAAGAAGCCAATGAATCACTGGATTATAATTTCACGCCAAGTTTAACTCGCCGATTAAATAGTAAATTCAATCAACAATCAAGAATGCATATGGGAATATCACCATTCAATTCACCTGAGAAAAATTATCATCAACAAATCATGACGACAGATCTCTTAAATTTTAAAAAAAATTACGACAATGAAAATTATAACGCCAGTTTGAAACAATCATCAGGCGAAAGAAGTCTCAGAAGAAGTACAAGTTTATTAGAGCCAAGAAATGATTTTTATGGATTTAATTTAACTTCATTGAGAAATCCTGAGAATTTTTTCGAAAATAAAGATAAACATTTATCATCAAAATGGAGAGGTGGCGAGAGAGAATATAGACGTGGTTTCAGTGTTGGTAGAATTCAAGAATTTCCAAATAATACAAACACAGAATACTGTAACAGTAATAATGTAGAATCAAATTTATTCACAGATTCAATTTCAGCGTGTGACTCGAGTACGAATTTACAAGATTCCGCGTCAAGTCGGTCGATAATATCCTGTGAATCATCAGCTGCAAATTCCTTCTCCAATATTCAGGATCATTCATCATCATCGTCAACTTTACCATATAAATCAAAATCGTCGAGGAATTTTGAAATTCGATTACTCGCCGCCGAGAGTCTAATAAAAGCATCAAAATTTAAGAATCTCGATGACACGAAATTTGATAAAAATACAAAATTTAAAAATTTAGAAGACACGAAATTTGATTCAAATGCAAAATTCGATAGTGGAAATGTAAATAACAAAACGCCAGATGATATTTCCGAAATGGTGAATTCAATGATATCAAAACGAAATCGATCAATTCCCTTCCCACGATTTCGTTCAAGTTCATTGAATCGTGAATTTTCCCTCGATGATAGTCGAAGAAAATCATTCACCGGTTCGTCAGCGGAAAAATCGCTTTTACAAAAATTTCCCAAATTTCAACGACACGATGAAGAATCCTCATCTAATTCAAATAAAGATGAGAACGATTCAACGAAAATTGAAAAATCACAACGTCGAATTTCTCGATTTTTGAGACCCGATTTTTTCGATACACCACGTGAAGAAAGTCAATACGTCAAGGAGAAAGAGGCAAAAAAAGCATTAGAAAATGAACGTAGAAAATCGAGATTTATGCGAAAACCAATTGAAAATGCATTTGAAAATGAAAATATTTCCAATTCAATTACAACAACAGAATCACACGATATTCCAAATGAAAATCAAAATACTGAATCAAAAATAATTCAACAATCATTAATTAATGTCAACGAGATGGAAAAATGTGAACCCAATGATTCTGCATTATTTACACACTACATTCCTGAAACAACTCATGAGACAAGCATAAATGACGAAAGTTCAATTAATAAAAAGTCTTCCAAAACATTTTCCAAATCAAAAACAGTTCCAAGAATCGATGTACCGTGTAAAGAAGAAGTAAAAACAAGTGAAAGTGCAACAAATATGCGATTTCGAAGTAAAATACCGACAAAATTCAAGAAAAATGAAACCAATATTGTGAAAAAAATTGCCGACAGCAATAAATTATTGCACAAAAATCCCACTGATCTTTCATCATCATCATCAACATCAAAAGTGAAAAAGAAGGAGAATGAATTAAGTTTACTCCAAAGATCAAAGACAGAAGTGAAAAAATCCTTAGAACAATGTTCCAAATTAGTGAAAAAATACAGTCTCGATAATACAAAAAAAATTAAAGCCGAAAAAGAAATTGGAATAATCAAAAGCAGGACAAATTCCCAAGAAAAGGAAAAATCGTCCGAGAGAAATTTAGAAAAAAATTCAAGTCGAAATATCGTTCAAGTGGAAATAGTTGCCGATAGAACAACAACACCCGAGAAAAAGCAACATTTATTTAAATCCGATAAAGCATTTAGAGAAGAATCACAATCGCCAAATGGTGAAAATGTTTCCGAAGAAAATGGCAAGAGAATTGTTAAAAAAATATTACCCTCTTTATCGAAAATAAATTCCACCTTAAAGGGAAATAATAACGATAAAGGTGAAAAAAAATTACTAAAACGCACAAAAGTCAAAGAAGTCAACGAAAAGGAAAATGATAATACAACCAAAAAAAAAGAAGAAAGTATCAAAAAGAAAGAAGATAATAGTATCAAAAGAAAAGAAGACAAAAGAAAAGAAATCGACAATTTAACCAAGAAAAAAGAAACTGATAAAAAGAAAGAAAATGAAATTACCATTAAGAAAAAAGAAGCCGAGAAGAAAAAGAAAAATATTCTCCCAATCAAAAAATCAACAAATAATTTCCCTAAAACATCGGAAAAAATCAATAAACAATCTTCCGAAACAAGTGACGATTCAGAGGAAAAATTCGATTACAAAGAGAAGAATTTTTCAACAGACAAATTATTGACAAGAAAATTAGTCAATAATTTAGATGAAAAATCACGAAAATCAAATAAAAGTAATTCTCCAATTAATGACAATTCCTCATCAGCTCAAAAAATTGACAACATGAAAATAATTCTCGACGCAAATAATTCGTTTTACAAACAAAGATCGAATTCATCAGATGATTTAGAAACAAATGATACAAGTTTTTATACAAATCCAGAACATCATCTTAAATCCAAAGAATTGAGTAAATCTCCCGATCACTCACAATGCGAAGGTACAGAATATTTCAATTTATATGGTTATTATCCAAGTGATTGTGAAATGAATAATACAAATACACGAAGTGACATTGCCAATTCATCATCATCATCAGCATTGCCTGTAAATTCAACTCCTCGCGATCAAGAATCAATAATCGATCGAATAAGAAGAAAAAGTTTCTATTCACGTTTCAATGATAGAAAACGTAAAACACTTGTGTCTCCATTATCATCACGAACCGATATGTGGCCCAGTATGACGTTACCAAAAAATTTTAGTTTCACAAGTACCAAGAAAAATGATTCCAACAAAAGATACAGTTTATATAATAATATTTTATCAGATTCAAAAAATATCGATCGAAATCGATATTCATTTTGTTCGTCGTCAGCTGATAATTCTTGTCCATCAATTGATTCATTGCAAAATAATATTGAATTACCGCGACGAAAATATTCCAGTGCGACTGATTTTAGTTTGAATAAAAATCATTTTGAAAATAATACTATTCCGCGAAAGAAGGAAATTAATAAATTTCAAATTGCAAGCAATTGTGATGATGAAACAAGTGGAAAAAATTGTGAAGATTGGTCCTGTTCATCAATTGCCAGTGAAAATTGCAGTAACGATTTCACAATGGGAATTCAAGATGATTTGGTTCAGTTCAGAAAGAAAGATTAATGCTTTTTCTATGCTAATAGCGATAGACATTCTGTAAACTGATTAAGGTACAATATAAGAAGAACCATAAAATTAAAAAATAATATAAATAAAATCAAGAATTTTAAAAATGCAATAAAAAATGCTTGTCCAAAAATACCAAAGGTATAAAAAAAGTCAACATTTAAAAATGTTCTCTTTTAATTTCAGATTTTTCACTGCCTCATTGAGAGTATCCATCTAAGTCATCCGTTTTCTAATTTACTCATCTTTATGTAATCAATGCTTTATCTTAATTAAGTCACTACGTTAAGATATTTTTAATTTAGGAAAAATGTTCGCTAGTGGAACAACAAATAGTTTTACTTTATGTCGTTTGTCCTTATAAAACATTTTATACATAATTCCGAATTAAAGTTCTTCATTTTTTTTTCTCAACCAATATTTAATTGTACAATTAAAAAAATTACAATTTACAAAATATTGAAAAAAAGTAATGCCTTGACCAAAGATCTTTGATAAAAAATTCTCATATATACATATTTTTTTTTTCAAAGGGATCGTTCATAAATTACACGCGAGAAATAAAAAGAAAATAATATTTTAAAAAGATATTACGTAATTTGTGAACAATCCCAAAGCAAAACTTTTTATGAATAAAACTCTAAAAGCAATTATTATAACTAATTTATTATTATTATTATTATTACTAATAACTAATTAAATCACTCATTCATTTAAATTTCTGAATTGTACTTCATTTCTCTTAAACCGATGGACTGATTAAGATATTCATTATGTACATTAAATTTTATACTTTCTTTCGTATTGTAAAGACATCGAAACCAAATTATAACAAACTAGTCTTCTCTGTTTTCAATTATTCAAAGTTTATGAATAAATTTAATTACTACTTTTAATGGTGTTTTACTTTACAATTAAAATAATGATTTTAAACAATAATCGGAGTAAATAAAAATTATTAGTAATTTATTCCCAAAAAAATGTTCAAAAAATTTTCATGAAAATTTTTGAAAAATGTTCAGTTTTTAAATTCATTTTCAAGGTACAAATTCACTTGGAAAATTTTTATAACAATTTTTATATTAACAAAAAAAAAATCACATTAAAAGATATGTGAAAATCGATTATTTGGTACGTTTTCCTAAGAAAAAAATTAAAAATTATTTTGAAAATAATATAACTTTTCTTTTTTTTTTTATATATATAAAGTCTATTTTTTAAACATTCTTATCGTACTTTGAAAAATAAATCTATGGGTCCCTTAATAACAAAAAATGTAAAGAAATATAAAATTACCTTTAGAAAAATAATAAATTGCGCAGTGTAAAAAATATTGTGTCAATGATGATGACCAGTTGTCATTAAAGCAGGTAAAAATGATCCAATTACTAACACTAAAATATCACGACATTTCATATGAGATGATTGTGGTAGTGCTCCTTCTGTACTTGGTAAATGCATAAAGGAACCATTGCTTTTTGACATTAATTCCGGCAGTACATGAACAGTAGCTACATATAAAAATGTACCTGCACTGAATAACATTGCTAATCCAGTTGCGTTTACACTACTAAGTGTTTCTTTACCCTCCTGAAAAATATTAATTTTACATATTTTTTTTTATTAATTCTTATTAATATTTCAATTGTTTATAATTTTTGTTTTTAAACAATTGAAATACAAACCTTGCCAATTCCAAAATAAGTGACTATCGTCAAGAATGGTGCTGATAGAGAGAAAATAAATAAATGACGTCCAATTTTTTTTTTGTCCACGCCTTCATGTAAAAGAAAAGATACGAGACCAAATGCAGCCGGAGCCTATATATCAAAAATTAATATTATGTAAAAATTTTTGTTTTATAAATTCGAAAAAAAAGAATATTAACCTTGTGCAACATAATTGCGAAGAAAACAACAACTTCTACATCTGCCTGAGAGGTTGTTGCAGCAGCACCTAAAGCAACACCATCAGCTGCTGCATGTACAACTAATCCTACAGTTGCTGTGAAACTTCGTTCTTTACCTCCACTTCTTTGAGCAGAACATTGATCCACCAATAGCATAAATACAAAACCAAATATTAAACTTATTCCAATTAAACTATGAAGATCTGTAAAAAATATATTAAATCATTATGATTTTAAAAAATATTCTATTTCACTAATACTAATTTCGTTCAACAAAATTCCCGTTTATTTCCCAAATTTTCCCGGTTTATTTTTTCTTTGTCATATTAAAATTTTTTTTCTTGCAGGCTTCACAGTGTTTCCCATATTTCCCTATTTTAAAAAATTCCCCTTTTTTTATGAATATTTCCACTTTTTCCCCTTTTATTCACTTATTTTCCCTATTTTATGTTGAAACTCGAATATTATTTAATAAAAGTCCAAATTTGAACCAAAATATTACAAGCGTCGGATTGGAAATTTCTTTTCATCAGAAAATTTATTAAAATTTTTTTTTGAATTTAATTTAAATAAATTAAAAATTTCAGTTTCTTTGAAAAATACGAATAAAATTAAGTTTTTTATATTTTACAAGACAGTTTTCGGTTTGATAAAATAAAAAATTTCTTTGTATTTTTCAAGAAAAAAATTAGTTTAGAAGTAATTTTCATTCTATAAAAAATTAATTTTAAAATAAGTTTAAAAAATAAAAAGCGTTTATTTATTAGATGTATGTAATACAAATTTTTATAAAACATTGAAAATAACATTAAAAAAAAAATTAATTACTATACCAGGAAAGTCTCTCCTTTAAATCTCACTTTTCTCTATAAACTTATCATCTTTTTGGAAAAATTTGGAAAAAAATGTTGATTTCTATACTTTTTATGTTTTAAGATGTTTTTTATTTATCAAGAAAATGAGTGCTTTTAAAATATTCACCGGTAGTGTAATTTAAAACAACTTTAAAGCATTTTGGTTAAGGAAAATATACATTTATATTTTACCCTATTTTTCTCATTTTTTTATACAAAATTTCCCCTATTCTCCTTTTTTCAGCAATTTTTATGCTGTGAAGCCTGTTCTTGTAAGCATGAATAAATTTACAAATATCTATGAAAATTGATGATATTTTATGAAAATAATTATATTTTAAGTTTGTATATTTCTCGTTATTTATTGGAGTAAAACATAATTTTTTCAAGAGAAATTAATATGTTATTAAATTAATAAAATTTGATTTTAAATCAAGTAAGAAAAATCCCGGTTTGACGTGAAATTCCCGGTTATTTTCCGGTTAGTGGACACCCTGCTAATATGATAATAATTACCATGTGATCCATGTGCATCATTAGTGGCAGATGTAAACAATACTCTTACGCCTTCTGGAATAATAACAGCTAAAGCTGTTCCAACAAGAAGACCGGCACCTAAAACGGATATTAGCTGCAATTTATCCTAAAACAAAACAATAGAAAATTAATCGATCCACTTTCTTATTGATAATAATTTTTTTTTCCAATTATTTTTTTCCAAGTATTTCAACAATTTTTTTATAATTATGAATTTTTCTTTTTTTTAAACTAAATTCCTCATAATTTTTTATTTCTTAAGTAAATAAATAATTACGATTTTAATTGTTTTTTTTATCAGTAATAGCAATTAAATAAACGTGCATATGTTACTCAATACTCGTATATAACGTATCGAATTTCACACTTTTCTTTTTTAATTATAATTATCTCACCTCAGATAAATTCATAACTAAAGGTACGGATCCTGCTAAATATGATCCAATCAACATAACCAACGCTAATATCCAAAGTACCAGTGTTTCATCCATTTTTGAAAATTATTACTTTCTAATAAGAAGTAATCTTATATATTTTTTTTAAGTAATATTTTTCACGTCAAGATAAAAGTAAATTATATACTTTGCAATACATGTTTTTATTTATAATGATTGATGTATTTGCTACTGTTTTGTATTTATCCTTATAAGCATTTTTTTTTAAAGGAAGAAAATAATTATTAATTATACATATGCATAAAATGTAAACACTGAAATTTCACTACAATCTGTCAACTTTGGGTAACTTTTTAAGCATGTATTGAGACACGTATTAGACGAAAAACACGTGGAGCAGGGACTTTCATAAGATAGAAAAGGATAGTAATAAAAAGAGAGATATATGTACATTTGTCCCTTTCTCAAGATGCCGTTCCATATAGGCGTGAAAACGGAAACGGATAGCTTAACCCAATAAGAACTTTCGATCCAATGGTAATCAATCTTATAGAGAGTTCTCATTGGCTACGCTTATTGAGGTTGTGTTCACAATAGGAACAACTAGAATTGGAGACTGTAGGAACCGTAACTGAAAATCGTCCCGTATTGAGTGACGTATCAACATTAAAGGTCGATTCGCATTGGCACTGATTGTAGAAGCACCTTAAATACCAACAAAACGAAATTCCCTTATTAATTTGTTTAATGGTTTAATTTTAACATTTATTTAAGTTTTACTCGTGTTGTAATTTTATCAATTCAAGACTACTGTTTTTCTCGATTATTTAAAAGAACAGTTTATTTTTATATAAAAATTAATAAATTGTGATATCTATAAAGTTTTGGTTAATTTTAATTTTACAATATTATTGATATTATATCAGGCTAATGTACAGATAATATACAAAGTTTTTATTGACCACATATATCTTTATTGTTACTTTGGGAAAAAGTTGAAATTACTATATATTTTTAAATAATAAACAATTCAGATAGTCGTGAAAAACGTTAACGCAAATAAAACATTTACAATGACAAACTCAAGAAAAAAACATTTAAAAAATGTGAGTGCTAAACAAAACGATGGAAAAATCGAAATTAAAAATATAAAGCCTAAACCAAAAATGAATGTTAACATACCATTTTGTGAAATTTGTCAAGTATCGTACTCAGGTCCATTTGCAGAGCATTTGTTGGGAAACGAACACTTGGAGAAAATGAAAGTTATACATATTGATAAAGAAATCGAAGTTCGAAATATAAATCCTGACTATAAAATAGATTTAAAAAAAAGAAGGCAAGCTACAAAGATTGATAAAAATATCAAAAATAAAAATATAAAACCTGAACCTGAAATAGAGAAAAAACAATTAACGAAAATAAAGGCTATGCAGATTAATAAAGAAATTGAGGTTCAAAATAAAAATCCTCAACGTATAATAGGTGTTGAAAAATTATTTTGTAATATTTGTCAACTTCAGTGCTCTTGTATTCGTTCATTAAATGATCATTTGTCTGGAAGGAAACACTTAAAGAAAATGAAAGCTGTACAAATAAATAAAGAAATCGAAGTCCAAAATAAAAATTCTAACTCTGAATCTGATTTTAAAAAAATATTTTGTGAAATTTGTCAAGATCTGTACATTTCTCAAAGTTTATTTAATAAGCATTTATCAGAAATAAAACATTTAAGGAAAATGAAAGCTTTACAGATTAATAAAGAAATCGAAGTTGAAAATAAAAATTCTGAACCTGAAGTAGATGTTGAAACATTATTTTGTTATATTTGTAAACTTAAGTTTAAAAGAAAAATCGAAGTTCAAAAAAAAAATCCTAAACTTGAATTTGATATTGATAAATACTTTTGTAAAGTTTGTCAAGACGATTGCTCTTTAGATAATTTATTAAAAAAGAATTTGTTAGCAACAAAATACTTGAAGAAAGGAAAAGGAAAGAAAGAACCTGAAGTTGATATTGAGAAATTATTTTGTAATTTTTGTCAACTTCAGTGCTCTAGTATTCGTTCATTAAGTGATCATTTGATTGGAAATAAACACTTCATGAAAACACAGGCTCTACAAGATAATAACAAAATTGAAATTGAAAAAAATATAAATCCTAAACCTAAAGTAAATGATGAAAAATTATTTTGTGAAATTTGTCAAGTTTCGAACTCTTCAAATAGTGAATTAAATAAGCATTTGTCAGGAAAAAAACACTTAAAAAGAATAAAAGCTACACAAATTAATAAAGAAATCGAAGACCAAAATAAAAATTCTAAACTTGAACCAGATGTTGAAAAAATATTTTCCGAAATTTGTCAAGTTCCGTTCTCTTCTAATCATGATTTAAATAAGCATTTGTCTGGAAAAAAACATTTAAAGAAAATAAAAGCTACACAAATTAATAAAGAAATCGAAGTCCAAAATAAAAATTCTAAACCTGAACCTGAAGTAGAAAAAATATTTTGTGAAGTTTGTCAAGATACGTACTCTTCGAATAGTTTATTTAATAAGCATTTATCAGAAATAAAACATTTAGAGAAAATGAAAGATTTACAGATTAATAAAGAAATTAAAGTTCAAAATAAAAATTCTGAACCTGAAGTAGGTGTTGAAAAATTATTTTGTAATATTTGTCAAGTTCCGTTGAATTCTAATAGTGATTTAAAAGATCATTTGTCTGGAAAGAAACACTTAAAGAAAATAAAAGCTACACAAATTAATAAAGAAATCAACGTACAAAATAAAAATTCTGAAACTGAACCTAAAGTAGAAAAAATATTTTGTGAAGTTTGTCAAGATACGTATTCTTCGAATAGTTTATTTAATAAGCATTTATCAGAAATAAAACATTTAGAGAAAATGAAACCTTTACAGATTAATAAAGAAATCGAAGTCCAAAATAAAAATTCTGAACCTGAACCAGAACCTGATGTTGAAAAAATATTTTGTGAAATTTGTCAAGATCCGTTCTCTTCTAATATTTTATTTAATAAGCATTTATCAGAAATAAAACATTTAAGGAATATGAGAGCTTTACAGATTAATAAAGAAATCGAAGTCGAAAATAAAAAATCTAAACCTGAACCTGATGTTGAAAAAATATTTTGTGATATTTGTCAAGATTCATACTCTTCTCAAAGTTTATTTAAAAAGCATTTATCAGAAATAAAACATTTAAGGAATATGAGGGTTTTACAGATTAATAAAGAAATCGAAGTTGAAAATAAAAATTCTAAACCTGAACCTGATGTTGAAAAAATATTTTGTTATACTTGTCAAGATTCATACTCTTCTCAAAGTTTATTTAAAAAGCATTTATCAGAAATAAAACATTTAAGGAATATGAGAATTTTACAGATTAATAAAGAAATCGAAGTCCAAAATAAAAATTCTAAACCTGTAGTAGTTGTTGAAAAATTATTTTGTGAAATTTGTCAAGTTTCGTGCGCTTCTTCATTCAATGAACATTTGTCAGAAGAAAAACATTTAAGTAAAATGAAGCATGAATTTAAAAATATTGTAATGAATAATTTGGTAGAAAACACCAGTTTCACGAATTATTTAGCATTATTTTTAAAGACAGTTGGACCAAGTGAAGAAGTTTTCGCTTCATATAAACAAATTTGTTTTCGTTTTAATAGATTATTTCGAAATTTATTTCCTATGTGCACGATGCAACAAATTGGTTCAACATTAACGAGTTTATGTTTCAATACAAATAATTTAAAAATATACGTGGACAAAGGTACATTTTTTTCCAATTAAAATTTAAACATAATAATTAAAAAAATTTTGATATTCATAACAAATGAAAAGTGCTTTGCAAAGATTACTTTTAAACGATTGGATTTTTTGAAATATTTTAGAAAATTTGTAAATAGATTAGAAAATAAAGTTTTAGAATTTAAAATTTATTTTAAATATATTTTTAGTACAAAAATAATACATATCAATATGTTAATTTATAACTAACACCCTTTAAAAACTCATGTAAACTCGCTTTTCTTTAATAAGTAATCAAGCACACCACTTATCTTCAGAAAAAAAAGTAATTAAAAATCAACAGTTCTTATTTCTTTTATAAAATATTTTTAATAACTAATAAATTCTAGTAATAAAATAATATCTAATTCTTACATAAAAATTTTATTCAAGTACACTACATTAATCTTATTAGGTAAGAATTTCTTTTAAGAAATAAAATGTTTTAAAATTTTTTATTATAATATATTCTAGGTAAAGGAATTGATTTAAAATTAATCAAATTCTTCAATAAGGCAAAAAGTGTTATTTTTGGAAATAGTAATTTATTTAGTGATGTTAAAATTCATTCGAAAAAATTAAAAATAATTACGTTTCTTGACAATAAAACGAACATCACTTGTGAACTACATTTTAGCAACGCAATGAGTGTCTACAGCAGTCTACTAATAAAACATTATTTATCATTTGATACTCGAATCAAGCCCTTGATGATGATTATTAAATACTGGGCAAAGCAATGCGGAATTTCTGGACGTTTTACAAGTCAAAAAATAACAAGTTATGCCTTAGTAATGTTAGTCATATTTTATTTACAACAACCTAATGTCAATTTAGTGCCTCCAATAATAACACTGAAAGAGATATGTAATCCCAAAATTGTTGATGGATGGCAAGTGAATTTTGATAAAAAGATTCAACATTCTTCAGCCAAAAATGAAAGCTCGATTCCTGAGTTGCTGTATGGATTTTTTAACTTTTATGCTAATTTTGACTTTAATGAATTTGTTATTTGTCCTATTGATGGTTGTGCACATTCTAAGAAATCATTTAAATATATTGATAATCTACCAAAATGTATGGACAGGTAAATATATTTTTTTTCGAAAATTTTTTATTATAAATATACATACAGGGTTGCCAACGAACCTTGAAAACCGAGAAAATTAAAAAATTAATTATTAATTAACAATTATTAACAAAATATTTATTAATACAGGTATAAGAAATACATTACAGATACTGAGGATGTTCTTCCGCTTGATATTGAAAACTTATTATGTATTCAGGATCCAATTGAACTCAATAATAATTGTTCTGATAACGTTTCCAAAAGTTTCGTTAAATATTTTCAAAGGCAAGCTTCGCAAGCGGCGCGAATCTACAAATCAAGGTTTCACTAATTTAACTATTATTATAAGTTTAATTTGAGATTTCATTAACAAAAACAAAGTTAAAAAAAAGATCAATCTTTAATTTAATAATATGATTTTGGTTTTTTTTCAGTGAAATTGTGAAAAAGAAGGACGATAACAAGAAAAGTGAAATTAATTTAAAACTTTTGAAAGATTCGCGATTCTGTAATTCAAGGTTTTACCAATTTAACTACCAATTTAACTATAAGTTTAATTTGAGATTTCATTAACAAAAATAAAGCTAAAAAAAGATAAATCTTTAATTTAATAATATGAACTTGTTTTTTTTCAGTGAAATTGTGAAAAAGAAAGACGATAACAAGAAAAGTCGTAAAATTAATTTAAAACTTTTGAAACCTATTTTAAAACAAGATACCACTTTTGATAATATATTAGATGCATTTATAAATAAAGTTACATTAAATGATGAGGCTATTGAAGATTTATACCAACCTATATGTGCAAAATTAAATAAACTACTTCGACTATCTTTTCCTAAGAGTCAAACGTATAGATATGGTTCAACAGTATCTGGATTATGTTTTAAAAATTCTGATTTGGATCTTTGTTTGAATATAGGTACTTTATATTCGATAAAGATTTAATGGATTCTAAAAAAAAATAAAAAAAAAATACAATATTATTAGCAAACTAAAAAAAATTTTTTACCATTTTAGGCGAACCAATGAATGAAAACGATGTATCTTCTGAAATTTGGACGTTTCAAGAAGTTTTTACAGAAGCATATTTCTTATTGAAAGAGAAAGGTTCTTATAAAAAAATTTTGCCAATTCCAAAAGCAAGAGTGCCAATAATTAAATTTATACACAAGAAAGAGAAAATATCTTGTGATTTATCTTTTAACAATTCACTGAGTATTTATAACAGCCGTCTAATAAAACATTATTTGACATTTGATACTCGCATTAAGCCCTTAATATTGATTATTAAATACTGGGCAAATCTTTGCGAATTGAAAATAACAAGTTATGCCTTAGTAATGTTAGTCATATTTTTTTTACAACAACCTAATATCAATTTAGTGCCTTCTATAATTACACTGAACGGGAAATGTAATCCTGAAATTGTTGATGGATGGCAAGTGAATTTTGATGAAAAGATTCAATATTCTTCAGCCAAAAATAAAAGCTCGATTCCTGAATTGCTGTATGGATTTTTTAACTTTTATGCTAATTTTGACTTTGATAATTTTGTTATTTGTCCCATTGATGGCTGTGCACATTTTAAGGAGACCTTCGAAGATATCTCTAAGCTTCCCAAGAGCATGAACAGGTAAATAGTTTAACCTTTTTTTAAATATTTCGGAAAATATTTAATTAATCATTTTTTTTAAATAATTGAATATTAGAAGAATTTTATTACAATAGGAATTAAAAATAATATTGAATATTGAATATAAAAATAATATTTTAATAAAAAAAAATTTTTTTTTTAAGGTATAAGGAATACATGAGGAATACCAAAAACGCGATTCCATTAACGATGAAAAAAATCTTTTGTCTTCAAGATCCGATTGCACTCAATGCCAATTGTACAATTAATTTCAATAATAATTTTCTAAAAGCGTTTCGAAACTACTTTTCTACAGCAGAAAAAGTCTGTGTCACAGCTCTTGAAAATAATTCTTCTCAATTGTTAATAAATTTATTTGAAACAATAACTAAAAAAAAAAACAAACGACATTGCAAAATTCGCAATGAAAATTAAACTTAACTGTGATACATATTATTTTTTTCTAATATCGTTAAATATTTTTCTAATAAAAAAATGTATATATAAATAATTGAATTGTATAATTATAACAAAATGATGATTTATATTTTTATTATGTAATTTTTTCAAGTTTTAATACAATGTTTACATAAAAACGAATTCATATTTTTTTTTTTGGAAAAATATATAATTTTTCTATATTTTAAATTTCAGAAGGGATAAATAATAATAAACACATTTTTTACTAGAAAAAAACAAGTTTTAGTTTTCTTATCAATATAATAATTCAAATTACTTTCATATTGTGTACAACAAAAGTACGGTTACTTAGATTTTTAGGTAAAAATTCGAAATAACATTCAGTCTCAATAAAATACGTAACATGTAACAATTTAAAATTATACATTCAATTAAATATTTCATTAAAATACGAATTTCATTAAAAGGATAATAATAATAATAAATGAAAACATTAAAATTTATTCAGGTATTTTCGAAATCCCATTGGTAGGTTTCTAAATTCAAGTTACAAAATTGCTCGGTTGAAATTGTCATTTGATGATCTCCTGTTTTAAATCAAATTAATTACAATTAGTATACAATAAAATATAATATATAAATAAATCGTATTTAAAAAAAAAAAAATTACCAGCATATTCGATTTTTCTCTGATGAATTGGCGTGACAATTTTAAGGATATCAATTAATGTTTCATCCGTTTTTCTGCATTGCTTAAAAAAAGGATGCGAAATAAGTTGAGTGGCTGACGGTCGATTACCAGGATCGCGTTGCAAACACACTTCTGTGATTGAATGAAAAGGTTCTGAAAATTTTCTTGTTGATAAAGACTCGATGCGCTTGTCGATTACGTTCAAACTACTATTGCTAGCATTGCCATTTGCTAAAATAAAAAGTTATTTACAAAAAAAAAACTTTTTTTATTCATCTTTCGTGAAAAATCTCTTATTAAGAATTCAAATTTTTTTTTCAAATAAAATTTGAAAATTTTTTCTGTTTTTTTAAAACTAAAATAATAGAAAAGTTATAAATTATCAATTATACTCTCTATTATTATTTTCTAGATATATTAGTAAATAATTACATTGTTTTATTTGGTCGGTGTCTTGAGGAAATGTTGATCGATCAATTATGTGTGGAGCGCATCCTTGGACTTTTTCTGTTAACATTAAAGTTTCTGGCATATCGTAAAATGGGACAATTCCGTTTGCAAGTTCACAAATTGTCATACCAATACTATAGATATCTGATTTTTCATTATATCCACGAAGATCCTACAAATATTTTTGGAAAATTTTTTAATCTTCTTTAACATTCAATTCCTAACTTTTAATTCTTCAAAGTTCTTAAAGTTAATTATTAAATAAATTTATTACAAATGTATGAGAATTTTAAATCAATCTTATTTTAAATAATAGTTTGCAATCATTCTTATTTATTTTAATCTAGAAAATTTAATTTAGAAAATTTTCCTAAAATTTTGTTTCTTGGTTAAAAATGATTTTAAACAAAAATTTATGCTGAGAATGGGTATAGTTTTAAAATTTGATTTACCTGTTTCAATAGTTCAGGACTAAGCCACTTTAAATTTGGTGCAATTGACTTTGGGAAGGAAAAAACATTTTTTTGCCATATACCACTTTCCGTTGTTTCACATGAATATCTTAATCCTGATATGCAAGCTTGACCCAAAATTGATATGAGTATATGACTTGCTTTAATTGCTCTAGAAATTTCAAATAAATTTTCTGCATATTTAAACTGCTATTGTTGTTTTTTTTAAATTTCTGACAATTCAATTATAGAGTTTTTATTTGAAACTTGTCTAAACAATTGAAATTGAATTACAAAAGATTTTGTTAAATTTCAAAAAAGTAATTAAAATTACAGAAAGTCTTAGATGGAAAATTTTAAAAACAATAGGTAATTAAATTTTACAGTTTTTGAAATTCAATTTTTTTTTAAATAATTGAATTGTAGAAGATTTTAATTTTTGAAATAAATTTTCTGCAAATTTAAACTGCTGTAATTTTTTTCAATTTTAGAGTTTTTATTTGAATTTTTTTTAAATAATTGAATTTTCAAAGAAATGTATCAATTATTAAAAATAAATGAGTTTTAGAAGAGTTTTTTTTTTTTAGAAAAAATTGAATTTTCAAAGATTTTTTAAATTTCAGGCAATAAATAAATTTTACAAATTTGACAATAATTTATCAAATAATTTTAGATAACATTTATTAAAAATAATTGAATTATCTGTTCCTGGATATTTCCCCGAATCAATTTTACCTAATTGACCGAATAATTGAACTTCAAGTAATTATCATTTTAAATTTTTGGTGATTTCTGTTGCTAAAGAATTTATTAGAAATTACAGACAAAAAATGGAATTTCAAAAGTATTTAAATGAAAAATGCTTCCAGATAATTAAATTTTTTAAGAATATTATAAAAATCAATAAATAATTGAATTTTAGAAGAGTTATAGTTGAAATTTATAGAAAGAATTGAATTTTAAAAGATTTTTTTAAATTTCAGACAATAGGTAAATTTTTACCGAATTAAAAATATTTTATCAAATATGTAATATTGAAAATACTTGAATTTCAAGTAATTTTGAACTGAAATTTTCGGTTATTTTTTTTTTAAGATTTTTTTTTAAATTTCAAACAATTATTGTATTTTCATAAAATTGTTAATTGAAAAATAGTTCAAGATAATTGAATTCGTGAATAAATTCATTAAAATGATTAAAAATAATTAATTTAGAAACGAATTTTTGTTAAAAATTTGTTAAAAAATTGAAATAAAACATATTTAAAGAAGATCTTCATCGTTTACTAAAAAAATACCTATTTTGCTGTATTTTTGTAAAAAATGAAAAGAAAGTCGCATATTATTAAAATAAATCGAAAAAAGTCAAAATAGTCGTATAATCCGACATCTGCATAATTAAAAATATGTTTTTAATTTGAAAAAATAATATAAAAATTACTTATGTTCAATTTATAATTTATTTTATTAATAAATTATATTGAAAATAAAATTGTATTCTAATTTTTTTTTTAAATATAATTGAGAGAATGTCCTAATTCCAATTAATTTAAAAATAATCTTAATTAAATATCATCCAAATATAGAAATAAAAATTTTATGATAATTTACTTAACAAGTTGAAATAAATTAACATTGCAAGAAACTATTAACGCGCGTATAGTTTGCAAGTTTATTATGAGCAAAAAGTTCAGAACGTTCAAATGAACGAAATATTTTTTTCAATTATGATGGCCATGTGCAATAAAACAGTAAATTAAACAATTATTAAATTAATAACTTATTTTTAGATATTTACAACAATATTTTGTAATAAAATTCGTACATAAAAAAGTTGCAAAAAAAATTTCGTTCATGTGAACGTTCAAAACTTTTGGCTCATAGTTTATTAAATAAATAATTTTTTTATATGTGAATATTATAGCAAATAAGAATATTTATTCTGAATTTTTGAAATTACCTGTGTATCAATCCTCGTTTGTGAATGTATTCAAGTCCTTGTAAAACATCTCTTAAAACAAATGCTATCACTAATTCTGGAAGTCCTTCAGTAAAATATTCATCGATCAAACTGCTACAAGATCCATACGCCATAAGAGGAGAGACAACACATAATGATTGTTCAACTATAAAAGCACTTAGATATGGTAAGATATTTGGATGTTGCATGTGTCGCATTTTTACAATTTCCTGTTCAATAAGATTGTATTCTTCTTGTTCAGTATTATCTAAATAAAACTTTTTTATCACTACCGGCTTATTAGTCACTTTATAAAAAGCCAAATTCACTGACCCCGTCCCATTATTACAGGAACCTGTAAAATTAATAAATAATAATTAAGAAAACTAGTTTAGAACATTCATTTTTAATTTAATATTTCACTATTTTTCTACTAGAAAAATTTGTTTAAATTTAATCTTACCAATGGAAATATTAATGTCATAGGAAAAAGGGTCGGAGTCGTACATTATGTATATATATTCCTATTTTTACATAAATAAATTATCTAGATCCTGTAAAAAAAAGATATAAAAGTATTTAAAATTGAAATTTACAACAATAATAGAATATTCATGTGGAATTGTAGATAGCGAAAAAAACAATTTTTTTACCAATTTTCAAGTTACACAATTTAAAAAATAATGCTTTTAATTGATAAATTAATGGTAATACAAATTTATAATATGGTTGTACAAGTTGTATTATTAAAACTTACATACCTTTTGAATTATTTAATTTTGACAGTTCTCAGATTAACTTACATTGCTTTCAATCTTAACCTAAAATTATACAAAAAATTCAGGTTTCTATTTTATCGACTGTTTAGATAAAATTCTCGATATATGTATACCTATATATACATATAAATTATTAATAAAATAAATATTTAACAAATATTTTAGGTACACAAGGGAAAAATATATTTTCATTATTATTATTTTTTTTCTTATTTGTATCAAAGAATTTATTATTATAAATTTTAATTTAAAGAAACAAAAAACTTTTAAAAAATTTCAAATTCAAAATTTCTATTTAGTTTTATCAAAAACTATTAAAAGTTTATTAAATTAAAATACAAAAAATATTCCGAAATTTGGAAAACCAAAAAAAAAAATTAATAGATATTTATTTGCATATTTCGTTTAATTTTAACAAAAAAAATTATTTATTTTATAAAAATAAATATTTTATTTAATAATTATTTACTGCATAAATGATTTCTGCTGCGAATAGAATCTTTATTTTTCTTTTTCAACAATAATACATTTGATTATGATTATAGTCACCGATAGAATCGGAAAGTATAAAAGATATGAAAAGCTAAAAAAGTAAAAATTCATTCTATTAATTAAAAACAATACATACATATATAATTGTTTTATAACAAAAAATAACGCAAGTACACTATAACGCAGTGACACAGTTAAATAAGCATTTAATATAAATGATTTTTAGGTAAAATTGTATAAATATACATAGATTTATAAAGACAAAAAATTTTTCCAGTAGATTTCTTCGTAAATTAAGTTAGATCAACGTTTTTTTATAAAATGATTTCAGATTGATTGAAAGATATATAAAAAAATTGGCAACTATTTAAGGAACGACAAATTTTTGTTAAACTCTTAATTTTAGCCTTGACTAAAATTAATCTTTGATAAGTCAAAATTGACCTCATTTTCTTTAAAAAGAATTCTTTAAAATGTACAATAAAAATGTACATTGTTCGTACAATGACATTAAATAAATAAATAGAAATAAATTTTCTCCTTAAAATTAATTTATTACTTTTCTTTGGAATTCTTCAATTATATTCTTTGATTGCACAAATAGTTTAATAAATCAACAATCAGAAATCGTTGATCAATCAATCGTTGATCATCAGAAATCAATATTGATATATCTTTTTTTTTTAACAATTTGATAAAATTCTATAGATATTGTAAATTACTTGAAAATTGTATAAATAGTTGGTAAATAGATTTACAAAATCAACATCGAAAACAGGAAATGTTTATTAGTCTCAACTAATAAATATCTTTAATATAGATTATTTCCTATTATCACACGTACACACACATACATATTATTTTGAATAGTTGTGCTATATATTTTTTTAAAATTCATTAAAACCTGGTCATTTAAATTTGTTTCTTTAATCTAGATTTACCAGGAAATTTGTAGAAATAACTAATAACTAAATTTTTTAAATCTGTTTAAATTGAAAATAATTTACTTTAAAGTTTGCACTTAATTGAAACTGAAATTACTATTTTATTAGAATTTACTTTTATTTTAACATTATAAATTCTACCACATAAATATGAAAATCAAGCAATAAACATTTTACAGGTACATCTACTATAGAATTACAATAATTATTTATTAGACATAACGAACAATATTTCAACAGTAAAATATTCTCAAAAATTGTTTTTAAATGTTTCCCTCTTTATCTCAAAACAGAAATTATTATTCGATAATTAACTCTATAAATTTAGTTTTGATAAAAATTGATTACCAGTTTTCATCATCACTGACTTGATACGATCTGCTCGTAGAATTTGACTATGAATTTGCATATAATGCTCATAAGATTCACGATCATCCTTTGGTAAAATATTGTGTAAAGCTTGAAGAGGTAAAGTTTTTGCTACATGAGTCAATGTATCTGAAAATAAACAAAAATAAATAAAATAAATTTATTTAAAATCTCTAAAATGAAACTAAAATTAAAAATTATTAAAGAAATCTTTATCATCAAATTCTTACCTATTAATGTTTGCTCGAAAAAACTTGTCAATCCCTGATTAGTTTTTAATAATAAAATTCTATCTTGTAACATTTCAATTAATAATTTCCACTCATTTTCTTTGGTATATTTATCCTGAAATAATTAGACAATTTTAAAATAGTTTAAATAATTATTTTTAATAAATAATGAGTTTGTAAAAACAGGCCTCGGATCGACTTTAAAAAGTCAAAAAAGTAGTTTTAGTCGATTTTTTTTTATTTTAATTGTATTTAATTAGTTAATAATTATTTTACTTTAAATAACTGTTATTAAATATTCAATTCATTAAATTACTTCCTTTACAAGAAAATTATCAAAAAAATTTGTTTAAAAATTTTGTAAAAAATGTAAAAAAAAAAGTCGCATCTAATTAAAAAATATATTAAATTTGAAGAAATTATTCTTACCTTGGCATAAAATAAAATAACCTGTGGACATTGTTCTAACAATAATTTGGTAACCATCTCAATATTTTGATTACATAAACTTTTTAATGACAAACTACCCTCAATTTCTTCAGTTTCTAAAAATTGTAAAATTTCCTGTAAACATTCCAAAGGCAAATAACCACTGGCTATTAAAGCTTGAAGTTTTAATATTTCACAGCGTACATTTCTATCAATTTCACTATCAGCAAGTTCATCAATTATTTCAATTTTTAAATCCAATCCATAATTTTTCGAGCATGGTGGCATTTTATTTAAATACGCAGGTCTTTTATTAGCAAAAAGATGAATTTCATCAGCAAGTTGTTTCTTTTTTTCGTCCATTGAATTATAAATTTTTGATTGAATCAGTCTTCCTAAATAAGAACGAACTAATATTTTAAAAGCCTCTACAGTAGCAAAATCGTAAATTCCTTTCTTTTTCTCATTAATTCCATGGATTTTAAAATATTTCCTTAAATAAATTTCAATGAAAAATTGTAAAGCAGCCGCAGCATCGTGTCCATCACGACCAACTCTCGATGGTAAATATTCCAAAAAAACTTGCATAATTTGATACAAAGTGAGTGTATCATCATTAATCAATTGAGTTAAAATTTCAGCAAAAACATTTGATTTCCAACGCATTAAGGCTCCTGAGAAATTGGAAAACGAAAGAATTTCCGATTTTTTTATATTTAGATTCGAATCATCAAATAGAAGATGAGGATATTCGAGAATCATTTGTTCGATAAATACCCCTGAAACGGGTTCCATAACTTGTTCAATTTGTTCGTCCTTTCCAGCTTCAGTGTACAATAATATCAAAGCTAAACGATTATAATCATCATAATCCTGAGATTCTAAAAGCTTTATTAATTTCTCCGTTGCATATTCTTGCAAGACACTACTACCAAGAATCAATTTTAATAATCCCTCCTTTGTCTCAGCTCCAATGATATCGACAATATTATGACTTTGAAAAAGTTCATCAGCCTCTATTCCACTTTTCATTGACAACAATGTTTCCGTTAAAAACAAAACCAATCCTGGTGCATTCTTAGCCGATTTCCTCGAAAGAACTTGATTCACTTTTAAACCAGACATTTTGTAATAAGGAATGGAAAATCGCCAATCTAATTCAGAATCCGATTCAATATAATAATCCCCAAGAAGCATACAAGACTGATCGTAAAGATCATTCAATGTTTTGTCTCTTGAATTTGATTGAAAAACTTGTAGATCTTCAGTATCAAATTGAATGACATCTTTTGCTAATCGAACAATCGCATGTGCCTCCTCCAATAAATGTCGATAAGTCGTTGGACTCGAAGATTTATGATTTCTCGCTGCATTCAATATATCAATATATATTTCTTCTGGTTTTGGAAGTTTCAAAGAATAAAGTGTCCATGAATTCTCAGCTTTTGCTAAAAGAACAATACTTTTTTTCGAACTGAGTATTGTCTCAATTCCCAAAAATGGTCGTAGACCTATCAAACAAACAGGTTCAGTAACGTCAGGACAAATTTCCTCCGATTCAGATGTATTGATAAAAGTTTTTGCCACATGATGAGAAATTCTCAATGTATAAGATTCAAGACCAGCTTCGGTGAGTGCGTGTAAAACTGTATGCTCAAGAGCAACGTGTGTTACAGGAGCAGTGAAAGTGTAAGTTGTCAGACAAGTGGGATTAAATTCTTCTAAATTATCAGCAGTAAAATGATAAATATAACCCTCTTGAGATGTACAAATTAAACAAGTTATTCCATGTAAATATTTATATCTATCTGATTTTAAAATACATTTTTTTAAAGAATTATTTTGCTTTGTTTCAAGATAAAGAGGCTTTAAAATTGATGCTGAAAAATAATCTCTACTGGAAAATGATTCCTTAGCTATTTCCAGTCTCAAAACACTTTTAACGGCAAAATTTTCTGACCATCCACTGTCAGGTGATGAAGTTTTAATGAAAACTTCTGTATCTGGAGAATTTAAAATAAAAGGACTTAAAGTATGACCTGGACCCGCTCGTTCTAAGCTTATAGATGGGAAATTAACTGTAAATGGTTCAGAGGCTGAACTAATTAATTCTTGACGAATAAGGGAATTTATTTCTTCTCGTTCGTTATGAATCAAACGATCCCAGTCGATAAATTTGCCATCAATAGCTCTTGATTTTACAGCTTGAAGCCAATTTGAATTAAAATTTCGATTTGTTTGTGAATTAAAGAAATTCTTGTCATGTTCAGTTAGTTTGCTATTTAAATCATTGCCATTTTGAATAACTTTGCTGGGAGTCTCAGTGGATATTGAATTATCAAAATCTGATCGATTTGTCGATTGAGTTGACTTCGAGCATGAATTGTCTGAAGTTAAGGAACTGAGATGATCAATATCCTCGTAGAGAGGATTCGTTAGTCTGAAATAATAAAATCATTTTTGAAAAATATTATAAAAATTACTAAAAACAATTGAATTCCGTAAGTATTATAATAATTGAAATTATTAAATTTCAGAAAGTTTTAAATGGAAAAATTTAAAAATAATTAAATTTTAGGATTTAAATCCAAATTTTTGAAAATAGTTGAATTTCAAGTGATTTTGAATTGGAAATATTTGGTAATTTTATTTGCTAATGTTTTTTTAAAATGTTAAACAATTTTGAATTTTATAAAATTTTAATTAAAAATTAGTTTAATATAAATTAAATTTGTGAAGAATTTCTTTAAAATTATTGAAAATAATTAATTTCGAGAAGAATTTTAACTAAAAATTTGTTAAATAATTAAAATAAATAATATTTGAAGAAAATCTGCATTGTGTACTAAAAAAGACGTATTTTGTTTAAAAATTTTTCCTCCCCTTAACTTTTCAATGTACTTGGTAATTCAAATATTTTTAAAATTATTTTGTAGATTTATTTTTCAAAGCCAAAGTTTTAAAATTAAATTTCTTTGTAACCTAATTACTTTCGTTTTCAAATATTTTAAAGATTCAATTATTTTTATTTTTGTTATTCGATTTTGAAATGCAAAAAAAAAAAAAATTGTAGAGAATTTAAGTTATAATTTTTAGAAATAGAGAAAATGTTCAAAAAATTTGAACAATAACGAACGAAAAATCTTTAAATTAATATAATTGATATAAAAATACTTTAATTTACAAATAAAAAAATTATAATAATTTAAAGCTTATGTTCAATTAATAATTGTTCAATTTATTTTTGAAATAAAAATTCTAAATAATTTTTTCAAAATAAAATTGGTACAATGTTCTATTTTGCATTTAACCGAATTGTTACTTAATCAAATTTTCTTTTGAACGAATTTTCATGTAACCAAATTTGCATTTTAGAGAATGTTTGATCCAATTTTCATTTAACCAAATTTGCGTTTAATTAATTTGTTATTCAAATGAATTATTATTTTTGTTTTTTTTTTTAAATCGTTTTTTAATACATTAAGAAAATTTTATTACTTAGAGTCTAAAATAATGGAATTTTTTAGAAATTCTGTGGAAGAATAAGATTAATTAGCTAGTTTTGATTTAAATAAAAATATTTAAAAAGAAGTAAAAATAGTTTTAAAGTTAAATCGAAGTTTAAATATTCAATATTCAAAAAGTCTTTACAATTATTTAGAATTGTAAATAAATTGTAAATATTTAAAACTGTTAAATAATTAATTAATTTGATCTTAATTTCGTGAATAAATTATAATTATTATGTATGGTTTTATTACCGGAAAATGAGAAAATGCGAACTATCCATAACTGAGACGAAATCTTCAACAATTTCCATGTGAGTTGGAGTAAAAGAGAGACTTAGAGCCCAGGGTCTTGGTTCAAAGTCAATAAATTTCAATTTTGTTGGTTGTAGAGTTTCAATTTTAAATTCATGTAAAATAGCAGTTGTTCTTCCAGCGACAAGTAAATTGCCAGTTGCTTGACAACATGCAATAATTACTGGCTGTAAATTCAAGGGTAATTCGATCATTTCCAAGCTATTCATTGGTCGATTTAAACTAGGAGTTACTCTGCCAGCTATTCTGGCTCTCATCGCTTGACTCTGATCATTTGTCGTCCAATTCACATAAACCCTAACAAATTTATTGTCTGATTCGCCATCTCTCGAGCATTTTGATTCTAATGCAGCCACATAATCTCCTTTTGAACAGTGAATCAATTGACGAGCCAAGTCAACTGTTGGAAATATAGTGACCAATTTTAAATCTGGTGTTGTTAAATCGTGAACTTCAATGCAATGACTTTGCAATGCCAAAAGTAGTAATTCATTGCTTGATGAATGAGCCACGCATGTTGCTGTGGGCTCTTCAATTTGTGCGACATTTTGCTCTTGAAAATTGTGCACAGGAATAACTCGAACCATTTTTAGAAAAAATATTTAGTTTTTTCTATAAGTCAGTAAATTGGCTGAGAACAAATCGCATCTTTGAGGAACTAGATAAACAAAAAATAATTATTTGTGTAGATATACATTTTTAATTAATATTATATCTATCATATTAAGAAAAATCATAAAAAATTTACTTTTTTTGACCTTCCTGACCAATGTAAAAACTTTTAGATAAAAAGAAGTTCATTTATATAAAACAAACCTTTGATAGACTTTAAGGCGCAAAAAAAATTGTTTTAGTCTTTTTAGTATTTATATTCCAAAAAAGTCGAAAATATCGATTTTTTATTTAAATTAAATTTACTTAATTAATTAATAAATATTTTACTTAAAAAATGTAAGTTTTTTTTTAAATAATTAAATTAAAAAAGATTTTAAATTTGAAATAAATTTTCTGCAAATTTCAACCGCTGTAGATATATTTTTTTAATTTCTGACAATAATTAAATTTTAGAGTTTTTATTTAAAACTTTTTTAAATAATTTAATTTTGGAAGAGTTACATTTGAAATTTTTAGAAAAAATAAATGAATTTCAAAAATTTTTGTTAAATTTAGGAATTAAAAAAAAATCATTACTATTGAATTTCAGAATGTTTTAGATGGAAAATTTTAAAAATAATTAAATTTTAGAAGGTTTTAAATTGAAATTTTTGAAAATAATTGAATTTCGTGTGATTTTAAATAGAAATTTTTGGTCATTTTTTTTGCTGATTTTTTAAAATGTTAAATAATAATTATTGAATTTCATAAAATTTTTAAATGAAAAATAGCTTAAGAGAATTAAATTTGTGAATAATTTTATTAAAATTACTGAAAATAATTAATTTATAGAAGAATTGTAGTTAAAAATTTATTATATAATTAAAATAAAAAAGATCTACATTTTGTACCAAAAAAGACGTATTTTGTTTAAAAATTTTATTAAAAATGTAATAAAAGTCAAAAAAAAGCCGCATCTTGTAAAAATAAGTCGAAAAAATCGTATAATTCGAGGCCTGATAAAATATTACTTTTTAGTAGAATAATAAATAGTTAAATGAAACTATATGAAACCTAAAACTAATAACATCTTTTGTCATAATACATTACAAGTTACCTTCGGATGAAAATTTATGTTTTTATTAAAAAAAACAATGTTTTTAAATAAAGGTTTCACTTTATTGACTATATTCTGTTTCCAATTCCTCCTGAGCTTGAAATTTATTGTCGTTTGTTTTTAAGTTGCAAATTTCGGCAAGTTTCGCCTTATTGTTTAATGTCACGATTCTTGTCAAGAAATTGCACATTATTGCAATTCTTTTCTCAATTACCACTCATAAAAACTCGTTTGACAGAGATATTTACTAAAAAGGTCGAACAGCTGACTTGACATTGCTGACAAAACTGTCAAAATGTCAAAGTACTGCCATAACCTCTTTAATAATCGTGCTTTTTGATTCGTATTTTTGAAAAAATATTATCAACAATCTCCCTAATGGAATAATTAATTATTTTGTAAATTACACTTAATTAATTACCCTATATTCTATTTTTATAGGAATATTTTGAAAAATAAAATAAGTAAACAGAAGAAAAATCATTAACACAGTTTTTAAGTTTCCAATTGGTGGGAAAATTTAAAAAAAATTTAGAATATTCGAGTAAATTTTATTAAAATCAAATTATGTTTATCTTCTAAAATTATTTAAAATTAAAATAGTTTTTTTTAAATTGAAATTTTATTTCATTATTAATATTTTTTATTTATATTTTTATTATTTTCAAATTCTTCTATTAAATGAAACACATGAAAACGACCTTAAGAATTTTCGTTGAAAATGCGCCTTTTTTAATATAACTCTAATCATTGGCTCAAACGCTGTCCAATAAGAAGTTTACATTAAATATTCGACCAATCGGAAGGTGAGCTTGTCACCGCCTTGAAGTTTTTAAACAATTGTTTGTGCGTTGAGCGAATTTTGCCGTTAAACATAGCCGGTTAGTTACGCGTTCTCAATGTTCCATGATCAGATTATGTGAGAAGTGAAACTATTTTATGTACATTTAGATGTGTTTTAAGTGAAAAATTTTATATATTAAATATTCCCAAAAGTGTATTATATATATTTGAAGTAAAATGGCTGATCGGAGGAAGAAATATAAACAGAAAGGTGATAATTTTGGTGACTTAGAATTAAGTCGCATCAGTCGTGTTGAAAAACAAGATCAACGAAGGAAAGAAATTCGTTCTCAAAATTTTTCACGACTCAGACCTTTGGAGGAAATTACACAATCACAGACTCCTGGTACGAATTTAAATTTTCTTTTCATATAAATATTTATGATTAGATACAATAATATGTACATTTATGAATATGATTTGTATTTTTGTTGTTATACATTTGTTTTCATGTCTTGAATTTCTAGTTTAATATAATATACTTCATAGTTTATTACTAAATATTTTTTTTTAAATAAAATATAGTTATTATTTTTGAGGTTAAAATGTTTTATATATAATGAAAAAATTATTTATGTAACATTAAGTATTATGTAGTTTTATTATTATTTCTTTTATTACATGTACACCTTTTAGTATTCAATAAGTATTAATTGTAAGTATTAATATTCAATATAGGTTTTATGAAAAAATTATTAAAATAATATGCTTCAAAATAAAAGTTTTAAAGAAGCGGAATTGAAAAAACGAATTTGTTAAAAAAATGTACTGAACGATTTTTATCCAGGAAAACGAGTACATAAATGTTTTCAATATCGAATTTTAATTAAGAATTTTAATAAACATGTTTATTTACATTTTTCATCTTGAATTTATATTCTAATTAAAGTTTAGTTTATTTAATCAAATTTATTGAAATAAACCAAATTATGCTTTATATTAATTATTCTTTGTTTGAAATAACTAAAACAGCTTATTTATAAAAAATATTATAAAATTTTGTAAAATTATATTCGTTTAAAATAAAACTATATTCTTGATGTTTTAAAATTAAAAACCTTGCTTCTTTTTAAATTGTGTATTTAAAAATTGAGCTAATACTAAATTAATAAATTTAATTTTAATAATAAAATTTTAAGAAAGCTGCATAAAAAAACCTGATTTTGCTTGATAAAATTTCTTTTTTTTACGTAAAATTAAAGAAAAACTCCACTGTGATCCTTTGATATTATTTGAAAAAGTTTATTCATATCTGTGTTATTAAAAATTATGAAATGAAAATTTTTTAATATAAAACAAAAATGTTTGTACAGATAATTTATTTTATTTTTTTAAGTAAAAATAAATTTTTCAATTAAATAAAAAAAAAAAATGTTTTCAGGAAAATCAGACTCTCAAATAACACGAAACGAAAAACTTGAAAAATGGAAGAAGCAAAAGGAATTAAAGAAAAAAACTGAGAAAAAAGTAGTGAAAAAGCCACCCTTTAAAGTGGGAATCGTTCATCATAAAATATATTCTCCACCAACTTATAACTCTGCCCTTCCAAGTTGTTCTCACTGGAATACAAATTCTCAGCCAAAATCCAAAATTCCACAGACAAATACCAAAATTCCACAGACAAATACCACATCAATAAAAAGAATTACTCGCGTCACAGAAAAACGTCTTGCGGCAAAAGCTGCAAAAACAGCTGCTGAGGCAGCAAAAAATTCATTTGCCCCTCCAAATTATAAATTTAAACCACCACCGGGCTTAGCCAATATTCCCATATTTGGACGCGTGAGAAAAGGAAGCATGGATGTGTCTACATTATCCTGGATTGAGAAAAAAGCATCAATTAAACCTGCAGTCAGTACTTATACGCCAATTCAACGAAAAAAATCAAAGTCACTTTCTCATGATTCACCGCAAAAAAATAAAAAACTAAAAATTAGTTTCAGCGACCAAGTTAAAAATTCACCTAAAAAAACGAGACTTTCAAAATCTCGTGAAAAATTAAATTCTAATTCGTCTAATTCATCATCGTTACCAACATCTTGTGATGATGCAGAAGTTTTCGATTCCGAAATTGAAGATCCAGTCGAAGAAGAAATGGAAAATTCACCTGCATTTACAAATATTGTAGAACCATTAGAAACGAGTATTTCTCCAATTAAATCAAGTGAATCATTCACTAAATCTCCATCAAATAAATCACAAATTGAATTAGAACAAGAGTCAGTTAATTATTCCCTGAAATTGCAGGTATCAGATTTATCAGATCATCATAATAATAGTTTAAGCAAAAATGAATTAAATAATCGTTCATTACAAAAGCAGGCCAAAAATTTAGAATCAGTTAATGAGGTAAATAATTTTAAACCAATTGAACAATATAATTCACAAGATTATTCATTAAAATTACAGTCGACAGAATTATCAAATCTGAATAATTCTAAAGCAAATGAACAAGAATTGGAGAAAATAATAAATTTATCATCGGAACTTTCTGACAAATCATTTAATGATACACAAAATGTGGCAATTTATTCGCCATATGTTGTCACAAGACGTGGAAAGAAGGAAGCAAGAAAAGAGCAACAACTTCGTCGAGGATTTAATCATTCACTTGAAGAAATTCCCACCAAGGAAACAGTTATGCAAAATTTGAATATATCCATTGATGAGGAAAAGAGGACATCACAATATTTTAGATGTCTTCTTGAAAGTGAAACAAATCGACTCAGTGAACAGTGCAATAGTTGGGATGAGATAATTTTAAATGAAAATCCACCCGAAGAAGTAAAAGAAATTATCGAACAAGCTATTGGACAAACGAGATTATTGTTGAGAAGTAAATTCATGCAATTCGATGGTCTTGTTCGTCAATGTGAAGAAGGTCACGAGGGTCATCTTGTAACGTGCAAAGATCTACAAGGATTTTGGGATATGATGAATGTGACTGTTAAAAATTGTGAGGCACGTTTTGAAAAAGTCAAAGAAATCAAGGAAAATGGATGGGTGGAAAATGTGAAAATAATTCCAACTAAAAAGCGACTTCCATTGAAGAAAAAATCGCCTAAAAAGAAATCACCAAATAAAAAAGCACCAGTAAAAAGTAATTTGCGCGCTATGATTTTGGCAGCAAGACAAAAGAAAAAGGAGATAGAGGAAAATTCAGAGGAAAAACCCAATGATGAGCAAGTGATGGAAATTTGGAAGAATGTCGTGAAAGAAAGTCCAACGAATGTGACAACATCAACTCGTAGACTTTCAATTGCACCTCAGCCAGCTTCCAAAGAGAGAAGAATGAGTTTCCCACGTGCTGCAATGATGATTAGTCAAAAGCGCAAAACACCAGAAAATCTAAACATATTACCAAGTTTAAAGAGTCACGAGGAAGACGAATTATACACAGAAATGGAAACAACTAGCGTTCAAGTTCACTTGGATGAATCGATAAGTTACATTAATTCCAGACAAACACCCGGAAAGAGTATTTTAAAACGTATAAAAATTGAAACTTATGAAGCGGACGATTCACGTTTATTAAGATCCACGCAAAAGGTGAATTTTAACGATAACGTTGAATTGAATGAAGTCGAAGTTGATGAAGAAACGCAAAATAAACAGAGTTTGGCTGCAAGTTTAGCCAGAATCGATAGTATGAACTTCGAAGATGAATTTGTGCCAGAGGTGCAGATTCATGCTGAGAAAAAATTGAATTTCGAAGATATGAGCTTCAATGAAAATCCCATTTCAGATAATGTCTTTGAGGAAACTAAATCTAATAAAGAGAAAACACCGGATATTAATATTATTGCTCCAACACCAAAATCAAAAAGATTATCCGATGCTGAAATAATTGAAGAGAATACAAGAAAATTAAGAAGCAGAAAACCAATTTTAGATTCACAGAATAGTATCGAAAAAGTTAAAAACAAAGCAGTGACACCAAAATCACCGAAAGAAATTAAAAAGAGAAAATTAAATTCCACTTTAGATGATTCACTTGTCGATAAAATTAAAGAAAAGAAAACACCAAAATCGCCGAGATTAATTAACAAGAGCAAATTGAATTCTGATTTAGAGAATTTACATATCGATGAGACTAAAGAAAATAAATATACACCAAAATCGCCAAGATTAATTAACAAGAGTAAATTAAATGCCAATTTAGAGAATTTGAATATCGACGAGGCTAAAGAAAAGATGACACGTAAATCGCCAAGAATAATTAACAAAAGCAAATTGAATTCTGATTTCGAGACTTCACTTGTCGATGAAATTAAAGAGAAAAAAACACCTAAATCACCAAGATCGAATAAAAAGATTAAATTCAATTCTGATTTAGAGAATTCACTTATCGATGAAATTAAAGAGAAAAAAACACCCATGTCACCAAGATCTATTAAAAAGAGTAAATTCAATTCCAGTGTAAATCCTTCAATCATTGAACAGTCTCATGATGATGTAATTGAGGATGAAGATTTATTCAGAAGGTCTCTAAGGAATCGTACCATAATTGGTAATTTAACTCCAAAATCACAAAAAAAATTAAATGTAAGTATTAATTTTTTTTTTACAAAATTATAAATTCAGTTAATTTTTTACTATTATTAATGATTGCACCAAAATTATCAGAATTAAAAGAATTTTTATATTTTTTCAGAAAGAAAATTCAGTTCCGGATAAACTTGAAAAATCACCTCATGTAAATGATAACAATTTTGAGTTGAATAGCGAGATTTCAAGTCAATCGCCACTTGATAGGGAAAATATTGTAAGGACTTCGAAAAGAATTCTCCGATCTCCTATATTGAAATTAACATCATTTAAAAAGAGAAAGTCAATTTTAACACCACGTCAACAACAAGTTACCGAAAATGTAAATAGAAAACAAAATTATTCTTTTAGAAATTTTTATTTGGTTAATAGTTGAAGCATTTTTCAGGTATTTTTCAGTTACGAAGAAATTGAAATTTTTTTTTAAATCCATTTTTTTAAAATCCGAAAATTCTTTTTTATTTTTATATAATACGTTATTGAAAAATAGCTCAGATTTTTAATGACATTTTTTAAAAAAGTTAATATTGGTATATATGAAAACGTAAAGAAATTCTTAAATTTCAATTTTTAAAGAAATACAATATTTGTTATTAATAAAAATTTTTAAACATGAAATTTCTCAGGAATCAGTACTTCAAGCAGAAGAAGAATCAACAAGAAAAACGCCAAGGAATATGGGAAAAACTAAAGAATTTGATAAAAAAGTCACACCAAAAGTGAAAAATGAATTAGAAAGTCCAATCGAAAAGTTTGTGAAACTAGCAAAAACTTTACAAAAATTAGTCAAAACTCCAATAAATGCATCAAAGAAAGCTAAAGTATTAAGCGATGAAACAGAGGTAATTTAATATTTAAAGTGACAAGTTTTTTTTTAAAAGCTCCTAATTTTATAACCCAAAAAAAAAAAATATTTTTTAATTTAATTCTCATACAATGTAAATTTCACTATTAATGCAAAAAGTATAGTATTTTTTTCATTACAATTACAAGTTAATTTGAAATTTCAATTTTTCAATTTTAATGAATTTTGAACATATTTTTGAAATTACAGAACATGGAAGTGGATTTTGAAACTGAATTAAATCAACCTCTAAGCAGAAAAGGCAAAAAACTGAGAAAAACACCAAAAGCCGGTCAAAGAGAACATGATAGAGAAAATCAGGAGGAGGATTCTCCTTTCAAAAGGGTAAAATTATTATCTAATAATAATTTCATTTCTGAAAAGAAAACTTGAAGCAAATTTATGTCAAAATATTTTCAAATTGTTAACATTTTATTATTTTATTAATTATATTAATAAATATAATTAATTATATATTAATAAATTATAATTCATTATATTTACAGGAATCTCTACATTTATCTTTGGTAAAAAGAAATAATTCCGAAACCAAAAATCTTAGGAGAAGTTTAAAAATTCCTGCAAATGAAATGCATAGCGAGAAAGAAAACACTTCGCCGGGAATATTTAAACGTAAATCATTAATCAGCAGTCCAAAGCCAATTGAAACACCCAGTAAACGAAAATCAATTAAAAGAAGCATGAGTTGTCATGGTGAGAATAAAATATTTAATATTTGATTTTTTGAACGAATGATAAAATTGAGGAATATTTTGCAAACATACATTTTTTAAACATAAAAAAATATATGTTCTAAGAAATGTTTATCAACCAAAATATAAATCAGATAAAATCATTATTAAAAAGAAAAAAATGTTTTTCTTTAAATATATATTTACGGTAAATGCGTTAGTGACCAGTTATGTCCAGTTATCGGAAAACAATTATAAAATTTAACGCAATCTACTGAAAATAATTATTTTAATATTGTAATTTTCTATTGTTAAATTATTTTGAATAAAAATAATTGTTTATAATTGAAAACTTAAATTAGAGCATTTTTAATAAAAAAAAAAACTTCCGGTAACTAAGATAGTATCGATAACGAAGCATTTACCTTAATTAAAATTAAAAAATCATTAAATATCAGTTAATTGTTAAATTTAGTTGCGGAATGCCAAGTTGATTTTACAACAACGCCCAAATTACAACGTTGCAATTCAAGCAGAATATCAAAAACACCTAGCAATCGGCGTAGTATTAATCCAACGACCAGTGCATCGCCTTAAAATTAAGTCATTTTTCATGTGTACATGTTTTTATTTTATTAATTGAATTTTTATATTTTTATTATTATTATTAAAGATACAGGCCAATTTTATAACCTAATGGTCACAATCAAAATATAATAATATTTATTACAATAAGTATACCACTATTTGCATTAAATGTATGAACTCTTTTTATATAAAAAACAATTTTTAATACAGTGATCGGAATCACGGTATAGAACTTAATAAGTTTTTTTTACAATTTATTTTTATAAAATAGTGGTGAAATTGTGAAAATGTAATGTCTTCATTTTATATTAAAAAAAATGTATCGTATCTTTAATGAAATTTATAAATTTACAAATTATTTTTAAAAAAAAATTCATTTTTTTTTTTACACGCTTTTATTATTACCGAACCACCAAAGTCTTACGCTATTATCACGATATTGTTCCTCATCGTCACATATTCTTTGACCTGAACTGGTAGCTAAAATAGGTAAACTTGCATGTAAACTTACTCCATTTATACAGTCTTTTGATAATGGAATACTAGTGATTGGATTTAATTCTTCCGCTTCTTCTTCAGTTTCTTGAACTGCGTCAACTTGCCAAACTTTTACTGAACCGTCTTTACCACCTACAGCAAATAATATTTAAGTAAGATAAATATTTAACGAAAAGTTTAACAAATTTAGGCTTCGGATTGTACATTTTTCGAATTAAAAAGAAAATTTTTTAGCGAATTTAAAATATCTTATTATTTTTTATTAACATTTCAATAATTTTTTAAAATTAATTTTAGAAATTTTTACTGGTTTTAACAATTTTTTTCATAGTTGACAATAAAGTTAATTTAATTTTTTATCATAAAATTAGTTGCTTTGTTTTAAAATTAGGAGACTTTAAAAAAAACAGCTTAATTATTTTTGTTACTTCAGAGTGTATATTGTTTTTTATAGAATATTTTTTTAATGTTAATACGAAAAAATCATTTCTCTTCATGTAGGTATTTTGAAATTATTTTATTTCAGATTAATTAAAAATAAATTTATGTATTATTTGAGGAGTAAATTTTTAAAATCTGAAAAATCCATTTTTCAAAAAAATGGAGATAAACATAAATTTAATATTTTAAGGACCTCACAAATCTTCCTGTCGATGTTAAATTTAAGAAAAAAAATTTGTTAACAACGAGTTTGCATTTCAAAAACTTTTGGACATAACCAAGATGAATTATAATTTTTATGTTTTTTTTTTATTAGAAAAAATTACCAATATCTGTAAATCATTAAATAATGATAAAGTTTAATTAAAAACAGAACGTCTTAAATATAAAAACATTGTTATAGAATTAAACTATTACAAATTTTATATTCTAAAAGTAACTGCAGTGGTTATGTGAGAAAAGTCATTTGTTTCAATTTCTCGAAATAAGAAAATATGGATTTATCAGGTGTTGAAAATTTGCTCCTCATTTAATTAATAAAAAATGTAAATACCGGAAACAATCGTCGATCCATCTTTTGAAATATCAAAATTAATTTTTTGATTCGAGTTGGCTTCTCGGTTTTCTAATGACCATAAAACAACTCCAGGATTTCGTAGATCCCAACACAAAAATTCATTATTACGTCTCACAGCTGAATATAATTTAGTACCACAAGGACTAAATTCAACTTGCGTTACTCCACTACTGGTTTTAAAACAACAAACTGGTCCATTTTGATATAAACCTACAAAATTCGTACATATTAAATAAAGTATTATGTATTAAGCATTTATTATTTACAATATTTACATTATTTACAATTTATTTCAATTAAAAATAAAAACTTCTTTAGTTTTTCGAATAATTTTTTAAGTATTGTTAAAAAGATTTTTCAAATATTTAAATTTATTCCTCTCACCTATGTATTTAGAATAAGTACCAAATGCCACAAGTCCTGGCATTATTGGATTTTCACGAATACAAGAAACTAATCCAGAAATATTTGGAAAGTCATGTTTTAAAAATATATCTTCCGTTTGTCGTCCTGGCCTTTCAGTGTCAAATTTTCGTAAAGCGCCTTTAAATCCACTCCAAACTTCAGTACCTGTATTTATAAATCTTATGCTAATTGCAGGTTCCACCTCATCTACCCTACGATATATTAAAGCAATAAATTTTAATTTACAAAAATAAGAAAAATTCTTTACAAATTTTTTATTTATGACAAAAAAATTAAAAACAAAATCAAGTAAATGAACTTTATCCTTTTTCTTTAGACTACATTATTTTTAATTCTTTCAAATTATTTTTAAAAAATTTAATTTAAAAATCTTAACAATTAAAAAAAACAATTATTGTTCGAAAATTTGTTGGCTATTAAAACTAAAAACTATGGTAAAATTTTTAATTGGAATAAATTGTTTAAATCAGACTTAATTTTTAAAAAATGGAACTTCAAGAATTTTTTTTAGAAAATTTCTATTTACATTAAAATTTTGATTTGTTAATACGATTCTGAAATATTCGAAATAAATTTTCTTCATAATATTCTTATAGAATTATTCTTAAGGAATTAATATAATGAATTTAATATCTAACATTAGTTATTTAAAGTAAAATATTTACTAATTAAATTTATTAAAACAAAAGAATTTAATTTTTGTTTGTTTTTGAATTTTGTTTTTTAGTTTTAGTTTCAGTATTAAAAAAAATACGTAAATTTCTTTATACTAACTGATTGTATGCTCTGTAGGTAGCTCTCAATTCTCCGGTAAATGCATCCCATAAATGAATAGGAGTCTCTTGACTCGTAGTTAAAAAACAACACGTTGCTGGATTCCAAGAGTTCATGTAAGGATACCAACAACTATCGTAAATAAGTCCTCCTTCTTTTATACAAAGTGCAGCATTTAAATTAGATGACGCTAAATTTATTGACGGTTTCTCTGAATATAATTCTTTGGGTAATTCGTAAATTCGTATTCGAAAATCTTCCGATGGAACCATTAGGCATGTTCCATCTGGAGACCATTGACATCCTTTCGTATAATTCTCACAGGTTTCAGAAGGTTTGTATTCTTCTGTTGCAGAACACAATAGTTTTTTAGATACTGTCCATTTGTATTCAAGATTTAACGATTCTATTTCTACTTCTAAATTCTTTAGTGGTGATTTTGCTTTATCCTCCAATATCTGTAAAGGAATTAAATTATTTATTTTACATAGTTTTTACCTTCCGGTACAGTTCAATTTTAATAAAAGTAAATAGTAAATTTCTCATTTATTAAAATCTTCATAGATATTTTATTACAATTAATAATGAATTAAAATGGTCAAAAATTAAAAAAAAATTTAATTCACAAAAATAAAAAATTTAAGATTTAAATTAAAATAAGTTTTAATAAATTAGAAATTTAAATAAATTAACAAAATTTTCTTTATCATATTTATAATATTAAAATACTTATTTAATTCCAATTATAATTTGTTATTACTATTATTATTGATTATAAATACAAATTTTTAGTAAATTTTTACCTCTTTCTTGTATATAAATTGATAAAAAGTGATTAGAAAAAAAATGAATGAACCTACTTATAAAATTAAGAAATTTCTAATAAAAATAAAATAAAATTTTTACATTTTCATCCACATCCATTGTTAAAGCATTGTCTTGATTTTTTTCATTTTCTCCATTATTTTCACAATTCTCACTGTCAATTTTTTCAATGCAGTCAGTGTCAAGTGTGTGTGAGTGTTGTTCATTTTTAGATGATTGTTTATCTTCGTTACATTCATTATTTTCGCGTTCTAGTGATAATTCGACATTTATTTTCACCTCTTCTGAATGTAATAAGTTAAGAAAATCTTCGAGAGTATTAAATGGCTTTTTAAATTCATCTAAAGTATCACTGATATTTTGAACTTCTGTTGTCAAAATTGAAACACTCGTTTCCACTTCGTTTATTTCCATATTTTGTGTTTATAATTATGTTTAAAAAAATAATTTAATTACTCTAGTTTTTACTGTAAAATAACAAATAACTTCATAATTCTGAAGAAATTTAAAGGTATGTATCAAAAATATAAATGAAAAGCGGTGTTTACTTTTTTTTGAGGTTAGAAAACCATGTTGGAAAAATTTCTCGAAATTTAAGAAAATTAGGGAATATTTCCTGTCATTTAAATTTTAAATTAAAATTAATGTATTTACTACTTATTTTTAATATTTAATTAAAAAATATAAAGATGTAGAATCTTATAATTTTAGAATAATTTCTATCATATTTTAAAAAAGTAAACAATTTTCAACTTTTAATTTTTTTATCCATATTTTATTATAAACATTTTAAGAAATTATTTAAAATAATTCTATATAGAATATAATAAAAAATAAAATAGGAATTTTTTTTTTTTAATTGTACTGTAATATAAAAATACGTGATATGGGGGATTTAAATTCATTAATAAAACAAAAATATCATCAACAGGTTGCCTTGTTTGTAATAAATATAACCTTGAGAGGCATTAAATTCAAAATTTCGAACGATCAATGTCCTTCCGTAAAAGAAATCAATAGGATAAACGGTCCAGAGGAAAGAAGCATTTATTTCTCCTGTTTCTGAGATCTGATTGTATACATATGGACATTGATCGTCCTGGACTCAACTCCTTCCAATTTTTCTTGACAATGCGATCATGTGTTGATTCCTATATTTTTTTTATCAGAAAAATATAATTTCCCATTTGGAATAATCGATTAAAGTTTAATTAGTTTAAATGACAGGTGGCGCAATATCTTTCATAATAGAAATTTACACAAAAATTACAAATTGATCCCAAATTAATAATTTTTCAATTTTTATTGTTTTCATTTATTATAATTATTTTTTATTATTTTCATTATTTTTAGTTTTGTTTATTATTGTTAATTATTTGGTATTTATTATTAGTATTATTTATTATTATTATTTATTATTATTATTATTATTTTTGCTATTATCAGCTATTATTAATTATTTATTATTATTATTATTATTATTATTATTATTATTATTATTTTAGAACTAAAAAACTGATACATTTACTTGGATTAATTTTTTTTAAATGTGTCTAAAATTGATAATTTAATAATAGAAAATTTTAATTTTTCATTTCTTTTATATATTTGTATAAATTTATTCTGCAATTTACCTTCATACGGCTTTTATTTATAATGGATAAATAATTTGGATAATTATGTCATAATTACTGATAATGCTTGAAAATGGTTTAAATTTCTCAAAAAGGAATTTCCACTTTTATAGTATTTTTTTAGATTATTTTTTTTACCAGTGAATAATAAAAAGGAATTTGAAATATTAAAAAAATATATATAAATAATAATAATGTATATTTAAGATTGTCTTATTTGAGTTTCTTGTTTAAAAATGAGTTTCTTGATTCGAAACATTCCCGCTAAAATCAATGTCCCGACACAAGCGCAATCCATCCCCACCAAGGAACTAGTGAGAATCTATCCCTCGCTTGTTGCAAACGCACCTTCCAGTGCTCATTGTCATGGCATAGCATGACGTATAGGTGACAATATTTTTTTTTCAAGGCAAATTGGAAAGATGTCATCGTTTGTGGAGTTTAGTGAACGGGATACGTGATAGTTGTCAATATTGTTATAAAAAAAAAAAGTGTTATATTCCAAAATCAAAGAATATTGTACGCGTTATTGTGTTATTATTTTTTTTATTCTCGTCGCAGCGCGAATGACAGATCAAGTTTACACCTGCGGATGTGGTTTTCGTCGAAAGAGGACGACAATTGTCCGACGACGACGAAATGAAAAAGTTTACATTTAAGTCAGTACTCGATAATTTTCGTTCGTCGGTCGCTCAGCAGGCAAAGCCCGAGCAGGAAATTGTTGAAAATTTACGCGCTGAGAATTTTCAACTTAAAAAAACATTCAGGCATGGTTTCCCCTATCAACCAACTGCACTTGCATTTGATCCAGTACAAAAATTACTTGCAATTGGCACTAAATCGGGATCCCTACAAATTTTGGGACGACCTGGTGTCGATATTAATGTATCGCATGATAATTATGCCGCCGTGACACAACTTCAATTTATAATAAATGAAGGTTCACTTATCTCCGCAACGGCAGACGACGCACTCCATTTATGGAGCTTCCGACAAAAAATACCGCAAATTGTTCAGAGTTTAAAATTTAATAGTGAACGTATAACATGCATGCATCTTCCATTGCAAAGCAAGTGGTTATATATTGGTACGGAACGTGGGAATATTTATTTTCTACACGTGGAGACATTTGTTATATCGGGATATGTTATTAATTGGAATAAGGCAATAGAAGTTACACGAAAAACACATCCGGGAGCTGTTGTACATTTAAGTGATCATCCATTGGATTTGGGGAAAATTTTAATAGGTTATGAATCGGGACAAGTTGTTTCTTGGGATCTTAAGGGTAAAATAGCGGAATTTCGTTGTCAGACAGATAAACCCCTTAGATCAATATCGTGGCATCATGAGGGTAAACAGTTTATGTGCAGTCACACGGACGGCTCACTTTCGACGTGGACTCTTCGTCAGGCAAAACCGACGAATCTTACATTTCCACATGCAAAAGTTCTCAAGGATGGGGAACCTGAACCATGCAGGACTATTCAAAAAGTCGAATGGAAAATATCAAAGTCAAGTGAGTCATTTATTGTGTTTACAGGTGGTTTGCCAGTGGAGACAACTGGAAGAACTCCAAGCATCACGGTCATTCAGGGCAAGACCACAACTGTCCTCGAAATGGAGCACAATGTTGTGGATTTTATAACATTGTGTGAAAGTCCCTGGACGACTGATTGTCAAGAACCATATGCAGTGGCAGTATTATTGCAAAGTGATTTTGTCGTGATAGATTTATTGAGCCCTGGATTTCCCTGTATTGAAAATCCCTATCCAATGGACATTCATGAATCTGCTGTTACTTGTTGCGCATATTTTGCCGACTGTCCTCCAGATCTTGTGCCCGCTTTTTATTCAGTTGGATCAAAATATCAAAAACGTAGTGGTTTCAGCGAAAAAGATTGGCCAATATGCGGCGGTGAATGGAAACCAAATTCAAGTAGTTACAGTGAGATTATACTCACGGGACATGCGGATGGGAGTATTAAATTTTGGGACGCATCGGCGGGTACATTGCAAGTTCTTTATAAGCTCAAAATATCGAAATTATTTGAGAAAAGTAAATCGAGAAGTATAGAGGGCGAGGAGGATCCATTGGCAATTCAAATGATATTTCTTTGTCCGGAAAGTAGGAAATTGGCAGCGGCAACCGTTGGTCGTCATGTGATTTTGTTCAAGTTTAAAAAAATTGAGAGTACCTCGGAGGTTGTGATTTTAGACATAAGTTTTGAAGATAAGGACCTGGCACTGGAGTCTGGAGTTTATATGGGATCGCCAGTTAAGGAGACAAACCCTCTTTTGGACGATAGGGCAAAAGATGGTGAAGGGCCATTGAGAGTGAAAACGGGAATGCAAAAACGAGCACCTGGATTTCAGGCGAGCCTCATTTGTGTGACCCTCGGGCCGGACGGAGAGCAGACTGAGTACATTTCAGCCTTGAGCCTAAACTCCTCGTACGGTTTGCTCTCTTATGGTAACGAGTCGGGTCTTGTTGTTATCGACATTGTACAAAAAGTGTCCCTCCTCGTAGTGAGTACAAGTGATCTTGGTATGTCGGTTGATTCAAGTCGAATACTACGTAGTCCAAAAAAGCAGGACGAAAGACGCGATGAAGATCGAATTCGAAGTCCTAGTGCCGATACAAATCAAGTGAATTTCACAGTCTTCCCGGAAAATAAAACAGAGGCAGATAGATTTGAGAGCTCGTTGCAACGTTCACCGAGTTCAAGTATGTCGTCCTTGGAGAACATTTCCCATGAAACCATCAGCTGCCTTATATTTGCCGATTCCTACACGAAAAAAGATTCCATTGCCTTACCGACATTATGGATTGGCACGACTCTGGGCTCGGTGCAGCCCATCATGTTCAACATGCCTACCTCAGGTGAGAGACTCGCACAACCTGTGATTATTCCTACTTCCAAACTAGGAGGCACGACCTTCAAATTGAAAGGCGCCATCTTGACGATGTCGTTTTTGGATTGTAATGGAGCGTTGATGCCCTACTCGTACGACTCTTGGAAGGATGACAATACTGAAAGTAGTCGAGATCGAAGCAAGAGCCGGGGAAACCTGGCAAACACGAGACTTCCCTCGTTCGCGAGCCCAGGATTTGAAGATAGGCAATTTGTTGTTATTGCCTCGGAGAAACAGGCCAAGGTCATTGCTCTTCCCTCGCAGAATTGTGTCTATGGACAGCAATTGGCTACCACGAACATTGTTGTCAAGGCGGAGATAACATCGTTAAAGGACAGTGTCTGTCTTGTTTGTTACGTTTCCAATGGCCATGTAACTAGCTACAGTCTGCCGAGTTTAAGGCTTCTCATAGATGTAGATTTTCTACCGTTGACGAATCTCAGAATTGTGAAAACCCTCTGCTTCAGTAACAGGGGCCACGGCTTGTATCTTTCATCGCCATCTGAAATTCAAGAATTCACTGTCTCCAGTGATTATTGTGGCGAAATAACGGACATGACTGGTGATTTATTTCTCACTCAGGAAATGCCCGAACAGCCAAAGGAGAGTTTCTTTAAAGAATTATTTAGAGGTGGCTCCAAGAGTCTCGATAGAGAGGAATTATTTGGCGAATCAAGTGGAAGATCCTCCAAATCATTGGTGAAACATATGGTTGGACCAAATGCAAGTGTTGAGAATTTACGCGAGAGAGCATCAACTGCCACTAGTGATGTTGCAAAGGCCCATCAAATGGTGATGGAGAGAGGTGAAAAATTAGGTGAACTCGAAGAAAGAACAGCAAGAATGATGAACGAGGCAGAAGGATTTTCTCAATCAGCTCATGGATTGATGCTCAAATACAAGGATAGAAAGTGGTATCAACTGTGAGAATACGATGTTTTTCATATATTAATATATGGGTGTGTTCTAATCGCATTTCCAATTTCAAAAATTGTTTTTTGGTAATGTTTGCGACCACCTGACTCTCTACCTACCCCCACCACCCTAAATTTAAAAAAAAAACACGTTCTGTAACTGTTATTCTGGTGACATAACTGTTGTAGAACATGTAAAATTGTAGCTATTCCGTAACCGTGTTACATAAATGTTATAGAACTTGAGTGTAACAAAGTTTACGTGCGTGCGTCCCCGCCTGACGCCGCCAGTTCCCGCCATTTTAACGAATCGAATCAAAAAAAAAAAAAAAAAAAACGATTCTGGATTTCTTGTAGATTTATTTTAGTTGTAAAAGTGCTCTAACAATTTTCAAGGATTCTTTGATATTTCAACTTGGAAAGAGATAACGAGGAAAAACGGAGAAAGGACAATTTATTCGGCTCTGCTTGAAAAAGACAATGGTAAGAATTTTTTTTTCAATACTTTAACTCGATCATTTTATATATTAAATTCAATTTAATAAATTACTACAATAATAATAATAATTATTATTTTTTTATAATAATAATAATTATTATTTTTTTATAATAATAATAATTATTATTATTAATTATTAATGAATGTGAAAGTCGAAATAATTTTGAAAACTTTCAAACATTGTTTTTTGAATAATAATATTGATGAATGTTATTTTTACCACACTTTACGTTCTTGCAGATTGTGACTTGCTTATCAAGAAAAAAAAAGTTATAATTAAATTTCAGGGATTGCAATAATTGAAATGAAATGCCAAAGATTATTAAGCCTTCAAGGACAATTGTTCTTAGAAATAATACAAATACTATTAAAAAAAAAATTGCATAATATGAAAATTTATATCGTTAATGAAAAAAAAAATTTTAATCGAATAAAACTTTTTTTTATGCAATTTTTTTTTTAATTTTAGAATATTATATTTAACTGATACAAATATAATCTAGTTAAATTTTTCCTTAGCAATTTTAATATAAATTATTAATTTTGTTATTAAATTTAATATAATTAGTTTATAAATTGAATAAATAATTTTTATCGAAATATATAAACGCATATTATACACAGGGTGATTTTTATGTTCCGGATCCCCTAAAAAAATTTTTTTTTTAATTCCACTTTTTTTTGTTTAAAAAACGAAAAAAATGTTAGGTGATCCGCAACATAAAAATCAGCCTGTATACAACAATAAATAATAGTTAGTTTTTTTTAAGTTTGTGGGAAAAATAATTGTAAAACTTTGTAATAAGTATACACAATGGAAACATAAATCTTAATCTTAAAAACAATAAATAATATAATAACAATAAATTATATTATATTATGTTATTTTAGAAAAACGAGAAAATAAAATGTAAATAGTGTAGTGTAAATATGGCTGCATCTGGACAAGAAACAAATATTTTTTATTGTCAAAGAAATAAAATTCTATTCTATATTATATTATTATATAATAACTAGGTAGCGTTATTATTACTATCGAAATAAAATATTTTACGCAGAGCACATAATAATAAAAATAATAATAATAATAATAACTATAATAATAATAATATATAAAATAAATGATTTCAACGTATTTTTTTGAAAAATTGTTTTATCATTTTAATTGTTATTGAATTATCAATTACATGTGTATCTGAATTTCCATTTCCGTGTTACTTAAAATTCAATAGCAGGAATTGATAATTACTTGGCGTACAAGTTGTTAAATTTTCATTATGTATTTCTAACAGTATACAATCAAATTGATGATTACAGATATTTAAAATTTTAAAGAATATTACTAATAATTGTGTTTTCATTTTTTTTGAAATAATGTTTTCACATTCTTAAAAATATATAATTTGAGATAAAAGAATGAAAAATAAAAAAAAGTAATTATTTTTGGTCTTTTAAAATTCTTGAGATATGTATGTTGTTCTAAATTCTAATTTTAACAAAAATTTCGTTTAAAGCTATTGTAAAAAGAAAAATTAAATTTAAGTAGGAAAACGAGTGTAAAAATAAAATTATTCATCATAAAAATGATTTTTTCTTCGTCTCGCACTTCACAATATTATTTATTTAGAGTAAAAAAAAAATTGTGATTTTTTATGAAATTGGGTATTTAATAATTTTTGCGTATATTTATTTATTATTAATTATTAATTATTAATTATTATTATTATTATTATTATTATAAAAATATTTATTTTATTATTTGACTTGAATCTTTATTTTAGAATGTTTAAATGGAAAATAAAATATAGTGAATCGTAGTCAGCGATTTCAAACACCTTTAAATATCAAGTTCTATAAAAATCCAACTAAAAATAAAAATAAAATATTTTCATGAATCATTATTATTTTTTAATTTGTTTTATATGACAAATAAAATCGAAAAATTTTATAATAAATTATACAATGTTAAAATATCCCTAGAGAGGATGGCTTAAATGATTTGAAACTTTTCGAATATTTCAAAAATATATCACAATTTTTCCACCCTAATTGAAAGAAGATTTTGGGGTGAGACACTAAGAAAAAAAAATTTTTTTTTTGGGACACCCTAATAACCACTAAACTTTTTTTCTGTAGATGATTTTTTTTTTCACTTTATAAGAAACACTACATACTTCATATAAGACTCGTATTTCATATATATATATGTACAAGCCGTTACCTCTATTTCACAAGTTTTTTTTTTTTTTTTTCTTAACACCTTTAAAATTATTAACTAAAATATTTCAACTCGAATATACAAAATAAATATTGCAGAAGAGATAATAAATTTTTAAAATTGTTATTTTCAGTCTGCTTTTAAAAGATTGGATACTTTTTCTTTTTTTTTTTTGTCAAGAAGAAAAAAAATAGCTGCGACAACTAACTCGATAGTTATTACACCGATAGCAATTTATGTGAATTTATTTTTATTTTATTTATTAATTTTTACTATTATTTTATTTCACTTTTATGTAATTAGCGAATCACATTAGCGTTGACAGCTGGTAATTAATTATCCTTATAATAGTCATTGAGTTAGCTAACTTGGAATTATATTTTTTTCCCTGTTAAAAAATTTAATATGAAAATCAAATTTTATTCAATATTGACAAGTATGTAAATGTGCATTAAAATTATAAAATATTATCCAAGTGTATTGAAAGCTTTTATTATAATTTCGAATTTTCACATTTTTTTATTATTCTTCAATAAAACATGCTTTTAACATTAACATTAAAAATATTTATAGGTAATAATTTTGTAATTTATTTTTTTGAATTTAATTTTTATTAAGATTTTTTCATCATTCTTTTCGTGTTTTTCTTTTATAGAGAATTAAAACTGTAGAATTCGTCGACAGCTATCTTGAAATACGACCAATCCTGGGAAAATAAGATGAAAAGAATTTATTTTGAAGAACTCTTAAGACTATTAAAAAAAAAAAAAAAAAAAATTGAAGAAAATTTTTCTGAGAGTGCTGTTGTAGGCAAATAGAAGTAGTTATTGAGTCATTTGTGGGAACTGGCTAGTGATGACAATAGTGGGATTGTAGCTGTACCAAAGTCGATTTTGGAGGACTCGTAAAATCGAGATCACTCGTAAGGTATTTTTAGAAACAATAAAGTGTAAAATATATTCGTTATTGAAAAAAAAGTATTGATTTAATATCTCATAAGAAAGAAAGTAACGAAAAGAGGCAAAAGTCTAAAAAAAAGAAAGAATTCAGCTCAATTGCGTTCCAAGTGATATATTTAATTTACTACTACTACAACTACAACCACTCTTACTACTACGCCTTGGAATAAATTTGTTTTTAAGAACAGGGGAACCTAATGTAGGTCAGAGGGTTCAAATGTAGATCAATATCCATTTTTGAGGTCAATTGGCTTCATTGTCTGCGATAGTTGTTAATAATACTGAAATTATTTATATTCACTTGAAGTTTTAATCTTTTATTTATTTTCAGTAGATATATTTTTTCTGGATTTTCTCCTCTATCACATTTTCCTCTATTTTTGTTTTGTTTTATTTTTACCCTTTTCTATAAAAAATTGTATTTTTTTTTTAAATTTTTATTTGAAAAAAACAACATTCACATATTTGTTTTATCTAAATTACAGATAACTGAAATTTCCCTTCAATTTGAATGACACTACCTTATATATTTATTACATGAGCGTGACTATCTCTGTTTATCAATTCAAGTTCATTGACAGGAAATGTATTTTAATATTTTATTATTTCACATGACTTGTTCATATACGATAAAGACAATAAAATTACGCTTGAATTGAGCTATTCTGCCTTTTGTGGAAAATATATTAATATTGAAAAAAAATATATAAAAATTATTTAAAACTAAAATATTTAAAAATACCAAAAAAGAAAGTGAATATATTTTTACACAAAATTGAAAAGAAAATGTTTATTAAAAAAAGATGAATATAATAATTAGAATTAGTAAAAATGAAATTTGAATTTCAGGCTGCATTTACAGATATATAAGATTCCACGGATCCAGGTTTTCAACTTTCTTCAGTTATTAGTGGAAGCGATACGGATATCAAGTTTACAGGATCGTTCTACACGATAGACTGATAATTATAAGACAATTTTTTCTCAAAAGGTATGTGTGTTTTTTTTTTTAATTTAAAAATAATTGCCGTTAAAGAAAAATAGCGACAATATTAATGAGCCAAAAGTTTTGAACGAAATTTTTTTTTTGCAACTTCGAATTTTATTACAAAATATTGTTTTAAATATCCAAAAAGAAGTTAATAATTTAATTTACTGTTTTATTTTACAATTATAATTTTTAATTAAATTTAAAAAAATTTAAAACGAATTTAAAAATTCGTTCATTTGAACGTTCAAAACTTTTGGTTTTTATTTTTGAAATTTAGGATTTGAAAATATTTCCGAGATTAATTTCATTAATTACTTCCAGACTTACTTCTTCAAACAAAAAAAAAAAAAATTAATAATAAACAAATAAATAAATAATGAAATAATAATAATAAATCCTACGCTTGTGAAACAAGTGCTAGTTAGGATGTTTCTGTTTTCCTACTTTTGGTCGAATTTGTTTCTACATGTGCGAAGCATCGACGAATTTTCTTATAACTTTATCGAGCTTCAACGTGTGTATTTCTCGTTCTCTGACCTATCAAAAATTAACGTAGAATTATCTAAAAGGACCTAACTCCTCATATCAGAAACTCTGCCAGTATTACCAACACGAGACGTTCACTAGCCTTTTGAAGGTATTTAATATTTATTTTTTTAAAAATTATTTTACAATATAATAAATATAAAGATTAATTTTTTATATAAATATAAAATATAAATAAATAATTTATAAATAAGATATAATATAATATATGAAATTGTTTTTAAATGAAAATAATATAAGATTATAATAAATAGAATTGGTAACTTTTTTTTCGCCTTTAAAAACAAATTATATAGTTGGTATGTAATAGTTTTCTATGAAAAGTAAATAATTTATATTTTTTTTCTTTGAATTTCTAACGCACAGATTCTAACTACTACCAACTTTATAGTTTGTAGTAAAAAAAAAAAAAAAAAAAAAAAAAAAATTCTTTAATGACAGTAATGTAGAGAGGAAGAGACGTATAAAGGCACGAAGAGGAGGGTCAAATCATTAAAGAGTATTCATTTTATAATAAAATTTCAAACAATCAGACTGATTATTTAAGAAATTCAGTTCTGACAAATAATTAGTAACTTCAAGTTTTTTAATAAAATATAAAATAAAAATTAGAAAAACCAGTTTCGAATTTTTAAAAACTTCTTATATGGGTTGTAATTTAATGAATTGACATTAAATTAATTATAAAATTAATAATAAAATTAATATTAATTAATTATAAAAATAATATTAATATGAAAATAATTAAATTATTATTTAGCTAATTAAATGCATTTAAATTAATTAAAATAATAATTACTAAGATTTTCGATTATCATCTCTATTAATAATTGATTAAAAAAAAATACTTTTTTATTTAAGGATTAACGCCACTCTAGAATGCCGTATTTTTGTAAAATTTTTTTTTTCGATATCTATAAATAGAAATAAAAATTCGTGTAAAGAGGTTTAATATTTGACTGAACATTTTAAATCAAAATAGCGGAGCCATATACATGATGGTGCTTCCGGTGAGCGGACAGTCTGTTGTAGACTGTAAATTTTAATGAAAAAAATGAAAAAATATTTTTATTATTTTTTTTATTTATTATTATTTACGGAGCCATGTAAGATAATTAAAAAATATTGATTTTTGTGAAAAGTAGTGCGCATTTAAATAGAAAATTTCAATTTTCCAAGAAAAATCGTCTGGAAAATTATTTAGTTTACAATTTTTAAAGATTATGTGAGGACTAGAAAAACAAATAAATTATTTAAAAAAATTTTTTAAATCTAGAGTGGAATTATCCCTTAATTATTAAAAACAACGTTTTTTTTAAAACTAGAAATAAAATCGCTAATCAATAAAATATTAATTTTGAATGATAAAAAATGAATTTTTTTTTTTTTGTAGACATTCTCCTAATATTATGGTGTCTCAAAGTGGCCTCTTCCAATTTTCCGGACCGCGGACCGGCAAAGATCAAACCTTACTCAGGAATCTTTCAACTGGTATGCTGGCTGGTCTCAAAATGAACAGTTAAAAAACAAAGAATTTTTCAATTTATCGTAATTATAGTCTCTGTGAAGTCAGAAAAAAAAATGGCGGCAATTGTGAAGAAGCACATGTTTCACTGAATATCACACACAAATGAAAAAAAAAAATAATAAATTAAAAACATTAGGTGCTCCAAGTATTAAATTGAGACCAGCCGACTCGTTTAACGCATCCGAGTATAATATTTTAATATTTTAATCGCACAAAAAAAAATCCAACACACGTTGTTGGAATTCTCAGCGAAGCACAAACTCGGATAAAATGAATGGTGGGCGACATGTGTCGAATTCCTGTTTTTATTCTCAGGGTGTCTTTGACTCTATTGAGAAAACTGTTAAAAGAAAGTCATGTTTGTTATAGATATGTGTGTGAAGTTTTCAAATTTCCAATATTGAAAGTCAATAGATTCAAATAGGGTTCCTGTGTGTCTCCGGCTTGATAAGATCACGGATCAAACATGAATCTTCACTCAGGAAATTTTAGCGAAATGCCGGCTGGTCTCAAAAAAAAAAAAAAAAAAAAAAAATAATAATAAAATAAAAAAATTCGTCATTTTTAAGATAAAAAGCGTATACATACATGTATGTATATGCAGTTATAGTACGCCAATTTTAAAACAAGCGTAGTAGGGCGTCTTAACACGTTCACCAACGCGACATTTCGGTAGGTGTCTTTTCAAGTGGCATGTACCCGGTTGGTTTCCACAAAAAAAAAAAAAAAAAAAAAAAATACGCGCAAAAAAAGTAAAGAAAAGGGGATTTTTCTCTTCCACGTCAGGTACAAGCCGCCATGGTGAACGTGTTGACTTTTTAAAATGAATTGTTAAATAAGTGCAATATTTAAATTGTTATTAGATAAGATTATTTAAATTGTTATGTGATTGCATTATTTAACTTGTTAGGCAATTGCATAATAAAGTCATTTCCAATTGGAAGTAAATGATTTATTATTTTCAACTGAAATTATGGGACTCATGAATTAGTTATAAAAATCATTATTTGAAATTTTCATTTGATAGAAATTCATTTAATATAATTTTCATTGAGTCGAATTTTATTTATTCAAATTATTATTTTGCGTATTATTTTCATTAAAACGATTTTCTATTTTACAGAATTTTTATACAACTGAAAATTTAATTCACAGAAATTTTAACTGTTTGAATTTTCATTTGTCAGATTTTTTATGCTGCTTGAATTTTCATCTAACATAACAGCCATTTTTATTAATTTTTATTAGGTAGAATTTTATTGCATATAATTTTCTTTTAGGCGAATTTGTATTTGTTCGAATTTTCATTTGATAAAATTTTCATAATAACCGATTTTTCATTCTACACAATTTATACTTAACCGAAAAACAAGTGAAAAATTACAGAATTTTTAATTGGTATAATTTTCATTTTGCCCGAAATTTTAAATGTCCGAACAAACAATCGACAGTAAGATTTCGACGCAATTTTTAAAATTGACCAATCACGAATTTCTTGCTAATTTCTGATTGGTCAATTTTAAAAATTGCGCCGAAATATTTTTGTAGGTTATGTTTTTTCGGTCATTTGCAATTTCGGATAAATGAAGATTTTATCAATTAGAAATTCTGTTGAATGGTTTTTTGATTAAGTATAAATTGTATAGTATGAAAAATCGGTTATTATGGAAATTCTATCAAATTAAAATTCGAAAAATTGAAAATTGGCTTAAAAAAAAATTCTATGCAATTAAATTCTACTTAATAAAAATTCATTAAAATGGCATTTTTTAAACTCATTTATTAAATAATAAATTTTTAAGAAAAAAATTTATTAAATAATAATTAAATAAAAATAATAATGTTAAATAAAAATTCGAGCGAATAAAAATTCTGACAAATCAAAATTCTGTGAAGTGAATTTTCAGTTGTATAAAAATTCTGTAAAATAGAAAATCGGTTTAATGAAAATTCTAATGCAAAATAATAATAATACGAATAAAATTCGACTCAATGAGAATTCTATCTAATAAAATTGTATTAAATGAAAAATCTATCTATTCATTTTTAGAACTTATTCATGCATTCCGAAATTATATTGATGGGTTACTTTAACAACCTAGTCATTCCTATTATTGTTTAATTAATCTTTGTACTTTAATGAATTGCTAGTCTGCTCAGTTTTTTTCTGTCTGTTAATATTATTGTTATTATTATTTTATTATAAATTTAAATTAACCGGTTTATTAATTAATCGAACAATTAATAAATTAACCGACCAATTAATAAATTAGTTGATTAACAAAATTAATTGAATGTGCGCTTAAAGGATTAAAACACTTAATGGTTGATAAAAAAAAAAAAAGAAAGGAGAAATACTGACTTTAGTCGTATTAACGGATAAACGTTGTGATTATATTGTAGAAAATAATTAGATAAAAAAAAATAATAATTTTGTTGAAAAATTGTTTATGAAAAAAAATCGTTCTAACGAGAATTTTAGAAAGAAACATTTGAAGATAAATTTTCAATCTAAGATTACTGTATGCTTTTCGGCTGTAATAGAGAATTTAGTAGTTGGGGAAAAAAAGATTAGTCATGATGATAGATTTTATTAAGAATTTTTGATTTTAAAATATTAAAAAATGAAATGAAGGTTCAATCACATTCCGCTTACATCGCGTCTCCATATTTCTACCTGAATTAGTCCTTTGGACTCTTGTTGTCAGTATCCTGTCCTCGCAATATTGGTCTGATATTTTTCAGACCCATCAGAGAGGCATCTATTTAGTTACCTATTTCGGGATTAGTCTATGGTAGTTGCCAATATTTATAGTAGTAAATTAGATGTAGTGCCATTTACTTGCATAGACAATTTTATCTTAAATCATGAAACAGTTGCAAAAAAAAAACAAAAAAAAAAAACAAACAATGTATAAACAATATATTGTTTATATATAATATATTGTTAATATTGTAATGTAATATTGTTAATATTGTATATAATATATTGTTAATATATAAACAATATAAAATGTAGACACGCTTTGTTTATTGAGACTATTGCACCTCAATTTACTTTTCAGGTTGAAAGAAAGATACTTCCTTCAATTACCAACTACTGAATGAAATCAGAAAACAAGAGAATCCACTCTTGTCAACATTTTCAAATAATTGAACGTTACGGAGATATATTTTTTTTGTTGAAAAAGGTTTTTGAATTAGAAAAAAGGAAAAAAAAATTATTATATTTTTAAAGGAAATTTGAAATGTTTTCTTGGAAGAAGTTTTGAAAATATTTCTTTTGCAGACAAGGAATGCCGAAAGCTGCTCTTATTTCTCTATTTCTTTCGCTCTCTTTTTTTTTTCTCTTTTTTAGAGCGTTTTTGTTCGATCTTGTGTTGAGAGGGGAGATCCACTGTTTGTTTCTCCCACTACCCTAAATTTGAAGCAGTTGGAGGTTGGAGAGCTCAATATAAAGCACTGGCATGCGCTCTACTGCACTGATACTGATCGAGCCTAGTTTTGGGGGACAAACACACAGAGATTCACCCACCCGTAGGCCTTTCTTTCTAGCTTTTGATGGTCCTGGCATTTTTCGACTAATGGGAAACAGTAGAAAAAACATTATTGTATTTTTTTTCCTGTCATTTATCATGTCCATTTTATATGATGTATATTTATCTTCTTTTTATTTCCGCATTCTTTCTTTTTTTTTTTTTTTTTTTTTTTTTTTTTAATATAATATTTGTTTCGCCATTCATTTTATTTCGTCCTCATTTTCATTCTTATACTTAGGAAATATTGTGTATATATAGAGAAAATATTGTATAGAATATAATTATTGATATTCGATATTGTATAGGAAAGTTGTTGCACAAAAGACTCCTGTAAATATATATCTTGAAACTAATCCAACTTAACAAGAGAAAATCATTTAAATCGATGAATAGAAATTTTAATTATTATTATAATTATTTATATTGTTGATATCATTTGTTTAATTATTATTTTTTTTTCATATTTTGTTCGAAAAATTTTTAAATATTTAAAAAAAACTATCTTTCTTGCAATAATTGACTAGAAAAATTGATTAATAAAAAAAAATTGTAATAAATTTTTTTAAATTATTCACAGAAAATAATTTTTATCGGATTTATGGTTGTAAAAAAACAAATATTCTCGAAAATATCCGAATCGTTTTTTTATGAAGTATGTTACGACTTTCGATGAGGTATTTGAACAAAAATTGTAGGTTTTTTATTAGAAAACTTTTTTTTGCATTTTAATTTCATTTTAAAATTTTTTATTATACATTTAAAATTTTGTTTTTCTTTTTGTTTAAAATTAAATTTATTTAATTTTCTTCCTATTTGATAATTGGATAAAAAAAAGTTCTGAATATTAGATAAAAATGAAATATAAACTTTTTACATTTTTTTTTTTTAACTTTTTGTAGAAAGTTTATTAACATTTTTATAAGTTTAATGTTAATTAATATTATTAACTTTTGGTTAATTTTCGTAAAATGATTTTTTGAAATTATTGAGAAGACCTATTCTATATAGGAAAAATTTAACCTTGCAGTTTGAAATTACAGAAAACTTTGATGATTTTAAAGACAAACACTGAGGGAAAAGTTTGATTTAACGCACAAATTTGTTTGTATTAACCAAACAAATGCTTTGATATCCAGTTAACCAAGTATTTAGTTGACTAAAATAAATATTTGGTTTTACTGTGAAAAGCTCAACAAAATCTGTGCAGGGAGCGCACATTGTTTAATATCCTGCTTCCAACTTTTGTCATAAAGCTGTAATTTTACAGTAATTTTATTTTTATTATTATTTTATTTTCTTTCTGTTTTTAAAAATTATTTTATAAATCATTATTTAATTTCTTTTTTATTATTATTAGTAGCAATTTTTAACTTTAAAAAATTTAAATTAAATATAAATGGATGTTTTAAAGTTAAAAATTGCTAAAAATAATAAAAAATAAATTAAATAATGGATTATAAAATAATTTTAAAAACCGAAAAAAAAATAAAATTACAATAAGACATTTCAATCGAATTTTTAAAAAAAATATTTTCAATACCTTTAATCTTTTAAAGCATCGAATTGTTTTTTTGAACAATATTAATTACTTTACTAGAATAATAATCTAACAATTATGGAAATACGAAAATTTTCGACTTTTTAGAATTATTTTTGCAATTTTTTGAAGATTTTTTTTTTTTTTTCTTTAAAAAATAGAGTATAAAGTCGCAAAAGTAATGAAAAAAAAATGAAAAATAGACTATTATAATGCTGCGTATATATATTTAAATTATCTATGAGAAACGAAAATTTGTTGAGGCAACAACTGCCGCGTTTCCGCTAAAGTTAAATTGCTTTTTCAATATTGAAACTAATTTTAAAAAAATTTGAATATTTAAAAAAAAAAAATTTTTTCCTATCTTTACTTTTTTAATATTATTAGTAGTTGAGTATAGATTGGAAATTGGAAATAAAATAAAATTTAATTTATAAAAGAGAGATTAAAAAAATGTCCTAAGAGTTATCAATTATGAAAATTTATATTTTCAATAATTTTATCGTATACAGATATTATTTTTTGAGATAAGTAGGAATTTTGCAATACAATAAAAAATCCATTTTTTATAATAACTTTAAAATTTTAATTATTTTTATAAAAATTTAATCGTTTTTCAAATAATCCAAGGAGAATAATGAAAATACAATATTTTCAAGCATATATAAGTACTATTTAATTATTTATAAATTAATTTATAAATAATTTATTTATTATTTTATTTATTTATAAATTAATTTATAAATAATTAAATGCTTTTATAATAGTATTTGTTTGCAATTTCTTGTATCTTCTTTTTTCACGAGATTTATTTTCGAATTGTTTCTCCTTGGAATAATGATAATAATAATAATAATAATAATATTACACTTTTAGGCAGAGAGCCTACAGTGTTTCCACGTGTTTGTCGGTGAATTTTTTTGAAATTTTATTCGGTCTCCTATAAAATGGTCCCATGCAGAATAGAACTCTATTGTTTCTGGGAAGAGTTTGTATCCAATACTGAAATGCAATTTTTACAATTGAATTGTTTTTTTGAAAATGCACATGCTCCATTTATTTCAAATATAAATATTTAATTCAAAGAGAGAAGTTCATATATAAAAGTTGAAAGGATTTCAATTTCAAATGTTTTTCTGTATTGTATATACAAATTTAATCAAGCTTCTCAAAAAAAAAAGAAAAAAAAAAAAAAAAAACAAGAATATATTACGGAGGGATATTTTTAGAAAATATATTACTATTTAAAAGTTCCACGGAAAAAAAAGAGAGGAATTTTTAAAAAGGAATATTAACTGAATTGTGTAAGGCAGTGAAATGAACTTACAAGTGTTGCGGCATGGGCAAAGCTCTTTCGCCGTTATGAACTTCTTTCAAAACTTTGTCGTGTATTTGTTTTTGAGCCTCCCAATTTACTTCTTGACCCTGGTTGCAGATGAGAGACCTAATTTTGCAAAAAGTAGGCTCTCTATCGTACAAGCTTTGATAATCATCTCGGGGAAGTGGAGCCACGGTCCCTTCTACTCTGACCTTAAAAATTGAAAAATAGATTTTTTTACACATTGTAATATTTTTCATTTAAAAGTGTAGAAAAAAAGAGAAATTAAAAAACGGAATTTTTTATTTTAACGTTTCAAGTACGTACTTGTCTGCTCACGTGATTGTTATTTTCATTGAAATACGACCAGAGAAAGCACATTGCAGCTGAAGGCACTTCTAACTAGAAGAAATATTCTTATTCGGTGAAAATATTATTTTTAATTGATTTTTTTTTTCAAAAAATTTTTTATTTTTTTTTTTTTTACCAAATTATTTGCTTTTTGGCTACGATTATCTGTCACTATTACAAATCCATCTTCATCTATTCGTCGAATTATTACGTGTCTTGCACTTACTTTCAAGTCTCTGAAACAAAAATAATTATTTTATTTATTAAAATTTTCATTTTATTCTATATTTTATTCTAAATTATGAGATTCTTATGCAAAAAAAGTTATTTTTTAATAATTTTTTTTTTTTAAATAATACTTACTTTGAGACCGTTGCAAGACAAAGTGCATTTGGTAAACCGGTGGAAAATTTTCGTGCTTCTTCGTGCCATTCTCTGAAAAGGTCGTAAGGACTCTCTGAGGTCAGATCAATTCGAGCCAAATCCGAAAGTTCAGAGTGCGGCGTTTTTTCATCCCAGGTATTCTTTGAAAAATTTGAGAATATTTTTAAAATATACAAAAATTTAAACAGAATTTTTAAAAATTAAAAAATTGAAATTCCTTTTTTTGATTTTTAATCGCTAAATTTGAAGTTCAAATTTGCTTATTATTTTGAAAATAGAAAATTAATTCTGAAAAATTGAATAATTATATTAGAAATGAAAATTTATATTTCTAATATACTGAGAAAAATAATTGATTCATGTTGATAAAATAATTTTGTTTGGCACTTGAATAAAATATATAAAAATTATTAATGAGTTTGAATATATAAATTCTATTATTTTATCTATTTATTTATATATATTTTCAATGAAAATAAATGAAAATTGTTCATGAAATTGGAAACTCAAACAAAAGGATTTTTGAAAATACAAGTATAAAATAATCGAAGGACTACACGTGTCGGAAAAGATTTAAATCAAATCGGGATGTGTATTAGAAATATGATACAATCACATAGGAAAACTGAATAATTTAATCCGAAGTAGGATAGTATCTCCTTTCCTTGGCTTTAATAAGGGTTTCCCGTGGTTTCTTATTGCAAGCAAATACATACGATACTAGTTCGAACAAATAAAAAGATATTTGTTATATAAGAGGTACAATATAATTACTCACCTACCTTTTTACTTTTTAAATCACAATCTAATCTATATGTACATATTTTTTTCCAGGTAGTAAAATTTATTAACTTTTTTATCACTGCAAAAATATGATTTTTGATTAAAATTACGTTTCTTTTTTTTCACTAATTTTGATTAATTTTCAATTTTTGTACAACCAAATTAAGAAAATATTTAATTATTGAAAGTAGTGATTTTTAATATTAACTAATAATTTTTTACTTATTGTAAATTACAGATTGTAAAAAATTGTGAAAACTAATTAAAAATTTTTTCATGACGAATAATTGAAATCAAAATTTAATTCAAATTAACGAATTTGTTGAATACTTGATATTTTTTCTAAATAGTTGTATTTTAAAGAAAGAAAATAGGTCATTTTCCTGATAATATTTTTATTAAAACACCCAATTTATTTTTATTTGAAAGTGTAAAGTTTTATCAGGTGCTCTCGACACATATATTCAGTGCATGTCTGTTCTATATATAAACTTACTTGTATTTCTAGTTTCATGAACCTATTTTGCAATGTATCATTTAACTCACCATTTTAAATGTTATTATTTTGTGTAAATTTTTTTTTCTTTTTTTTTGCAAATTATCAATACCGGCACTGTTAACTTTTCTATATATAATACCGATCACGCGACTTATACTCGAGTGACAGAGTTTAGTTGGTAAACTTATCTTACCCCTTCCTTTTGTCTTCCCACCGATATTTTTTTTTCGAAAATTTTTTAAGTTTTAAATTATGAATTCATTATTTTACTCTTTATTTATTGCAGCACTAAATTTATTTTGTTCTGTCAAGTTCAAATCATTTGAAATTTAATTCAAATTAATTTTGAAAAAGGATTTTTTTAAATATCTTAGAAAATTTAAATTATTTGAAATTCAAAAATATTTATTTTACAAGTTGAATAAATTGTTTTTATGTCACAAACTAAATGATATAATTATGATTTAAATTGGTAATTTTTTTTCTTTCGAATGAAATTTTAAATTTTAAATTAGATTTAAAATGTACTTTATATTTTATTTAGCCGCTGTGTTTTAATTACTTCGAGTATAAACTTTTTTAAAGGGACTAGTGACGTTTATATGGGAAGTTTTAAATGATATAATTGAATTTCAATTTTTTTATATTTAACTGTTTAAAAATTTTGTTTCGTTCTTATCACACAAAAGTTGAGTTTACATTGTACTCTCTACATTTTCTGTTACCCGTCAAGATAAGTGGATTAACTCTGTGGTTGTCAGGCTTCTGCTTCTCGTTATATATATTTTACCTCCAGAGGAGCCGTGCACATGTATGTACATTATGAATTCAACTATGTAAAAAGACAATTTTCTACAAAAAAAAAAGACAAGTTTATTTCCCATTTACTAAAAAAAAAAGAGTTTAAAAAGTAAAAATTAGTTTGCTTCTTACTTAATTTTAATAAAACATAAGTTTCGTTTTAAAATAAATTTTATAAATTTGTATTAAAAAATAAATTTTATAAATTTGTTTAAAGAAATAAATTTTATAAATTTATTTAAAGAAATAAATTTTATAAATTTGTTTAAAGAAATAAATTTGAACAATAATAATTTGTAACGAACATATATCTTATTTCAAAATCCAGTACAGAAATTTAACATATTTATGAAAATCATTGTTCCTAAAACTCGTACAGTAGAAAATAATAAAATTTTAACTTTTACATTTTTACAGTATTCATTTACAAACTAATTAATATTTAATTCCTTTCAACTTTAATAATAATACAATTATTTCATTCATTTGAATATTACTCTAGTTATTATGAATTTAATATTTATTATATATTAATACAATATAATAAATATATTTACGCTATTCATAATATCTTTAACGAATATATTTATATATTATTTCATTGTATAAAAAGACGATATAGTAATTCCATTTGGAATTAATTAAAAAAATATATATTTAAAAATCAGATATTTACAACAATATGATTATATTTTATCATCTTATCAAAGAAAGTTAATTTATCAAGGTATTTTAAAATAAATTTTAGAATTTTTTTCTACACCCTGAAATGCCTTAATTGAAAAATTGTAAGCCTATATTTACAAATAATCTCTTTTCATTAAATATTAATTTCGGGGTGTTTAAATATTTTTGTGTCTTCTAAAATTTGAAAAAAAAAAATTTTTTAAACAAATAAGTAGGTATTATCAGTTTTTTTTACATTACTTTCATAGCAATAGTAGTATTTTTTAGTATACTTAAATTACCTACTCTTGTAAAATTGTATTTGGGATTTATTTGATACCAATTGTTTGGTATTTCCGTCAATGGCAATATTTCCGTCTCGCAGTAATAATTTGTTTTTTCAATTCTCAATCAGAAAATAAAAATTATCACAATCTCAATTACCTTAAACTTTGAATTCTCGAGAAGGAAAGTCAATTGAATTATACAGACATGTTATTTACAAATCAGTCGATGGTAGATTTAATCCACGCTAGATTCGAAGAGATCTTATCGTACAGACGAGGTCTTTCAGTTCCTGGCCTGGAACAACCGATTCTCCAACTACTAACACCTGCCAGTGCCCATCTCCGATTGTCAGAAAGTAAACATATCATTGGACTTCCTGCCACTTCTTCCTCCTGTAAATTAAAAAAAAAAATATATATACTTTTTTTTTAAATCAAGATTGCCACAAAAATATTATTTTGTTTTTCCCTAACATTAAATTATTTTTCAAAATTTGTTCAGAAACTGAATTGAAATCTTAAAAAATTTGTCTCAGTTTAATTTCCCTGACCCTATAAATTGTCTCTAAATAATAAAAAATTTTTATTTACTTTAAAATTGCACGTCAACTTACATTGCAGTCATCCGTGGAAAATTCTGCTTCTGTACAAATACTGTTAACTGAAGCAATACTAATATTTTCGCACTTCTCCATTTCACTGTGCCTTAACTGCACTCGTTGCAAAAGTTCACCTGAAAAATCACAATTTAATTCAATAAAAATCACAGATATTTCAAAATTTAATTTTATCTCTCACAAAATGAAATTTTCTCACATAAAAAAAAATAAATATAGTTTTTTAAATTAAAAAAAGAAGAATCCTTTTCAACACAAAAAAAAAATTGTCGAATTCAAAGCTATTTTAATTTAAAAAACTTTTTATAAGACTTCGAACCCATTTCAAATCGAGACAAATGAAAAATGTAAAACCATATAAATTTAAATTGAAGTGTTAGTTAAAATGCGAACTTTGAATGTAAATATAGTTTAGCAATAATTTAATATTAGGTCAAGCTTAATTGCATTAATGAATGAGTCCTTGATTCTGAAATATAATCGATAAGCGTATTATTTAATAAAAATTTAAAGGAAACTCTCTTTTTGCACTTCGAAAAAGAGAAAACTTTTGTTAATTAACTTTAAGAAAAGTTGATAATTTATATATCTATCAAGAGATAAAGAAGTGTGAGCTTATAATTTCTTACGATTTCTTGCCCATCCAAGTGTATTGCAATATGTTGTGTTACTGGTGAGAGAATCTTGATTTGGTGGCAAACAAATAGGCCTAACGAAATCCGAAAATGCTGTCACTGGATTATCCAACTTCAAAAGTACAGTAGTGCTTCCTTCAACTGGCGACTTCATCATTCCAATTATTCTTCGTTCTTGCTGCCAAGGTGAAGAACTTGAGAGTCTCACTGTTCCCAATCTTGCGGACCACTCTGCCTTCGATTGACTAAAAATCAATTTAATCAAATTTACATTTTTTCAAAAATTCACTTTTTTCACTTCAATTTCGAAAAAAATAAAATAAAATAAAAATATATAAAAATAAAAAAAATATTTCATATATAATAATTTCATAAGAAATAAATGAAATAAAATTTGATAAATTCTGTTTATTGAAAATTTGATTAAAATTGAGTAGCTGCGTGTTACTTGATAAATAAATTGAAAAATATTTATTTTAATATCTTAATATAAAAATAATAATTCTGAAATTTGATTTCAAATTCTACCGAATAACATTTTTTAAACTAATAAACTGTTTTTAAGGCTTCTTCTTTCAAATTATAATTATTTTAATTTTTAAAAAATTGTAAGTTAAAAAAAATTCTTTTGGCATTTTTCCAATGTTTTTTTTTGTGCTGATACAGATATTTGAAAAAAAAAATTCACGGTAAGATATTGGCTCACTGGAACGTTTAAAAAAATTTTTTTTTTAATTGGGTTTCAATTGATATGAAATTCGCTACATATAAAAAATTTAATTTCAGATCAGCAAATAAGGACTATGACAATTTAAAAAAATGTAATGCGGATTCTCACCCTTGGAAGCAGGAGGCTGTAGTGATTATCCAACTTTCTGCAACAAGAGTAGCATCACAAACATGAACATCTTCCTTTAAAAGGGCAACGTGCCAAGGCCAATCACCAGGCTCTGCTATTTTATTTAGGCCTTGAACTCCTCCTTTGGTTCTTAAAGCTTGAATTCCACATTCTGGAACAAATTTTTTTTTTTTTTTTAATTTATTCGTTTAGTTTCTTAAAATCGATACCGAAAATATTCAGCGGAAAAAATAACTTACCAAGTGGTGCACAGCGTACATACATAACATTTTTACTGGGACAGAGAGCCCTTACAAAGCTTATTTCTGATGCCAGAGGATTTTCCATCTGAACATAAGGTACTCCTTCTTCTTCGTCTCTTCTTATTTCTGCTGATTCCACTCCTCTGTAAAAAATTATTTTCATTTTTATCTCTAAAATTTGAAATAATCAACACATTTTAAGAAAAATAATTTAAAAAAATTAAAATAACTAAATGAAAACGTAATGAAAAAAATTATTTTATTGTCAATATAAAAGAGATTTTCGCTGAATAGAGAAAATTGTATTTATTTTAGCTTCTATATTCAATGTTTATATTTAATTTAAATTTTTGACTTACGTGAAAGATAAAATAGAGCAAAGGGAAGTGGCAACGGTTTGCAAAACCAATTCCACGTCTTTGGATGGTAAAGTTTTGTTTAAATTTTCGGTACACAATTTCCCGACAGTACCTTTTTCATTAAAGACTACAAAACCTTCTCTAAAATATCGAGCCAAATGAGGAGTGTCCTGAGGTAGAGATTTTGCATCGCTGATACTCTTAGCAAGCATTACTGAAAGTAAATTCAAATATTTATTTTAGATTTTAATTATATTTAATATTTGCCTTGGCAAATATTTATTATTTAATTCATTATATAATTATCAAAAAGAGAATAAATAAAAGAACAAAAATAATAAATGAAAATAAATAAAAAAAATTTTTAATTAATATTGAAAAATTTTAGGAGAAATAAATTTATACTAACAGCAGTCTTTTTCATCACTGCCATTAGGACAGTCTTTCTTTCCATCGCATCTTTTTATCTTTGGAATACAAGTTCTTCCCACTCCACAGTGCATATAACCATCTCGACAATAAGCACAATTTCTTTCGTCACTTAAATCCGGACAGTCTACAACTCCATCACAGATTCTCGGAGACAAAGCATTTTCCTTCAACTCTTCCACACAACCTAAATCAATAGAACAATGAATTGTCTTCAATTTGCTATTATTAAAAAAAAAGAAAATATTTATTTATTTGATAATAAAATTATATGACAAACTTTATCTTATCCAAATAGCACCCAATTATATTCAGTCAATATTGAAGAGAAAGTAAATAAAATTGATGTTCCAGTTATTTCTCAACTTGATATAATATTTTATTTGTGAAAATCACAAGAATAAAATCTTTTTAAAAATTGAAAATATTCCCTCTAGCTTTCACTCGCTCACGACGGATACGTCACTTTACTCCAATTACTACTAATCAACATCCAATATCTTACGTCAATTCAGTGCAAGATTGGGAATATTGTCAATATTTGTCTAATTATAAATTAAATATTTTAAACGAAAATTAAATTTTAAATGATAAATTTCAAATTTTTTTGTTATTTCTTGAATATTTTTCTGTTTTTATTATTTTAATAAAATTATAATATTTCACACTCCAATTGTTGTTAATAAACTAAAAATGTATTAATTTTTATTTCAAAAAAATTATTATAATTAGTTATTAAAAAAAATTTAATTAACGAATATTATTAAAATTTATTTTTGTTTAACATTTTTAAAATAAACTACTTAATTTATTTTTTTCATTGTATTACTTTTACAAAGTTTTACAATTTTTCTTTCCCTCAAGCTTAAAAAATAAAGTAATAAAATAATTGTGAATAAAGGAATAAACCACTTAATTTAAAATTACAAAATTTTAAAGTTTATATGTTAAATTATAATTAATAATAATGCCTTCTAATAACTGAATTAAAAATATAAAATATTCGTATAGTTATAGAAGAAGAAAAGAAACATCACCAATTTTAGAAATTGACAAAATAAAAAGAGAATTTGTGGAATTACAAAAAAAAAGAAAATTTGAAGGAATAAGTGCAAAAGAATAAAAAAATATGATAATTTAGAAAATAAAATAAAAAAGAAGCAAAATAGAAAAACTGAGGAATTACAATATTGAAGAAAAGAAAAATCGACAATTTTAGAAATTGACAAAATAAAAGGAGATTTTTTGGAAAAAATTTATTTATTTAAAATTATAAATGTAATTTATATAATTGTAATTTTTAGAATTACAAAAAAAGAAAGTTTGAAAGAATAAAAAAAATAATAATATAGAAAGTAAAAACAAAATATAGAGGAATAATATACAAAATAATTAAGGAATTACAATGTTGAAGAATAGAAAAATTGTCAATTTCCAGAAGGAGACTTAGAGGAAAGAAATTCAATTATTTAAAATTATAAAAAGATGATAACAAAAGTAAAAAATAAAAAAAAATTAATAAGAATTTTAGGTCAGTTTGCAAAAGTAAATAAATAAATCAACTTTAGGAATTCCGAAAAAATGAATTTTGAAGAGAAAATTTAAGTAGAATAAAAAAAACCAAAAATGAAATGAAAAAAAACCGAAAATTGAAGAAAATAAAAAGTAGTAGAAAAGAAAAAAAAGAAATAAAAATCGATAATTCGTTTCCATAAAAAAAAACGAGTGAGGTAAAAATTGAGAACTTTGTCCATGTGGTAAAAAATAAATTTCCAAAAGAAAAAGATAATTTCTGTGAAAAAAAGAAATTGGAGTAAAAAACTTATATTTTTTAATAAAGTAAAATGAAATTTTCTGGCAATAACCGAAACCTTGTACTGCAGTAAATAAATATTGGTTCAAAAAAGAAATTATTTTTATTAATATCGTCAATAATGGATTGATAAAGGCAAGAATTCCCATAGCATTTTAAATTGCAATATTGCTTCAATATTGGTAAAATTTCTATATTTTTTCTCCAATTTTTTCTCTTATTTTGTTTTAAGATACTGTATGGAAAGGGTAACGACTTGTATGAATAAGGTATCATGGGAAAAAATATATAAATAAAATAACAAAAAATATAAATAGAATTTTCCCTCTTTTAAGAAAGTTGATAAAATTTAACAATACTTTTATTTTGAATAAAATAAACATTTAAAAAAATACGCTTCGAATGTATTTGTATTATATACAATATTTATTTTTATATATATAATTCTCAAAGGGTAATAGAAGTACATATGTATATGTACTTTGAAAGGTCAAATTTATTTTATTGTTTGCCGCAAACTCTTGTGCTATCTGGATAGAGTCCAAAATTTAGAATTTCCAAAGAAATTCTTTTCGATAAAACTAGACAAAGATTTGGATTTAACTTTCGAAAGTCTCATAACTCTTAAACTTATCTCGTGAAGATAAGTTTGTTTAGAACTTGAAACATTGAGCTCTGTATTGCTTACATTTTTTTTTTTGAAAATATCGACGAATCAAAACTATGAAACTTTTTGTTCACAGTTTTGTTAGTAATATTTTTTTCTAAATTTATAATTTAAAAAAAAATTTATAATTTTAAATAAATTTTATAAAATTAATAATAATTGATAAAAATTTAAATTAACCATTGAAATTGTGATTTTTACATTTAAAATTGTTTTTAATGTATAATTTTATTAATTAGCATTTTTTTTATTGAATTTTAAAGAGATAATTAATAATAATAAGAAAATTTACCAGGTTTTGGTCTACAGCTTCCATAATCAGCGTATTCTGGAAAATTGGAGCAATCTAAAGCTCGCTTTAATTTTTCGGGCAAACGACTGCCGCAACCAGACCAAAATTCCTTACAGAAGCTTCTGCAAGGCAAATGTAAAACATCTTCAAACTCTCCTGGGGAACAAGCTGGTTGAAGTGCTTGGCACACAAAATCGTAAGCCAGTCTGTAGCATTCGGAATCGACTAATTCCCTGAGGAAAAACATTAAATTTCATTTAATTAATAAAAAAAATATGTTATCATTTTGTTCTTCACATTGTCAAAATTTTAAAAACAATATAAAATTCCTATTGAAAATAAAATAAAAAATTCTTTACAAAGAACTAAAAATTTTCAAATTAAATATTTAAAATTGTTCCCATTCACTGAATATTATTAAAAAATTTTTTTAATAAATTGTGAATTCCAGACAATATTGATTTATTTTTATTAAATCAATTTAATTATGTTATTTTAAAAAAAAAGTTAACTAAAACTTTTTGAAAATTTTATCGTTTTTAAAAAATTCAATAATTTAATTATTTAGGTAACTGCGAAATTAAAATTATTGCTTTTAACAAATTAAATTTTAATTTTTATAAAATTTGAAACTTTTTTAAATAATTGAATTTTTAGAGAAAATATTAAAATTATTAAAAATAATTGTATTTTTAGAGATAAATGAATTTTAAATAATATTGTTAAATTTCAGACAGTAATGAAATTTTACATAATTGGAAATAACACAATTATTGATTGTATTAGCTTTGCTGTTTGGATTTGTACCTGAAGGCAATGACGTCGTCTTCAACTTCCTGTAGGGATTGATGTCCAATTAGATTAGGATAAGAGGTGATATTGTAAGGGAGATTTTTGCAATAGGATAGTTCCACTGGACTGCATCTTCTTGGAGGTGAAGGTGTTGTAGTTGGAGGAATTGTCGAGATGGTCGTTTGTAATGCGACCTGGGCATTTAATGCACTTATACTTTCCTGAACTTCCAGGCTCTTTGGATCAATTGTTAAATTTATAAGATATCTCGAGGTAGCTGGATTGATCTCCTTAGATAATATATTTATCACGTCCGATACTTCAATTGTTCGGAATCTTGGATCGAATCTCACTTCAAAATGAACCACCAGATTTTTACCCTCCACTCTGAAAAAATAAATTCAATTCAATTAAATTCAGTAAACAAGGGAAGTAATTTCATGTATGCAACACGTGGTGATATCACTCACTTATTCGCCACTAGTTGCACAATGTCCTATATTAATTTACAATTTCAGAAAATATTTAATTAATAATTTTCTATTTAATTCTCTATTTAATATCTAATTAATTTCTAATTAAATTTCTAATTTAATTTAATTTCTATTTAATATATTTTTACTTTTTCATTATAAAAATACAGAGATAAAAAAATCAATTTTTAAAAAGTAAAAATTGCAGGTATGCAAATATAAACTTTTTTAATTAAAAGAAATTATTTTGTATTCACTGTTTTTTAATTAAAATCACTATGAACGACTGAAATGTAACATTATTTTCAACAAAAGCAAATTTAAAACTTTATACAATATGAAATTAATTAAATTATTATATACATTGAATCAGAAAAAAGCAAAATTAAATAATCTTTTTGTTTTCATATTTTTGGATATGCGGAAACCAAATATATAAATTTTTTTTTTTATCGGGAAATATTTCGACACTCGAGCAAATTGATTTAAAAAATTGATAACATAAGTGCATCTGTTTCCAAACACGTGTCAGTCATCGGCAAAAATATATATTTTCTCTGGATCGAATTTTTTATTGGCGTCCAAATACATGCTACTTTAAATCCATTTTTCCTAAAACTTATTTATAAAAATGATTTTTGTTTTTTGATATTAAATCTGTACTAGATATATCAGATTTATTAATTATTTATTATAATTTCAGATGAGGAGATTTTTTCGAATAATGAATAAAAATTAAAGTACGATTTTTTCTATTTAAGTAAAATTAATTAAGAAATAGAACAAATTAATTTAAATAAAATTTTCAGATTCATAAATCTTTACAGCCACTGTCCTTTTAGAATATTTTTAATTATTTAAGCAAGAATAAATATAAAAATTTATTCAAGGTTGCCGCAAAATTACATTTTTCAATTTCTCTAATATTAAAAAGAATTAACGTGCAAAATAAATAATTCGTATCTATTCAAATTTTTAGTAATTAAAATTTGTCATCAATGATTGAAACATTAATAGATTAAAATTGAAAAAAAAATTGAAACTTAAGTCAATTACAATTTTGATAAATTAATATTCCGATAATTAAAAAAAAACAATTAAAATTCGGAAAAAATTGAAATTTAGATAATTTGAAACTTAAATCAATTAAAATTTAAACAAATTGAAATTCGGATATTTTAAAACTCAAATCAATTAAAATTCGAATATTTTAAAACTTCAATTAGTTAAAATTTAGAAAAATTAAAATTTGGATATATTGAAATTTGGATAATTTAAAACTTAAAAAATTAAAATTTGGACAAATTGAAATTCGGATAATTTGAAACTTAAAAAATTAAAATTTGAACAAATTCAAATTCGGATAATTTGAAACTTAAATCAATAAAAATTTGGACAAATTGAAATTCGGATAATTTGAAACTTAAATCAAATAAAATTTGGAAAAATTAAAATTCGGATAATTTGAAACTTAAATAAATTCAATATTTAAGTATTGATATTTTGTTAAATATTTTGTTACAAATAAAATAAAAAAAAAATTTGGAAAAAATTGAAATTCGGATATTATAAAACTCAAATCAATTAAAATTCGCAGTTTTTGAAACTTCAATTAGTTAAAATTTAGAAAAATTAAAATTTTGACATATTGAAATTCGGATAATTTGAAACTTAAATAAATTAAAATTTGGAAAAATTAAAAATCGCATAATTTGAAACTTCAATGAGTTAAAATTTAGAAAAATTAAAATTTGAATAACTTGAATTTCCAATAATTAAATTGACGATTGATTATAATAATTCTAAAAAAATTTAAGTTTAAATCGATTTTAATAAAATTTTAATCAAAGAAATGCTGTAACTAATAAATATTTACATGTATATTGAAATTTGTCCTAAATAATTTAAAAAAAAAAATTTCATAAATTCAAGATTTGTGTCAAATATTTAATTATTTATAGAAAGAATGAAAATTTATATTTTTGTGTTTTCTAAATTACTATACATATGTTCAAAACTTTAAAAAAAAATCTCAATAAACTAGTAAATTATTTTTCAACATTCATGAGTTTAAATCAATGCTTTTAAATTGTAGATTTAATTTCTTTCATGAATATTTATTTTAAATAAACATTTTATTTTTGTACCAATGAAAATTTGTTATTGAAAAAAATATGAGACAAATATGTTTTTATTTATTTTTGTTTTTCAATTTAAAATAAATAGAATTATTTTCTCCAAAAGTTTGCAAATTTTCTTTTCCGTAAACTTAAAAAATAAAATTAATAGTGAATAAAAAATAAAAAAAGTAAATAAAAATTTGTTAATTAATATAAAAAAATTGGAATAAAAAATTTTGATGGTGTAAAAAGTCAAAGCTATTACAACTAATGTAGATTTGTAATATATTACATAAGAGTACAATAAAGAAGATACTTGGTGTTTAATGAGCTGCTAAAGGTTGTGTAAAATGTGGTAGATATTAGATTTAGTAATTTTAATTACAATGTTGACTTTTGTGTTATGTCTACAGCTGCAACTGCATTGTTATATAATAAAATAGTATTTCATGAAGAGGGTGTGTCTCAAGTTAGTTATTTTCTTCTCGTTGCAGGCACTTTGGTACGCTTTTACTTGCATATATATAAACTTGTATAATATATACAATACAAGCTATCGTGATTCTCTATTACGATATTTAGACTATATAAAGCCGATAAACAATTTCTATTTTGATGCTATATAAGGTACAGAGAAATTTTCACGCAGTATCGAGTACATGTACATGAACATTTGAACTCTACACTCTATACTCTACAAATCTAATAACATCCACGAGAAAGCTATATATGAGAGTATATACGATTTTCTCTCAAGACAATATGATTCGAGAGCATCCGACTTTCCGAAGATTTCGCAGCTACAATATGTGTGAACTCAACTGTGTATTCCATTATTCAAGTAATTTAACAGATATTCTGCCTAATGTAGAAAGTGTTTATAATGATCTTTAACTCCTTTTTACTTTAATTATTTCTTTTATTATGTCGTTTGTAGGTTCAAAGTTAATAGGACACTAATTATATTTCTGTAACAAAATATTTATTAAATCAAGAAAAAATAATGTGTACCTAAAGGAAATCAAAATAAATGTGCCAATGCCAAATTTTCAAAATTATTATTTTTCCAAAAATTTTTTTTTCCAATGGACGTTTTTTCTACAAAAATTATTTTTTCCAATGGATATTTTTTCCAAAAATTCTTTTAAAAAAACGATGCAAAAGTTTATAACGTTTATGATAAACGATTTTCAGATAAATTTTTTTTGGATAAAAAATTCAATGTGTATTAATTAAAAAAATTATTTAAAAAAATATTTTTCTGGATAAAAAAATTGTATAATTTTCTATTTTAAAAAATAATTTGTTTTTCTAATTGTTGATCATAAACATTATTAATTTCAATATAAAAATAGAAAATTTGAAAGTCAACTTTTGTAGTGCAACTTCACGTTGTGTGGAATTTTGTTTGTTGTTATTAAATTTTCAGCATTGCATTAAATGTCAATTTGTTTAACAATAAATTAAATTTTCGGTTCATTTAATAAAATTATTTTGGAAATATTTTTTGAAATTTTTGTATTTTGGAACTTTTAAGTTTTGGATATTGGCCATTTTTTTGGCAACTTCGGATTAGTACATTTTTTTTGAATATTTGTACTTTTTCCGACTTTTTCTGAATATTATTATTATTTTGGTCTATGAATTTTTGTTTAAATTACTACCACAATAAAAAATAAATAATAAATAAATATATTTTTATTATAAATAAAAAATTATATTTATTTTACACTGAAAAAAAAAATTATTTTATTCAAATACCGGTGTATTTGGTTATTATCAAATAAATATTTGATTCAAGTGAATATTTATTTGATAATAACCAAATACACCGGTATTTGAATTAAATAAATTTTTTTTTCAGTATATTAATAAATAATTATATTTATTTATTAATTTATTTATTATTAAATAACAAAATGATTCATTTATTTTTCGATACAGAAAGCAATATTTTACAATAAAATTTTAATGTTTAAAAAGTAGGAAACAAATTTTTCATTTATTAAAACGTTCAGAATTTTAGGCACATGAAAAAAATACTTATATAATATTTTCAAGTGAATCGTTAAAATTATATAGAAAAAAAATTATAAATAAATAAAACTTTTTTTAAAAAAAATGGTTTATAGTAATTTTTTGTCTATTTTGTAATTTTTAATAATAATAAAATTTATTAAATAATTTACCCATCGAAAGCGAGAATATCAGAGGTAATGAAGGAGAGTTTTAAGGCGCTCCTTCGGAATATAAGATTTAGACGATCCCGATATTCTCTGGAACGTATCCTAAATGTCTCAGTGGACGTATCTGCTAACTCAGGAGTAAAAGAATCACCTCTGATTACTCCAAATGCTGCCAGAAAAATCTGGTCGCCAGGAGGGTCTGAAACTAGGAACGTATCTGCAAAAAGAAAAAAAAAATTATATTATTAAAGGCACAGTACGTGATAAATATAATAATACTCTTTAATTTATATATTATTATTATTATTATTATTAATATTATTATTATCATCAAATTATTATTAAATTATTATTATTATTTACGTAAATTTTAACAGAAAAATTATTAAAAATAATTTATCGGAACAATAATAATATTATTCATTTAATTATAAAAGACACTCTAATTGTAACCCAATCATAAATTCGAAATAACTTTAATAATTAAAATTAAATAATTGATTTTAATATGCATCATTTTATTTATTATTATTTTATGTTTATTATTGTTTATTATTATTATTTATACATCCCATAAAACACCCTGTTTTGAAAAGCTTAATAAATTTAAAGTGTTACAGGCCTCGGATCGACTTAAGGCACACAAAAAAGTCGTTTTAGTCGATTTATATTCTAAAAAAAGTCGATTTTTTTTTATTTTAACAAAAATATTTTACAGATTTTTAAATCAAATTTTTTTAAAAATAATAATACTTTTGGAAGGGTTTAAAGTTGAAATTTTTAGAAATAATTGAATTTTAAAAGATTTTGTTAATTTTCAGACAATAATTAAATTTTACAAAACTAAAAATAATTTATCAAATAATTTCAGATAACATTTTTTAAATTTTCGATGGAAAATTTTAGAATTAATTAAAGTTTAGAAGCTTTTAAATTCAAATTTTTGAAAATAATTGAATTTTAATTGCAAAATGGTTTCAGAAAGTAGAATTTTTGAAGAATATTATAAAAATCGTTAAAAATAATTAAATTTCCGGAGAGTTATAATTGAAATTATTAAATTTCAAAAATTTTTCGATAGAAAATTTTAGAAGCTTTTAAATTCAAATTTTTGAAAATAATTGAATTTCAATTGAAATTTTGGATAATAATTTAATTTTAGTTCATTTTTGGTTGAAAATTTTGATAATAATTAATTTTGAATTGAAATTTTGGGTAATAATTGAATTTTAGTTGATTTTGAATTGAAATTTTTGAAAATAATTGAACTTTATTTGATTTTGAATTAAAAATTTTTGGTAATTTTATTTGATATTTTTTTAAAATTATAAACAATTGTTAAATTTCATAAAAATTTTAATTGAAAAATAATTTGAAATAATTGAATTTGTAATGAATTTCATTAAAATTATTAAAAATAATTAATTTAGTGAAGAATTTTAGTTAAAAATTTGTTAAATAATTGAAATAAACAAGATCTGAAGAAGATCTGCATTTTATACTAAAAAAATATATTTTATTTAAAAATTTGTTTAAAAACTGTAAAAAAAAAAGTCGAAATAGTCGCATTTTATTAAAATAAGTCGAAAATAGTCGAAAAAGTCGTATAATCCGAGGCCTGGTGTTATTTTAATTTCAGATTGATTTTTTTTAACAGGGATGATAAAAATCATAATTTAAAAAAAATTTAGATTTTTTCTTTATTTTAATCTTTAACTTTATGGTAACATTTTTCAAAATATTCATTTTTAAGTTTAGTTTTCTTTTGTAAAAATAAATATATGTATCAGTGAATTAAAAATTTTCAACTAAATTTATCCAAAAGAAAATATTTTGATTTTTGAAAAGTCAATAATTTTGTTATAATTTAAAGTAAAATTTTTAAATTCTTTTTTTTAAACCTTTTAAGAAATAGTGATAGTAAAGTTTTTTCTGATTTTTAAATAACGAAATGCCTTAAACTTAATTTTTCAAAATTTTGTACAAAGGTAAAATTTCAGAGTTTGAAAACGAAAATAGACTCAAAAAAAAATGAGATCTATTTTTAAAGAATGGAAATCAATTGTTTTTTTGAAAAAAAAGAGTAAAATTCGTCTTGTCTTCGAAATTGAAATTTAAAATTTAGTATATACAGTCTAAAAGACTATGTCACGTCCAGCTTTAAGAATGTCGATCTTATCCATTGTTTGGATTTAAGAATAGACTTTTTAAAACTATAGCTGAAATACCCATACAATTACAAATACCATACTCACTTTAACATCATCGTTATACATATTTTATTTTATTATTTATATAATTACAGATATATATTGCATAATCTATTTTATAATAAATATCTTATTGCCTTTACTTTTCCAACTAAAATATTAAAAAATTAATTGATCTTCTATTATATGATTATTAAAAAATATTGTAATAAAAGAATAATTAAATAAATAAACCGGAATATTTTTTATCTTATTGGACATTTTTTTGCAAAAGAAAAATGAACTTTATTGTAGAAAAAAAAAATAATAACAAGCCACAGGTACAGAAACGGTGAAAGGTGAACGCTCGAGGCTTGTGAATTGATATATGTTGTGCTCTACACACACGATCTCAAATGTCAACATCACAAATGTTAGTTTCTTACAATTTTTTAGTTTTTTTTTTTTTTTTTTTTTTTTTTTTTTTTTTTATATACAACAATAGTTGAAATATTTACACAAGTTGATGATTTAGATAGGAAAGCCGTATGACCATCGTTTCTAATTAATACGTATTTCAGTAACCACCAATAACAATAAGTTATTCAACCAGCTGGATAATGGCGCATAAAATATTTAAAGTAATTAGCGTATATACAAACCGCATTATATTCGATTTAATCACTGTAATTTTCTACCTGCTACACTTATATGTATTATATACAGTTATCTCTGACTTGTGTTAAACAATTCTTTTTTTCGAAATATAATTACCACATTTTAATTATGTTTAAATTATACGATAAACGCTACACTTTATGACTGCACAACCATTTCATTGTTTAAATATTTTATGTTTCAAATTTTGTTTCATTATTTTATTATTTATTTATCTGATACAAATTATTTGACTATTATCAAATAAATATTTACTTGGACCAAATAAATTTTATTTGAATTTAAATTAAAATTATATTCACCATAAAAATTTTTACTTCTGCATTTTGAACGTCTATATAATTTAATTAAAATTATTATTTTCAATTTGTTTTAAATCAATTGAAATTGGGACAATTTTTAAATTAATTTTTGAACATAATTATAATAAAATAAATTATTTATATTATTCTTTCAAAATAAAAACATATTTTTAATTATAGGAAAAAAAAATTATTTTATTCAAATAATCTTGATTATTATCAAAAATAATTATTTACTTGAACCAAATAATTTTTATTTGAAGCAATAATTTCTGTAATTATTAAAACAAATATCAACTTATTTTATTTAAATAATAATTACTTAATACATATAAATATTTATTTGAATAAAATAAATTTAGAAATTTATTAATTAAAATTTTTTATAATATTTAACTTTAATATTCAGAAATGAAGAACTTCTTTTTATTTTACTTTTATTTCATCATTCTGAACAATTAATCGTGTGGGTTTCAAAAAATAAAATTTCTAAAAAAGTTTTTAAAAAAATGCAAAACAGCTAAAATTTTTATCAATTTTTCATAATGAAATATGATTCTAGGGTCGAGAAGAGGTTCGGAAAAAAATTTATTTTTTTCGAAAAATAAAATTTCTAAAAAAGTTTTTTTTTACAAAAAAGCTAAAAATTTCTTCAATTTTCCATAATGGAATATAATTCTAGGTTCGAAAAAAGGTTGACAACTTTACAAAAAGTATATTTTGATTAATTAAAATTTCACTGGTAATTATTTTAAAATATAAAAAAGTAAAAAATAGAAATTAAAAATTAAAAATTAAAAAAAATAAAAATATTTATAAATAATAATTTTTTGAGGCCTATTATTAAATTCATAACACATTTCGAAATATTTAACAAAAATATTTATATGTATGAAATTATGTATATGAAAAAAATATATATTTTTTTTAATTTTGATAAAACATTTTTAAATTCTAATATCAGAAAAAAAATTGTTTGCCTAATAACAACAAAACTTTCAATAGATTAAAATTTCAGTGTGGACCCTCCCCTTAAAAAGATTGATTATTTTCCTAAGATATACATATATTTTCTTTTCTAGATAGGATGCGCCATATATAATACATATATGATTCGCTTCTCTGGTAAAAATCCCTCTTCCCGGAGATATGTTTTAAAGCTTTTCGAAGCTTTTCCCAACTTTTCCGATAATAACGGTCAAGATTGGAAAACTTAATTTCTATCGAGCACAAAGTCCCCTATAACGAAATTTAGTAAAATCAATTTCAAAATAGGTTTATACCTCCATTCATCTGGTTTGTTGAATTTTCAACAAGAAACTGCGGATAATCCATAAACTTTAGTTTTACTTTATCATTTATGTAAATTTTAAATTTTATTTAAAAAAAAAAGAATATTAATTAACTTTAAATCTTTGAGATCTTTTTTCGCAATTAAAGAGATTTTTTTTATTTAAAGTTACATTTTTATCGTTATTACATTTTGAAATGTTCTCCTTTAAATTAAAAAACAGGGCTGGAAATGATTTAAATCACGATTTAAATAAAAGGGTCATTTACCTACATTTAAATTGTAATTTAAATCAAAGAGTAAATTCAAATAAAAATCAAATTCAAATTTTTTTTTTAAATTAAAATTTAATTATTTAATTTATATATTAATTTTATATACTCTAAGTTTTAAAATTCATCTTTTTTCAATTCAATTCCGAATTTATGTGAAGAAAAGTAGTTGAATTTTCAACTTATTTTTAATAGAGTGAATATACCAAATTACTATTTACAACAAAGAATCTATTTTTTTTCTTCTCATGTATAAATATTTCGAAAACAAAAAACTCTATACATAATATAAATTTAAATATTTTTTTCTGACATTTTGATATTTTGCGATTACATTCTGGGATTTAAATATATATAGAGACTACAAACATTTTCCATGAATATTTTGATGAAAATTTTCATTAAAAATTTCGTGAGTTTTGAATTTGAAAATTGCAATTCATGTTTTGTCCGATTTAGATACAAAACACGGTAGTATTTTTTAT